GTCGGAAATGTGGCTTAGTCAGGGTTGAAAGTACGTATCAAGCGTATATGGTTGAGGTCTCTGATTCTTGCAAAAGTGTGCTATCTAGGATCCTATATACGACCGTAAATACCTTATAGAGTATACTAAGCGATTGTGCGGTTTCAAAAGCAGTAATAGCAGAGTAAATACGCTGCTTTGCGCCATATGATATCAGCAAGGCATCAATCAGGCATCAGTTGGTATTGTTCGGTAAGGAACCTCTATATTCCGACATCTATAACTACTCAACATTTGCAGTAAGTCAGTGAGGAATGATGATTGGGTCTAGATGTCTTCTGTATTCGAAAATAAGTACATTCATATGTTCATTATAAAATGATCCAGACAGGGAAACATCGTTCAGTGGAAAGAAACAAGCACACAGCACAGCATCGATCAGTCCCATGAGAAAATGAGATCATGATCAAAGCATGCCAGTGTCATTCTCTTCTTCAAACAACATCTCATAACCTGTTCCACTTTACCATAGATGAAACATGTGCACTCTGACAGATAGAGGAGAAAAGAGGGCGATCAAGACACACAAACCTTACCCCTCACATTTAAGACGAAGAAGAGTAAGTAAAGCAGTTAACAGAATCCAGAATCTTCCAGATCTGCTGATGCTCTTCAGCACCCTGCGCCCTCATCTCAGTAGCGATAGAATTCCAGTCGGTCGCGTACTTGACAAGTCGTTCCTGCTGCGCACGACTAAGGATGCCCTCCGCACCGGCTCTGCGCGCGATGATCTGACAATTGACGTGCAAGGGGAGTCTGTGGAACAGATTCCGGGGCTTCTCCTGTCCTTGGATATAAGTACGTTTTTCCGTGCGATGCGCATGCTCTGCTCTGGACTTCTGTCGCTGGTGTCGTTGCTGCTGGGTCCGTTGGGCCTGGGGAGGAGTAACAGGAAGCTTCTCTTTCGTCGGAGGCTCGATAGGTCCAGGACAAGGACCAGGACCCTTATTTGCGGAAGGTCCGCTCAGAGCAGGGAAATTGACATCGAACGTCTCACCGCCTGGCTGGAACGGACCCTTAGGCATGGGCTCATCGACAGATGTAGAGTAGGCATAGGCTTCGTAATTGTTTGTTTGGATGTATTCCTGGCTATGGATGTTCACAGGGCAGCCCTGTTCGTCATACAGAATACCCGACACAGGATCCAGAGACCAGGGTCCTCCCACGGAGCCAGTAGTGAACGCAGGGTCGTGACTTGGGTAGGCGCCTGGCATGGTTTGCGGTACATGGACGGGATACGACGGCAGCAAAGGCTCGTGTTCAATTGCGTAGTAGCTGAACAGGGTGTATCTCCTGCTGCTATTGCTGCCGAGGACAGAGTTCGAAGGAGTAACCGGCTGAGTTTGCGCCGGGGTCTGCAATGTTGACGGCGGCATGCTAATGGAAGTATGATTAGAAGGTGCAGATGTGGCAAGCTCGCCGTTCTGTGTCGGAACAGATTCAGAGACAGATTCCACTGGTGCAGTGTTCTCCTGCTCATTCTCGGACCCAGACAGCTCTTCAGCGTCACGCTTGGAACCATCCATTAGCAGCGTACGAGCTGTGGTGATCATCTGCAACGCAGCGCTCCATAGCTCCGTGGCATGCGCGCCCTCCGTCCTTAGGGCTTCGATCCGTGCACGCTTGATGATACGAGTATACTCCACGTTCAGTTTCGCATGCTGACGGCGCTGCTCCATGAAGTCCATCAAGTTAACGCCCTCCAAATCGCGGGGAAGCTTTCCCTCCCGATGCGCCTGATCTTCCTCGGGATGCATTTCGGAGGCAAACTGACGAAGCGTCTCGGCTGAGTCGAGCATTTTGTGGCCCAGGTCGCTTAGATCGTCGTTGGGAAGCCAGACTAGACCGTTGCATCGGCCGCCAGTGTCGGGGAGAGGGGGCGTTTTGCCTGGGGGGAGATAGGGGAGCAGCTGCTCGGGATCCCGATGGGCAAGAATCATGCTAGTCAGATGGATGGCAGCACCGGTGGTCAACGAGATGTTCGAGAGGATAATATATGGCACAGAGCGTAAGCCTCTGGTGCACGCGTAGTGTTTCAAGTCGGCAGGATTCACGGTCTTTGTAGTAGAAGGGCCGGAAGTAGCGATGGTCACTATATTAAGATTAGCTCGATATCAAAATAATTGAGTTCGAGGGGGGTACCGTTCTGCTTCGCCTTACCCTTAGGCGACTTCTTCGAACGACCACGGTCATTCTCTTTCTCATTGACATCCAACGCCGCCATCTCCTCAACAACAATTCTCTCCTGGTCTTCTTCCTCGAAGAAGTCAAGATCACTCCGCATATAAACTCTCGACAGCAACTCAACACCCGCAATCCCCAGCTGATTCATCCCCAAATCTAGCTTCTTAAGCACATAGCATCCCTCAAACGCCTTTAAGAACCCCAACCAAGTCCCCTTCCCCTTATCATCACCACCGTGAATCTCAATCTGATTCCGAGAAATATCCAACTCGCGCAAATCTCCAGCGCTAAGCTCAACCACCTCACCCAGCTTTTCCAGCGAAAGTATGGTCAATTGGTTGCCAGGGAGGTGCAGCTCGGTGAGTTTGGCAGCGCCATCGGGATGCTCTGCGTCGCGGTATTTCATGCATTCGAGGAGGGTGTGGAGGACTTCCATGAAGCCGATGTCGGTTAGGTTTTTGTCGCTGATGTCGAGTTCGAGGATCGGATCACGGGAGGTGTTTCGGGCGCTGGAGCCGGGGGTGATTCGTTTTTTCTATCCTAGTTAGCCTATAGTTCTGGAAGGAAGAGGTGATGGAAGGAAGAGGTGAAAGAGTTGGGAAAGTTACCAAATCTCTAACGACTACCTGTGCCGCCTTGACGCCGTCGATCTTTCGCTATCAACAGGTTAGCCATCGGTGTCCAGCAGGAAGTGCTGGTACTTACGGCCGAGTAATTCAGCTTTCCCATCCTGAACGGCAGTCGCGAGAGTATTGCAGAAACCTGTGAGTGCCATGGTCGTCAGCCCAAGGTTCCATCCTGTCAGCAGACTAGTGTCGACGAAACAGCAGGGGACAGTTCGTTTCATTTCAGCAAATTGCCTCGATCTCTGACTTCTTTTGAGTGGAAAAAGGGAGTACATACCTGACAAACTGGTAGACAATCAAGTCTCTTTTATCTAGATCGCTGAGTGAGTAAAAATTAGAAAAATCACAAAAAGGTACAAGTCGATGGGGGTAAGGGGAGATGTAAAAAGGGAACCTAGGTCCGTTTTTACTAGATAAACAAGAGTAAAGAGGTAGACCTACCTAATTTTGGGGGGATAAAGATGAGAAGAGATGAAGTGGGGGATGTTCTTATTTTCTTCAAAAAGAATCTGGAGTGGCTTTTATGCTGGCCTTTTTGGATGCAGAGAAGACAAGAGAAAGGAAGAAAAACAGTGTGTAAATAGAGAAAGAACACTATGAGGGGCATGTAGTGAATAGCTATGTTTGATACCAGTTATGAATCACATTATCTTTTATTCACTGATGGCTTCCATCTGTTTGTTCCAGTCAGAAGAAATCTCATTAGGGCTGTCTAAGAATATCTGAAAGAAATCAAAATAAAAGACAGAAACAGATTGCATCTAAATCAGTATATTTCCCACAACCTAAGTGTCACAGTATTTTTGTGAAATGTCAGAAGAAATTGACAATATCTTTAAACTCATCCAGCAACAACGGGTCGATGTCTTCCCAGTCTTTTGGTGGACTAAACGGTTTGTTGATGCCGGAACCGGAATTCTCCCCGTGCCGCTCAACCAGGATTGTCCCTCCTTGTTCATGAGATAAAGGGGATGATTCGCGTTGTATCTTCGTCTTCGTTCTTTTGAGGGGATGTCTATTTTCATCCACAAACGGCACGGTCCGCTTTGATGGCTGGCAATATTCGACATCCTGAAACGAGTACATGGCTCGACTGTCTGGGACCATTTCCTCCCCAGTCGATGCAAGTGTGCTGGGAGATTGTACCGTCAGGTCAATTTGTTGAAGCGCACTCGTCCCGTTCTGCTTCGGAGTGAAAGGTTCAACAGGTTCGTCGATCTCAATCCAATCATCCCAGTCAAAAACGTTCTTGTCAATCTCCTCGTCTTGTCGAGCTTTCTTCTCTTCCTTATTCTCATCATCCGTTTCGATGCTAACATCCCCATTCAACAGTGCTGATGGAGAAGGTAGATCGTCGAAATCTTCATCCCCATAATCGCTCGACTGCGTCCTCTTTACACCCGAAGATACAATGATAGGGTTTGGTGATTCGACTTCCATGAGCTTCGACTCCAGTGCCGACTTCCTCAATGACACTTGCGTGCTCTTTATATCAGTCTTATCCCCTTTGTTCTCTCGGCCGGATACCTTAGTGCTGATTGTAGCAGGTGCGCTCTTTTTGGCGATACTAGCTGACAATTTCAACTGGTTGAACTCGTCTTTCTTCTGGCTCGCGGCTGCATTCTGCTTCTTGCCAGCTTTGGGGGGCTTGTCCAGTCCATCTCGGCAGCAGAGGTGTTTGCACCTAAACCCACATTAGTCCTGGGAACCGAGTACAAGGAGAAAATCTTGCTCACATTTTCTTATCCTTGCACTTGTGGTTACATGCCCATTTACCATTCTCGAGACGAACTGGTTCTTCTCCGACAACTTCTGGGGCTTGATCCTTTGTTTTCTCAGGCTTATTGGCCTTACCACGCGGCTTATTCTGAGGTGATATTTCTGCGATTACAGTGGGCCAGTCGATCTCCTCTACCTCAATACCCTGGTCTTTGGGGTTGTCAGCTGCTTTTCTGTGAGAGTCAAATATGGCGATTTACCTGCTTTTAGGATTTCCTTCACGTTCATTCCATCCAAGAGGTCATCAATTTCAGTTGGTTGGTTGGAAGCCCCTTCGCTACGGGGTAGTTCAGAGGCATCCATCCTTGGTTCATCCTCCAAAGCGCCCTGTGTCTTCTTTTCTTCAGGTCGCGCTAGAAACAAGGACGCCGGAAGATCAGGCTTCAGCTCCGCAGACCGCATCGTTCCAGCTTTTCAAATTTTAGCAGTATGAATAGCCTAGGTATATGGAAAGCAACTCACCAATATCATCACACATCGCATAGCACACGATGTACTGCTCTCCGCTTTGCAAATCCGCACTCAACAGTATCTCATGATGATTTTGAAGCTTACTCGCGCTGTGAATGATCATTAGCTTAGCATTCGCGTAAAGGCCAAAGGCGACTTACTTCAAGCGGCGAAAGTCAATCATACGACCATCCGAAGTCTCGGCCAAAAAACAAACATAGACAGTACGTCTCTGAAAGGAAGTCGGTAATTTCTCATTTATGAAAGCCACTTCTGCCTTGAAGCGAATTTTGACAGAACTCATAGGTTTGCGATCCTAATCACGTCAGCACTCCCTATCCAGAGAATCCCCACAAGGAAATGAATACCTTCCCCATCATCTTCACAGAAACCCGCAACTTCGGAAACTCCGCAACCCTAGCCAAAAGCTTCAACCCAAAGGGCGGGTTTCTACTCAGAGCCATATCAATCTGGTACGCTTCGGTAAACTCCAGAGCTTCGATACTGGTAATTCCAGCCGCTGCAAACTTCCTTACAGCAACGGTTCCAATCTGGTCGAGTTGCTTCATTTGCCATGGCGAATTATCCCAGACCTTAGCACCCAGGCCCCTGGCGAGCTCCAGTGCGTTCCGAACAGCAACGGAATCCTCGAGGGAGATCTGGCAATCGATCAAGCAGCGAATTAACCGGTTGACATGCGTGAAGACAAAGTTCTTATCCTGCTGGAATGGGAACTTGTGCTTTTGGAATTGGTCGCCATCTGGGAAATCCACACCACCTAACTCAGATTGGATGAGTAGCGAGGTCTTATGAGCGGGAAGGGCGATGTCGACTTTGACCGGGAAGCGGATGCCATTGGCTCGATTAATTTCTTTGTATACTGATTTCTCGCCTGATTTGAGACGGAGGTCACGAAACTCTTCTGCTTCGGCGATTTTGGAGAGCTAAATTATCGTTAGCTTTTCCTTCCACCAAATGCTGACGGCGCTGCTTACGATTTGCAATATTGTGGCCTTTGGCTTTAACGAAAGGAGATTCTTCATAGTCTCAAACCGCACGTAATATCGAGCCATGGCATCGCCAAATTGCGTAGATCTAAGCTTCTCCGTCGAAACCAACCCGCATTCCTGAAGCATCTTGATATCCTTTTCACAGATCTGTCGAAGCATTTTGTCTTCATCATCTCGAATAGCACCCTCTTTCAGCTTATAGTGTGTTGGATTCCGCCTGAGTCTCACAAACAAAAATGTCCCAGCAAGCCATCGAACGGCAGACTCCATATCCGTCACCGTACCAAGTCCGATCTCGGCATTCAGGTGGTCGATGAGGTTTAGATGTAGACAGCTTTCCAGACTCTCGGATCCGGATACGAGCTTTTCGTAGTGATCCACTCGTTCTTTCCGTGTTAGGATCACTGCCACCGCGCTGCTGTCGAATTGGGGACGGCCTGCGCGGCCTAACATTTGCATCATCTCTAGATCGGAATATTCCTTGCAGCCGCCGTCTTGCCATCCGACGGTGTTTTTGATTATGACTAGATGACATGGCAGGTTGATGCCCACGGCAAGAGTCGAAGTACAACATATGATATTGATATCCCCTTGTAGATAACCATTTTCGACTGTGTGGCGGTCTGCAGAATCAAGGCCGGCATGGTGAAATGCAACACCTGCGGCTATAGTGGCTATTCTAGTCAGTATAAACACCCTAAACATCGTCAAAGTAGATTTCTCACTCTTCAAATCCATATTATGCACTTCAAGCCGCTTACTCGGTCCTTTCCACAGCCTAGCCGGAGGGTTGGTCATAGACCAGAGTCGAGCGAGCTCTTTCGCCGTAGCAACAGAAGAGTTCCTGGTACAACAGAAGATCATAATCGGCTTTCGATAAGAATGTGTACCGATGACACCCAGAAGCCTATAACAACCAACAATCAAAAATCTACTGCATCAATGGCAACAAGGGGAGGTGTGCTTACTTCCCGTTGCACGCCTTATCAAAAGCAAAGTCATTCCCGTTAGACTGGTATCCATAAACAAACTTCTGAAGCTTGACTGGTCGAAATTCTTCCCCGAAGTGCTCCCTATGTGCCGGCATATGCTGATTTGTCGCGTCTTTCCCCAGCCAAGTTGCAATATCCTCAGAGTTCGGCACGGTAGCACTTAAGGCAATGAAGCGGACACTCGACCTTATCGATTTCATACGAGATACGACAGCTTCCAGGATGGCGCCACGGGTCTCCTTGAGGATGTGAGCCTCGTCGACGAGGAATAGCTTCACGAACTGCATCAGACGCGCGTGGTCTTTCCATTTGCGGGTCATGCTGTCCCATCTTTCCGGGGTTGTGATGATGATTTGGGCGCTCTGTATTCTTCTGAGTTGTGACTGGTCCGTATCACCAGTTAATTCTGCACATTGAAGCCCTAAGGTCATGAACTTCTTGCTCCAATCACGAAACCTCTCAGAGCATAGCGACTTTGTCGGAGCTTGGTAGACAACCTTGAACCGCTCGTCTTTCAAAGTACTAAGCAAGCGACAAATAGCCAGCTCCATGATAACAGTTTTACCGCTCCCTGTAGGCGAAGCAAGCACAACGTTATCGTTCTGATGGTAAATAGCCCGAAAGCATTTTGATTGAATAGCGTTGAACACCGGGAAAGAGAACACCGACCGATAGCTATCCGGAAGCTCGTGCACCGAGATCAGAATTATACCTCGAATAGACATGGGTATATTATGGAACGGTGTCATCGACGCAGTTGTCAGTTGTAGAGATTGGCTCTGACCAACCATTGCCGCTATTCCTCCAACATCCAAATGAGACGATGGCGACTTTTCCGTCTGTGAAGACAACTCAGTTCCAGGGGCCGCTGTCGTATTTTTCTCTCTTCTCCCGTGCTGAAACCTCGCCAACGGACTTGAACTGACATCCACTTCCGACGAACTTGACGCCATCGCTCGATGGGAAGTGATATGAGAGTCCGGCCCTAGAACCACAGCCTTAGTACTAGAATCGTATTCCAGCGTATGTCCACCTACCAGAAAAGAACCTCGAAACCTGCTCTGGATTTTTATTGTCACGCATGTTGTCTCGTCCATTATGCATCACTCGATCTGTCTGAGCAAGTAAATGCAGGTCTAAAGAAAAAGCCATCCATCAGCAAAAATTAGCAACCGTATTGACCAGATTACACTAACCAAACGCATCCAACTGCACATCTGCATCTTCCTTCCCATATTTCTCTCCCTCGCCACCTTCAATACCAGTATACGTCTCCAATTCCAATGACCCAGACCCCAACCCTTGACGGCGGTGCCTATCATCATCATCATCATCATCATCATCATCATCGCCATTCATCTGAAACTGATCAAAGAAGGGCGAGGATACTTGAGCTCCCTCAATGAGTCTCCGATCGATGACGCCACTTTGTCTATTGGGATTACTGGAGGACTCGTCACCGTTCCGCCATCGATAGGGTGGTTTGAAGGGTTCTCGTTTCATGATTGGAGGATAGGGTCTTGAATGGATAGTGAATAGCAGATTATTGTCTTTGGGGATGGAAGTGAAAGTGAATTGATGAATTGGTGAAGGTTAGGATGAGATAAATTGGTTGGGGAGGGAGAGGTTTGGGGTCTTCCTAAAAGGGCACGTGAACCCTTGACATATAGCCAGGTTTACAGTGGTCTGTAGAAGACCAGATGTGTATATGAAGTATATAATGATGTTTTTGATTATCATAATTTCATCAGTTTGCTGGTTTCAAATCCATTCTTCTCGAGACTTCATCAAACCATTGGTGCAACGCCTTCGAGTCCTGGCTCAGTCAACAACCATAACGAACCCAATAAATCAACAAGTGAATCGAAATCATATATTCATCGTAGCTTGGATATATTGAATACCTGGATATCGTCGTCATCTTCAACAACTCCTTATTGCTTTTGTTCGTTCCTATTTACTTCCAAAAAAAATTATGACCATTACATCCCCATACAACATACACAACCCAACACCATTAAACCACTTTCAAGCGTCGTGCGAATTTTCATCAAAGTAACTCCCACTGGCATTCCGAGAGGAGCTGATTCTCACCTGTCCCGGGGATGTGGGACGGGATGTCGACAAACCAGCGTCAGATAGGAAGGGAGTTGTTGGGAGCTTGATCGAGATTTCGTTCGGTGGAGATACTGGCGACTCCTGTCCTAGGGCCTCTTTCTCATATGAGTCGATGCGAATCGGTGGTGGACGTCCACCCTGCATCTTAGCCTGGGCATGCCAGGGGTATCCCGTGCTCGGTTCTCCGTATAGATAAGTGGCTGCAAGGACTACAGCGGTACCCAGAAGGAACTATATCACCACGTCAGTATCTATTCCTCAATAAGAACACGGTAAAGGGTGAACATACGTAACCGTTAACCTCGAATTCAAACAGACAAATGCTCCCCACAGTGCTTAGAACGATACTAGCCGTGGTCGCAAGACTTCGCGCAACCGTGTTTGCATAAATCATGCTGAACGATGTAGCAATGCCTCCCAATGCCTGGACAATGACGGTGGACCATACAACCCAGTTGTAACCTTGAAAGAAGCCATTGGCAGCCACTTGCTCGCCATCCAAAAATGCTACTCCGATAAAAAGAGCCGGGAAGATGGAGTACAAAGCCAATTGCAAATTGCGGACCCAAGGGGACGTCGACTTGGCGCTATCTCTGAGCACTCTTTCAAAATAGACACCCGCAAGAGCTGACGCAGCACATGCACCGAGGGTGGCGAGCAAGCCCACCGCCCCATTTAACCGTGGTAAGGCGGTCAACATATCCTCTTCGATCCCCTCATATGTCGCAGAACGTTTGTAGACGTTGCCACCTGCTTGGACCTCACGCCACTCTTCCAGCGATCGGGGAAAAGCGATGCGGGCGGTTTCCTCTTCCAACGCACTTTCATCCTTAGGACCGCCATCTTGCAGCTGCACGAAGGCAACACCGACGAGAAGCAATAGAAGCAATGCCCAGTTGCGGAGGGGAACCGTCTTTCGCAACAGTCCAAGACTGAAAATGGCCACGAAGACCAATTTCAATTGGTATGTGACTTGAAAAGTCGCCGCCGACAGATTCGAAAGCCCAATGTATTGTAGCGAATTCGCAAGGGTGTATAGACAAGCTGGTAAGGCCAGCTTCCAGCTGTCACCCGAGAAAACGGCGCTGACGACGGAGAAGAAAAGCGACGTTGCGGGCATGGACGGGGGTGCGGTCGTGGAGACTTCGTAGAGGGCCATGGTGAGAGAAACAGCGAGCTTCACCACTTCGTTCAAAACGACGGCGGTCGAGGTCAGGTATCGTTTACCACCTTCCGGTGGCATGATTCTAGAGTAGTGCAGCAACTGGACCGGTCAGCCATCTTCTCCGCAGTATCCATTATGTCAACTTACCAACACAAACGTAGTATATTGTATCGCCAACTAGAAAAATGAATTAGCGTTTCCTGCAAGCAATTCGAGACCATATCGTCTTACCAATATCCATGAAGAGTGTCTCACCACCGGCGCCGACCCCGGCGGCTGGCGTTGCGTGCGCTCTCCCATAATCACCAAAACTGATTTCCTTCGAGATATGTAGTATGTGTATGTAGATTCGTAGATAATCGATTTCAGATGGGTATTTCTTCGGGAGTTTTCCTTCGTGGACGATTTAGGTGCAGAATGACAGCGTGAGATAGCTGCGCGCGTGGGCTAAAAGGAGAGGTTGTTCATCAGCGGCCCTAGGTCGGCCAACGAAAACCGGGGCCAGACCGATCGACAGATCAGAGTTTCAAGAAAGGTTCAAGACGTAATGGGACAGTCGGTGGGTGGGGGGAGAGATAGTTGACGTGTTCAACGAGGTAGCATCAAGTGGTCCAATGTTGTATACAGAGTAGTAACAATCCAGCAGACAAAGGTAGAAATACAGACAAAGATTACATCGGAGAAGAGTCCCAGATGGATCTCATCTGGGGAGAATCAATAGTGTATCACCCGAAAGATAATCTTGGGCAGAAAATCAAGGCGGTGTGGGACCGACCGTCAATCTGTGACGATTACACTTTGGACCTGATGAGTATGGTACCTGATACGGGTCTATGTACACTACTGTAGTATTGCTAGCAAGACAAATGAAACCATTCAAGAGAATACTACTAAAAGGGTTTAATATGGTAGGATAATCGGTGTCGCACATTAAAACGAACAAACAATAGAGTTGGATACCCCCGCCTTTCTTGATTAGTCCCCTGTATGTAGTGTAGTTACTTGTAATCCTGCCGGTGAACCCACTGGCCCACCATTGCCGTCTGTTTATCCAGAAAAGACGGTTCAATAATGGTGCGAAGGGTTCATAACAGACTGGCTACCCGATCATGATACACCTAACTCCGAAAATAGCAGCGTTCAAAAGTATCCTAGAGGGGAAAGAATGAACGAAATTATAGAGCCTAAAGCCAAGGCTTTCCTATTAAAGTACCATGCCATTCTTTTCACGGCTTCCCTAAATGCAAGTGTTCTTGCGGAAATAACATGCTTTCCTGCACGAGAACTTCCTTCCCAGCTCGCCTAACGCTTCCAGCTTGAGCTGACCTAGTGCGACTAGATATCGAGAATCTCGCGTCATGGACTTTTTGTCGGGCGTCCAGTTCAAGACCGGATTCTGTTCTGCGTGGCAGAGTGCCGTAGGATCCTATTTACAGTTGTTTACATTGTTCAAGAGACCGTAATTCAATGTAACCAATTCTATTCCAAACCCCCTCATGAATACAGTACACCATCCACTCTAATATGCCATTAGTATACACTGTCAAGTCGCATTATGAATAACAACAGAGAAAGATATTAAATTCAACAAGCAGCGGTGTACTCTGCTGTGTGACACACCAAAAAAAAAAAAAAAAAAAAAAAAAAGAAAAAAAAAAAAAAAAAGGAAAAGGAAAAGGAAAACCGTAGAAACGTTTGAGGTCAGGTCGAGTGTAAGCGATTAGCGCGGGGAGATATCCGGTTAAAACCTTTAGAAATAGTAAAATAAAATAAAAAGGAAATAAATTACAATGAAAGGAAAAGGAGAGTGGTAAAGAGAGGAAACCGTAAGAGCGTTTAGTGAACAGCCGCTAGGTCATGGTTCCAGCCCAATGCCCAGATCGGATACTCATCGTTCTCCTTGGCTGACTCTTCAGTCGCCTCGCCCAGCACGATCGCTTCGCTGCTATCGGTCCGACGGCGCGAGTGCCGATGCTGGTCGTTGGGCGCTGAGGTTGGGAGATGTCGTCGGGTCGGAGGAGAGTGTTGGTGTTGGCTGGGCTGCGGCGAGAAGCGATGGATCGGTAGCGTTGGCGTCAGGGGCGACGCTCCGCTGGTCGCGGGAGAGGGGAGGCTTTCGGAGTAGACAAGGCTAGCGCGGGGTGAATTGAGGGTTTTCTGTTCAGCATCAGAAGCCGCGCCCTGGAAAGGGTGACTGTCTTTGTCCAGGTGTGCTGCACCTTGATCTGACCGGGAGTAATTGTTGTGAGTATCATTCGTGGCCGTGGTCGCCGTCGTATATGACGGAATGCTCGCGCTCAGGCGTAGAAAGGACATGTCAGTGCTGTACAGCGAGTCGCGCGAGGGCGCAGCGGACAGCATGGACTCTTTGTCGGCATCATTAACGTGTGAGTTATTATCATTATGATTATGGTGGGTAAGATTGGGATTAGAGCGATGGGTAGTGATCGTGTTCTGGCTAAATCGTGCTTCGTTCAAGAGACTGGGAGTCACTTTGCCCCTCCGTTGCCGCATGGCTTCGAGGAGACTCTGCTCCTGTCTCGTAACCGCGATGACTCGGCTGCGACGATTGCCCTGCTTATTCTCCCGGGGTGCCGCCGAGGCACGCCCGTTACCGCCAGGCGCAGGGAAGTGGTCACTGATGTCCGGTTCTGAGATGGTGGGAATCCCACCCGGGGCTCGCCGGCCGATGTATGAGGATCGGGCCGTAGACGTTGAGTCATTCCGGTGAATGGAAGGACTCATGAGCATGGTGGGACCCCGATGTTTGACAGCCGCGGCCTGTCGGAGATCAAGTCGCCGGACGGCCGGTCCTTTGGTCGCCTGGGCTGCCGAAGCGGTGCAGATCTCGGGCTCGAATTCACCATAGGTGGTGACACTATCCCTCATCAGATGGCCGACGCCCGTTCGATTGTTGGGTAGTTCCTCGTCATGATCGTCCTCATCTTCTGATGAAGACAAACAGAGGACACTGGAAATGTTGAGATCCGAGTTTGCCAATGTGCTCTTGCTGCTCTTCTTGGACATGGATGAGGTATCAGTCTCTCTTAGCGACGGCGGCGCTGGCCATTGGTCGCGCGGGGGTGACTGGCGCCGACGTGCCGGGCGTGGCTGCGACTTGGGCGACAAGTAGGTCTCTTTACTCCAACCGCCTGTAGAGCCATTGGACGACACCCTGCGGGCGCTCCTGTCGGACTTGGCCCTGCTGCTATGCATTTGGTCCCGGCCTCTAGAGTAAACACTCGATGCAGCATCGGACTGGGCGCGTTCCGAGGCTGCCTGCTGTTCGGAGTAGTTCTGGAGCGCCATGTCCATTTCGTTTGTCCTGACAGTGCGTTGGAGCGAGGGCTCAAGAAACTCCGTGTTCCTAGTGTCGGTCGAAATAGCAGAAGACCGGTTCGCGGGGGTAGACCGGTGACTACTGGGCCTGGGAATTGCCAACGGTGGTGGCCCTGCTGTTGTAGGCGAATCTGTCTGAGATTGTGTCTCAGTGTACCTCCTCCCCGAGATCTTGGTATCAGAGTTGTTCGATTTGGGAAATTCCCCAAGCGCGGAGAGGGGGGTCGGAGAATGGACCATGCGCTGCGGGGACAACATCGGCGCACCAGCAGGCTTCTCAGGCTTCGGTTTGGGAAACAAGAGCGAGAGATCAATGCGGGGAGGGCGGAGCTTGCGCTTGGAGTCTTTAGTCGAGTTCTTCGAACTGAGGGAGATGGATGAAGGTGCGGGTTTGCCATCCGTCGGGCTTTCGATGGTAGTAGTAGTGGTGGTCGAATCGCGGGAGTTGAAGTAGGAGAAGAGGGTGGAAGCGGAACCGGACTGGTGCACGGTTTTCCTCGGGTTAGAAGCAGCAGCAGCGTCTTGGGTGTTGACCAGGAGCGGCGAAGATGCGCGGACACGCAACTGTGGCTGATTCTGCTGGGCCATGTCATCGTCAGCGTTGATCGTGGGGAAAGGCACGAAGCTGGGGCCCTTCATGAAGCTGGGCCGCCGTGTGCGCCTCTTCTGACTGCTGGCATCATCTCGGGGCGAACTGTTCTGCTGGATAGGGGCCTCAGCGGTACCCAAAATCTTCTGGGCCTTGGAGGTTCTGTTGTTGGCTTTTTCCGAACGGAAGTCCTCCTGGTTGTCGTCGAAGTTGTCGACATTGGCATTGGAGGTCCGCAACGGGAGATGGAGGGATTGTGGATCTCTGGCCATGTTGACAAAATGTGAATTGGTCAATTGGCCGTCAACTGGAAATTGTGTATGGACTTAAAGGGTGATTTGCGAGCGCGTGGGATTTCCGTAATCAAAAGTCTGGCCAATTCCACGCAAACACACAATTCGCACGAACTGCTCCACTGACAAGAACGAACGAGACCGTAAATAAAGTCTGTAAGATTCTAATTAAGTCGCGAACAGGTTCACCAGGATGATTATTCGTTGTTGCCGGTCGTCATCTCAGGTTCCTCCACCAGGTACCACGGAAAAGCGAGCGGTGCTGACGTTTAGAGAATCGGAACGGCCAGGGACGGTCGGCCGGTCGGAGAGTGTATCAGGGTATTTTCTGCGAGGATAATTGTCAAGGCTCTTTCCCAGTTTCCTCGGGGAAGAAGAATTGAGTCTACTTTCGACAGAAGAGTCGAATTGAGTGGGAGAAAATGAGGGAGACTTGAGGATGCCGAGGCAGCGATGACGCCGGAAGCGCGGTGATCACCAACGGTAATTATTCTAGAAGAATAATAACACACTGGCAAAACACAAACGAAACAATAGAGGAAAGAATGAATGGACAGAGTATGCAAGAATAAGGAGCGAAGAGGGTAAAAGAAAGAACAAAAGGATCAAGGAGCAGAACAGGAGAGAGTGAGAGAAAAGAGAGAAGAGAGACGGCAGCTTAAGGGGAACCCCAAACGGAGGTACTCAGCGAAAATCCCCAAGAAAAAGAGACGAAAAGCGCAGGGACCAGGGAACAAGCCAGAGTCAGTCAATCAGGCAATACTAGCATATAAATTCCAAAAGGCGGGCCCCAGAAGATCATCGAAAGACTAATATTATTATTATTGCCGTCAGACAGAAGCCACTGAAGCCACCAAAGCCTCCTGAGTTACACTACTGCATGCTAACGATGTACTGTATATGCCAGTGCAATATGCGCAATGCAGACAATCTTATTGATTTCCGACTATTGCCCACTATTGTACATCCTTTTGCCTCAGCTTCACCAACGGGACGGTTCTGATCGTTCTGGGAGGGCTCCAGAGCAATATATGCCACCCGATCGACGACAATAATTGATGGGGTTCCGTGGATGGTTAGTAGAAAGGATCAGAGCACTCTCACTTTCCTTGCAAGCTAGTACTACGCAGTAGCAGAGTTTGGAGGTTTAATTGTCTGTCTTCCGAGATCTCCCAGATCACCCGAATGGTCAGAATTTGCCCACTTGCAGTTAGCAGTGCATATGTACTCTGTACTAGGACTAGTATGACATCTTGGTGGATAGTAGTGGAGTGAGGTTTGACAAATTGTGGCCCTCACCCCTGTTCACCCTCGTGTGTCTTCTGTACAAGTATGGAGTTTTAATCGCGTAGCTATATTATTGTTTAATTTGTGAGTTAAATACCTCCTCGGAGCAGAATAGTCTCCAACATTAATTGAGTTCGCGCTTGGATAGACTATAAACTCTCCAACAACTTGGAACCATCCGAAGCAGAAGCTACTAACCTTTCATCGAACTCTCGTCTCTGTCAACTGCCGGTTCAGGGGGAGGCATATTTCCCACCCAACTACCAATTGTACTCTTCCTTCGGTACCCTCAGTACGTACCACTGATGTCGTGATACCATGCGACAAGAAATCAAATGCCAATTCATAAAAACGAAATTATGTGAAGAATTCCTTTTGCAGTCATCTGAAAGCCTCGAGTCAATCGACATTCCTCGCCAGGAACCGCCATGACTCGCTCCCCGATAACAGGGAACACAAAAAAAAATATTTTTTCTCGAATCGCACCGGCCCAACTATAGCGTTTGTAGTGGTAGCACTACAGACAACTTTGGAATCTTACACGTTCTGCACGTCTGGTTCCATTCGGAATTCCTCCCTGGCGCTTAGCTCGATTGTATTTTAGTGGTTATCGTCTCCTGGCCCGCCGTTCCTGGCTTCGATCTTGAATCTTAGCGTGTCTGGCGTGCTATACTTAGTGAGCTATGGCCATGGTGTCCAGATTTAGTTTATCGTCGAGTTCAACATGACTCTGTATGCTCGATCAACTTCCGAAGGCTACAAACGCCCCATCCGACTGGTATTAAACCTCCGTGTCATTCATGCATGCAATTCTAAATATGCATACAGGGTAATTGTACATCTGTCGAGAAGAAAAAAAGTACTCGGCAATCTGCATACAAACACAAACACAAACAAACAAACACAAACAACCATAACAGCATCGCGTGAGCTCCGAGTTGGCCTGTTAAAAAACATAAATCGTACATCGTAAATAGCATCCCTAAAGGGAGAGTGAAGAAAGGAGAGACTTCATTCGGTATGTTCCGTTCACGTACAAACTTTTGCGCCTGACTCGTCTGTTTCATGTACCCGGTAGTTACCATACTTGGTGCAGGCTTGTCCCTATTTAGCTATCTGTCGGTGTTCGACTTTTATAGAAAATGGAGACGCTCCGAATCTCATATGCATGGTCCAATTTGGTGTGTTTCAATCGCTCTCATCACCACCGCTAACTACTCCGACATCAATCAATCTGCTGTAATTGCTAATCTTGCGCCTCTTTCGGCTACTGCGTCGCAGAGGGTTCTCATCCGATTGGTGTCGACTAGAGGGTGTTTGAGGTTGGGAACGAATTCGGTCACTGGTCATCATTCCCCTGCTGAATTTGTCGCTTCCATTACCTAGACTGGTAGCCGGTTGAAGGATACCCTGAAGTTCCACTTGGCCATGGCTCTCCACCTGTGTACGTCTTGTTTTGTGGCCTGGGTTCTTGTTACCCTCGACGTCCGAGGATTGTGGTCCCTGGCCATACGCACGGCCATCATTCATCGAAGATGCTGGTCCTTGAGACAATTGCTGATCGTCGGTGATAGGTTTTGTGCCGGGGAGGGAATCCATGTCTTGTGAAACATACTAAAAAAGAAAATCAGAAGGGTTCCGCACTCGCTTTCCCAGCGTTTACTTACATGATGGTGGATCTTCGCAAATGGGTGCAGAATCTCGCGTTGCATCCTCTCCCGAGTATCCTCGGCGCTAGCCACGATGAACTTGGGCAATCCTTTTTGCAGAAATCCTTTGCTCTTGGAACCAGGAGTTGGTTGGAGGAATTTGTGCTTGCGTAGGAGGTCAGTAATCTGAACGACCGTCTGTCCATTGCAGTCTATATCGGGTTAGAGTGCTTCCGACAAAGGCGATGATCATTTACTTACGAAGCTTTTGTGTGAATGTAGACGTCTTGCTGGGAAAGCCCTCATCCAGGATGATCTTCAATGCTCGCCTCAGGAGAACGAGGGTATGCATTTCACGCAGCAACTGGGTTTCGTCTGGTTCGAGGAGACACTGATAGCATGCATGGGGATCAAGAATTCTAGAATCATTGGGGCTCTCAAAACCATAGCAAAGCAAATGCTGACGTGTGCGGCAGAATGAACATGTAATCTGACAATCTTAGTTATCCGACTCCTACTACGTGAATAGGACTTACCATTCCAGGCTCTTCACCATCCCAGCCACATTGGCACTTTACCAACCCAATAGCCAAGTTATCTGTTCCTTTCGCAAGCCCCGGAATCTGCATTCGTGAGAACTTTTCGATTTGGAGTATCTTCTTCTGCGAAAGGCGCATATTGTGATCCGTATTTACTCCTCCAATATCGGTTGCAGAAACTGTATAGATTGGTTGTGTGGGAACGAGATCGCTGTCTGGATAAGATGACACCTGAGTCTTTTTGCCAATCGATTAGTATTTGCATGGAATAAATCATCATTACAAGGACCTCACAGGAATCATCATCTGCAACTTCTGCCTTTCTGCAATGTCTTGAGTCGCTTCCAGGGAGCTTTCTATCAAAAAGCCAGGTCAGCATTGATTGGAAAGGAGCAGGTATTTCCGTGCCCGTACCATTCCGACTCAACGTGAGGCTGGAAATTTCTTCGTTCGCAAGCTCAATATCAGCTTCTCGCCGCACCTTATCATTATACTCGATTTGAAGAGGAATTCTAGGAAGGGCCTCCGAGCCTTCGGAGTCCGGTCCAGTCCACTTTAGTGAGGTTACGTTAAGACCAACGCTACCCATTGTCAGTACTCGAAGCAGCAGCATCAAGGGCAATCACCTACGCATGGCATCGACTATTCATTGTACCACAGGACTGAGTTTCCCTCTGCCAGTTCTCGTTGAAGGGATACTTGAACGTATCATTCGTCGATTTGGCGAATCCGGGGGGCTCGTACTCAGGCGGACAGTCTTCAGTATAGAACAGGTGAATCCCTAGGTTGCGCTTGTCTGAATATTACTCGTTAGCATAGGGCTGTTTAACATCATATCAAAAGATACATACTTGGCAGGGTTGGGAGGAAAGCACTCAACGTGATAAGGCGTCTGACTATCATCTCCAATCCAGTCCGAGCTGTCTGTGCAGACTTCATATCGGCGATGCAACCCACGGGGTCCAGGGATAAGCTTTCCAAGCGGCTATTCACATCACCACGTGCCCCTGTGTATTTGAACGAGAATGTGTATGTCTCTAATACGTTTTGTGGCTCATCCTTGTCGACAAGAACAGTCAATTGGATGGCTTCGAGGTAGTTCTTGCCGAGCGCATCAAAGACTCCGTGTTCCTAACCCTGTTAAAGACCACGAGATGGGAAGTCGAAAAGCCCGGGGTCTTACCAATAGATCGAGAATCATATCGGCCTTGGGATCTGAATTGCGAAGGATAATCTTCAGTGGCTGACCTCTCTTTCCTTTACCAAAACCAAGGTCCTGACTCCCCTCGGGGCTTTCTGTGCGTGTTCTTCCGTTGATGAATTCCTCGTACGAATATTTCTGCTCTCGTTGTGTTTGTTTCAGGTCACGATCATCGAAGCTCCCGAGCGGTAAGAACTCCCTGTTGGTAGCAATCAGACTCGAACGGTAACTGCGAATTGCGAAGGAGGGCTTGCAAACCGAAGATAAAACAACGTTCCGAACTAAGTAGACTCGAGGTCAGAATCTCAGACATGGAGGGGTGGGGTAAACAAGGAACTTACGGATACATGTAGCATGATCCGTACCATCTCCATGCTTTGCTGCTGTCTTACGGCAAGGCATTCTTGCAATTTCAACCGGGATACCTCATCAAATTCGGTTTGCGTTTTGTTTTGAACTGGGGCTCGTTGTAACTGAACTGTTGATAGTGGCCCAGTATATTTGATACGAGCCATGTTGAGCAACTGTTAGATTGCGGGATAGCGTAGAAAAAGGGTGGGATGATGGTTGTTGCAGTTGCGATGATAAGAGGGGCAGGACTTGGTCAGAGAAGTTAAAAGATGGGTGTTATTCGCAGGTCACGGGGATTCCTGAGAGAACAATAGTAGCATAGCGTCAACAAACGTAAAGTGCGTCTATTTCCTTACTTTTTTTCTGAATTTCTTTTTTGCACTTTAATGTTTACAAATAATTATTTGGTCGAAATGAGATATATAGTAGTAGGACAAATTGACAGCTCGTGTTAGCAGTTCCAATATATAGATACAGGCTAAAATGCTTCCTCTAAAGCACATGGAGTATAGTGACTAACGAACAGACATAGCATAATCTCAATAATTTGATATTTACGAATCAATGCACTCTTTCTCTGTCTACATCACATCTCAGCCCAAGAAATATATTGATACCTAGATGTATCAGGCGGGATGTTGAAGTATAACAGCGAATAGGTTCGGTAAATGAAAGAAATTCTTAGGGGCATACCTTGGGAATATATAGTCACTTCCATGGTCTCTCTTTCGTTGCGGACCAGGAAACGGACCCTTCCTGTATTGAAACATTCTCGAACCGAATATTCCGACTTCGCTTGCCTGCAGGGAGCATAAATTCCGATTAGTACCCCTCGATCACTCCTGGGTATACTTCAATCTATATTTTGCAAAGTGATGCGATGGAGTCATAGAGCAGGGCTGTTATCGCCCCCACCAGGTCACGTGTATATACTCAGGCTAAAATAAGGCCTCGAATCGTGGTCATGGGAGATATCATATGCAAGTCAACGGTTAGCGTTTGAAATAGTAATCGGAGATTTACTTGTATGTGACTGCGGTGATTCCGCTGATTGAGGATTACTTGTAGGGCCATCTGGATGTCATTGCAGGACGGCAAAGTCTTCAAACTGCCGTCTCTTTGCCTCTTTTTTTCTCTTTTTTTTTTTTTTGTTTCGAAGATTGTTCTCTACCACGTGAAGTCTACCTTTCTTTGTATGAATTTATTACTAGTAACTGATTTATTTTTATCTTCAGTTATTCTTCATTATCATCATTGAATCTGGTCTTTCTATCTTTTGTCAAAAGAAACATAAATAAGCCCCATTATTGCGGAGCCTCGGAGAACGCCCACCACAGCCGGAAGGAGGCACGACCAACCACCGCCCAGCGCCCGCGCCATTCCCTCTCTTCTCCGCCGCCGCCCAAATCTAAACCTCTTTTCTTCTTTCTCTCCCTGTCAGCTCATTTTCTCTCTTTCTCCCCCCTCACTCCCACCACTCGACTCCCCACTCACACCACCTGCTCTTAACTGTTTACATAAATTCTCGTTGCTCGCCTCGCCATGTTTTAACGTGCTCTCTTTAGAACAGTCAGTTACAGTGGCTGACGGGGTAGCCCCATTTTTTTTCAACACCGACGGCCCGCTTTCCCTTGATTAGATACTCCCTGCCCCCGTACAAACCGTGGTCACCAAGCATACTTTCATTCTCGATCATACTGTGCATATATCATTATTATCGTTTCATTTTGGATTTTGGAAATCGGTCTAGGGTCTCTGGACCATGACTTCAAACGCCCCCATTGCCATCGACGTCGTTGAAGTCGACTCGCAATCAGCGCCTGCACCCACCGACGCGTCTTTGGCGCCCTTCGAGCCACCCTCTTCTCATCCTTCTCCTTCCTCTCGCCATCGCCAGTCTCGAAAACGCGAAATGAACAGCAGTGACAACACCCAGATGGATGGCTCGTTTGGTCAATTTTCCTTCGCGCCTGCCACTCAGACCACCGTCGTGACCACTACGACCACGACAACAACCACCTTCCCTCCCTTGATTATCAAACCACCTCGGGCAACAAGGGATTTGGATACCAAGCTTTATCCGTTGGCGGCGTCACCTACTCCTGATTCCCTGAGAAAAATCAAATTTGAGCTGGGAGGGAAATCTGTGGTTTTTAACGAGCCTGAGGATGCCTTAAGTGCTGTCAACGAGGTATGTTTTATTATCCACACAATAAAGCATTCATTTTTTACGGCGTCTTCTTTCCCCCGGCTTTTCTGTTGTTTTACAATGACTGATTTATACAGACGAGAGAAAGGAATGACGCGCTCAAAACCTCGAACGGCTTACTTCGGTCTGTGGCATCTTTTACTACGTCTAATGATGCTGGACATCCTCGAAGCAATGCCCACCCCAGGCTATCTAGCCAGCCATCGAGTCATCCGTCAAGTTCAAAACGTCGACCAGTCTCGCCAGTGTCGATCCCGGAGGCACAACCGAGTATACCCCGGACGCGTTCTCGAGTTCCATCAGAGCCTGCTCTCCGCTCATCTCGAACTCGTGCACCGGCCGCGGATGGGCTAGCAACACCGGAGACAGAGAACAACAGTTTCAGCGCTGGGAGTGCGTTTCCAAGAAGAAGGATTCATAGCGCAGCCCTTCCACGAAGGGCCTCAAATTTGCGTTCGCCTCTGTCTTCTGAAGTTGATTCTCAAGGGACGTTGCAGGCTTCGAATCCGAAATCCTTTTTGGGAAAGGACGTAGCACGGACTAGATTTGGGACTCTCGGAAAAAGCCCCCGGTTGGATCGTGGCAAAAATTTTTTGCAGGACAATATTAGCGCCCGTGTAGAGCATGAAGAAGAGGAGGAGGAAGGAGAAGAAGGAGGAGAAGAAGAAGAAGAAGGAGAAGAAGAAGAAGAAAAAGAAAAAGAAAAAGAAGCAGCAGTTCCTACTAGCAACCTGTCAGACAACGTGTCGGTGCAAATTCCACAACAGCGAAAATCGCTTGACACAAACACCCAGAGGACGGCAGCTGACAATGTTGCTGCTCAAGACATGTGCTTACCGAGCCCTAGTCTGTCTCCCGTGGCTGCCCTGAATGCCATGAATGCCGACTCATCCTTTGATTCTACAGAGGATGCGGGAGTTGATACGGATTCTAGCTTGGATAACAATGTTCCTCGGTTCTCAAAGAATGCTGACATCCCGCGTTCTACGGCATCATTGATGGACATGCCAAATGTACTGGACTTTTTCGATTCTGTTCCCGAGGGGTTGAAAACGTACCTTATGTACCAATTGCTCCGACGATGTCCTAAACCGACTCTCCGTTTTATCGCTAATGTCGTTAATCCGGCCCTGAAATGCGACTTTCTTTTCATGCTTCCGCTCGAATTGAGTCTCAACATCGTCAAATATTTCGATGCTCAGACCATGTGTCGTGCGGCCCAGGTGTCGAAGAAATGGAGACATATCATCAATTCCGATGAGAAGACCTGGAAAGGACTCTTGGACCAGGATGGCTATGTTCTCCCTGAAGGAGAGCTAGAACGCGCTATTAGAGAAGGTTGGGGTTGGCAATTCCCAAATGGAGATGAAGATTTCGAGAAGGATTTGACTACATCTCTCCCTCTGAAGTCTGGCCCAGGTTCATCTGCTTCGGCTTCTTTGCCAGCAGCAGGGCACAATGACAGGATGTTGGTCACTCGACAGTCAAAGAGAAAGGCTGCCACTCGCACATCAACTCGCAAGCATGCGAAGCGAAAGATCTCGTCCAGTGGGACAGATCGTTCAGAGACCCCTGATTGGAGAGTCGATATTGCAACGGCAGAAGGTCCATATGCTGCTGCTAGTGCTGCCGCAGCAGCCGTACCATACCCCGATGTTGGTCTGTCATCTCTCCGTAGTCTTCACTTGTATAAGTCGCTTTACCAGCGGCATTATTGCATTTACAAAGGTTGGATGAAGCCGGACGTTCGGCCAAAACATTTTGCCTTTCGTGCGCATGATCGCCACGTTGTCACGTGTCTCCAATTTGATACGGACAAGATTCTCACAGGAAGCGATGACACCAATATCAACGTTTATGACACAAAGACCGGCGCTTTGAGAAACACCTTAGAAGGCCACGAAGGCGGTGTTTGGGCTCTTGAGTATTACGGTAACACCCTTGTTTCAGGGTCAACCGATCGGTCTGTAAGGGTTTGGGACATCGAGAGAGCAAGATGTACCCAGATTTTCCATGGTCACACTTCCACCGTGCGATGTCTGCAGATCGTGCTGCCGTCAGAAGTTGGAAAAAGGGTCGATGGCACCGTTGAAATGATGCCCAAAGTGCCGTTGATCATCACTGGCTCCCGTGATTCTAACTTACGGGTGTGGAAGCTTCCTCGGCCAGGTGATCAAGCTTATTTCCAAAGCGGACCTCAGGTCGACGATGCCGATTGTCCATACTTTGTTCGCGCTCTCACTGGCCATCAACATTCCGTTCGTGCCATTGCCGCTCACGGAGATACTTTAGTGAGTGGGAGCTATGATTGCACTGTGAGAGTCTGGAGGATTTCTACCGGGGAAACTGTACACAGACTCCAGGGGCACACTTCAAAGGTATATAGCGTGGTCCTTGACCACGAGCGAAACCGTTGCATCAGTGGATCGATGGATAACTTGGTCAAAGTATGGTCGCTGGAGACTGGATCTCTTCTGTACAACCTTGAGGGACATACTTCTCTTGTTGGTCTTCTTGACCTCAAATGTGATCGTCTTGTCTCTGCTGCAGCGGATTCCACTTTGAGGATCTGGGATCCCGAAACCGGTCGCTGTAAGAGCATGTTGAGCGCCCACACTGGCGCAATCACATGTTTCCAACACGATGGTCAAAAGGTCATCTCGGGGTCTGATCAGACTCTGAAAATGTGGGATGTGCAGACTGGGGAGCATGTCCGGAACTTGCTCACCGATCTCAGCGGGGTATGGCAAGTCAAGTTCAATGACCGGAGATGCGTTGCCGCAGTGCAGCGTGATAGTTTAACCTACATCGAGGTAAGTCAGGGAGAATATTCAGATTGATGGCTACATGCTAATGGATTATTCAGGTTCTTGATTTTGGCGCTTCCCGTGACGGAGAGTCACCCGAGAAATTGGGGAAACGTATTGTTGTGAATCGAAGAGGTCTCGAAACCGGCGATTATGCTGAAGAAGATTACGACATGTCCGACGGTTAATTATGTTTATTCTACCCCGGTGTCGCTCTTGTAGTATGGTGATTTAGCGAATACCACCACAACTTCGACTACTACAGGCGGGCATTTATTTTCATTGCGGATTTCTACACATAATTTCATTTTGCGATACCCATACTCACGGTCATTTGTTTTTGTTTACATTTTAATGAAAGCTTGCATAGCGCGGTTAGCATGCATCTCATCATTGCAGTGTTTTACAGTGGGCAAGGCGTTTAATTTGCGTGGCGGTACCACGCTCCTCATATTTTCACTCAAGACATGATGCACATGTTTCTCAATGTTATGTTTATATTTCAAGGTTCAGAGGTTTAGAATCCTGTCGCAATATCAAGGCTATTCTTGCGTTTCAATTGGATTGATTCTACGTTGACCAAATGGTATGTCTCTGCTACATCCTTTCTGATTCATATAGTACTTTTTCCCCTGTCGAACCAGTAGCAAGTCATTACACAGTGTGCTTCCCTTCTGGGCCTTGAAAATCCAACTCAGAAACCACAAGGATTTAGTTCAAATGGTTGCCATGAATCCAAGCTAGACTGGATTGGATGGCTTTACATAGCGGATTATAACTGCCCCCTTGTGCAGAGCATGGATGCCTAATTAGACGAGCGAGGCCATCAGCATATCACTTTAGTAGCCTGATATCTGGCTGTTGTTCGAGAACCGGATTTCAATACCCAGCATAGAATCAAAATTGAAAATCAGGTACTTTCGACCCTGAACTCTCAGAAGACACAACATGATCTTCCTTCACCTCCACACTCCCCCCATAACCCGCAGCCGACAAAATCGCCCAACGCAACGCACTAATCCCCAAAAACTGTCCGTGTCCTGGCGCAACGCGCGTCCGCGGCTCCGTACTGCATGTGAGAATCTCACCCAAGGCACCGGGTCCCTCAAACCGACCGTCAGGTTGAACAACAGGTCGCAGATTTTGTAGTCTGTCCTGCAACGCAGCGAGACTTGCTACTGATGCACCGGATTTTGATTTAAGAAGTTTGTCGACTTTGGATATTACTACTTGGTGGGGGATGGCGTATCGGCGGAATAGGGCTAGGATGTCATGGTCTGTTTGTTTGAGACCATGATCACTGTCTATTAGGACGAAGGCGCGGCGGAGTCTGAGTACTTCCTATTAGCTCGGAAGACAAATTAGAATAAAAAATTTTTTTGATACTCACTGCCTCCTCCCCTGCAAATATTTCATAATTTCCACCCCCCACCCAGTCCTACTCCCCTTACCATACCCCGGCATATCCAATAACACAATCTTATTTTCTCCACCTTTCGTCCCCCCAATCCCAAATGCATTCATTTCCCTTGTCCTTCCAGGCTTCGACGACGTCCAACATATCTCCTTCCCCATAATCGCATTCAGTAACGAGCTTTTCCCAACATTCGAGCGACCCAGGAACGCGACTTCGGGTTCTAGAGAGGACATGGGCATTGTGCGGAATCTGTTGGCGGACCATAATTTTATGGGAGAGTGGCGGGAAGGGGTGAAGAGGGAGTTGGCATAGGCGAGTTGGTGATCATTGGGGATGCGTGTGTCCCAGTAGCAGGAGATTTGGGAGGGGGTGAGGGCGTGGAAGGGGAATAAATTTGGATTGGAGGGGTTTACGGTGGATGGTGTTGATGTTGTTGCGACGGTGCGGTGGGAGATGTATGGGGTTCTTTTGCGGAGGCAAGTAGCGCAGATGTAGTTTCGTGGTCTCATGGCTTTTGATTGAGTGTTGTATTCTAGAGTTGAAAGTGCAGTTCGCAATCGCGATGTTAAGCTTCTCCAGAGATTTTCTATGATTGGCAAGTCTCCCGAGGCACCGATATCAGGCATTTCTGCCGAGTCTCCGCCCCGCTGATAAGCTAATCCCAGGAACGACACCTAGGAGCAACGCGATGTCAATCTTGTGATCTGGAAATATACTGCGTCTTCTTCTTCTTCTTCTTCTTCCTCAAATATTGATAATTTGACAACAAAATGATCAACGCTGTGCTCCTCTTCAACAACACCGGGCAACCACGGCTTACCAAGTTCTACACAGAAATCGTAAGTCCGCGCGATGACACCAGACACCGCAGCTGGAGCTAACATCCATTCCAACCAGGACACCCAAACAAAACAATCCCTCATTGAACAAATCTACGACCTAGTTGCCCAACGTCCAGCAAGTGCCTGCAACTTCCTCCCTCTCCCTCCCCTGCTTGCGCGGGGTGCCCGCTCCAGCGCATCCCTCGGTCCCTCGGACGACCCTACACAAATCACTTACCGGACATATGCCACGCTTTCATTTATTATGATTTCCACATCAACTGAATCCCCGCTTGCGCTCATCGACCTGATCCAGGTCTTTGTCGAAGCTCTAGACCGCGTCTTCGAGAATGTCTGCGAACTAGACCTTATATTTGGCTATGAAACCATGCACGCCGTGCTGGCTGAAATGATTGTTGGAGGCATTGTGGTAGAGACGAACATTGATAAGATTGTTGGAGGTGTAAAAATTCAGGAAGGGGATTATGGGAAGAAGAAGGCTATACAGGCAGCGAGTTCAAGTGTTGGAAGGGGTGCGTTTCCGGGGTTGGGGGCGTGGCGGTGATGTTGCGATGCCTTTGTCCCTCATATCCCGTAATTTGCTGTTCTTTCGCTATGTTTTTGCTTTGCATTGCACATATGTTTTGAGTGGATACTGCATTGGTATGCTGAGTCCCATTTACGGGTGTTTCGGTTTGCATTTGGGATGTGTCTGACATTCTATTAGCGAAGATCATATTCATTTATATACGACTATAATCATGTTTAATTAGATGCCACTACTTACCAGTTGTAGCCAACTACTCCCGAGTATGGCATCGGAGGGTTAACCCTGCGCACGTGATGCTCCACCCGCGGCGCCGGCTCGCTTGTTTTTCCGCACTAGCGCGGCCCACGAAGGCGGCGGCGTTCTTTTTCAAGTTTGAATTTCACCTTCAATTTTCTTTCTTCTTTCTCTTCTTTGTCAACCCCGTCAACCAGCCCAGCGGATCTCAGTCGACAACAATGGTAAGCAGTTAACTTCCAGTGTTCTGATTTGCTTCATTGCAATTTCAAAGTCTTCGTTAAGCCTCTGCGAGATTCTGTGAGGGTAAAATCTCCAATGTCGCAAGTTTCGAAGCATTTTCCGTCGTTTGCACAAGTCCTGGTAATAGGGATGCGTGCAGCGGTGATGATTTGGCTGGAGATGCGAGTGTGGTCTTCTCAAAAGAGAGATTCGCTTGCTCTCCCTAGAGTTCAAGGAAGATTCAGCATTGGAGGAACATGTAGCTGATCTTCTTTTCTCAATGATAGCCTCCCAAGTCCGGTAAGAAGGTCGCCCCCATGCCCTACCCCCAGGGTAAGGCTGGTGCTAGCAAGAAGGGCCCCAAGGTGAGCATTCCTCTTTATGAGACTGCAGTAACATGAAGATGCTAACCGTCAATAGAACCCTCTCATCGAGAAGCGTCCCCGCAACTTCGGTATTGGCCAGGACATCCAGCCTAAGCGCAACCTCGGCCGTTTCGTCAAGTGGCCCGAGTACGTCCGTCTGCAGCGCCAGAAGAAGATCCTGAACCTCCGTCTCAAGGTTCCCCCTTCGATTGCTCAGTTCCAGAGCACCCTGGACCGTAACACCGCTGCCCAGACCTTCAAGTTCCTCAACAAGTACCGCCCTGAGACCAAGGCCGAGAAGAAGGAGCGTCTCCAGCGTGAGGCCACCGCCATCACCGAGGGCAAGAAGAAGGAGGATGTCAGCAAGAAGCCCTACAACGTCAAGTACGGTCTCAACCACGTCGTTGGTCTCGTTGAGAACAAGAAGGCCTCTCTCGTCCTCATCGCCCACGACGTTGACCCCATTGAGTTGGTTGTCTTCCTTCCCGCTCTCTGCCGCAAGATGGGTGTCCCCTACGCCATTGTCAAGGGCAAGGCTCGTCTGGGAACTGTTGTCCACAAGAAGGTATGCTTATCCATCCATCTTACACTTGATGTGCAATTGCTAATTGAATCACCAGACCTCTGCCGTCCTTGCTCTGACTGAGACCCGTGATGAGGACAAGGCTGAGCTTTCCAAGCTCCTGTCCGCCATCAAGGAGGGCTACACCGACAAGTACGAGGAGACTCGCCGCCACTGGGGTGGTGGTATCCTCGGTTCCAAGTCCGTTGCCCGCACTGAGAAGAAGCGCAAGGCCCTCGAGGCCTCCGTCAAGGTCTAAGCTTGTCTAGCGGAAAAACGAAAAATTTTTTCTTTAACGACGAACTTCACGATCTTGTGGTCTAATTCTAAAAGCTTCTTCTATAATCAAACGAAAAAGTCTTTGGCACCTCATCTCTTGTTTCCTTTTATTACCCTTCATGTACAACGTTACAGATACCCATGAATGCATTTTTATCTTGTCAACCTGGATGTACATGTAGTGTTGAGAAATGAGCATTCATGTGGAGTCTGTCTGTACTTCATCGTCTTTAGTAGTCTTTGTAGTCAGGTCTTCTATTTTTATGTGGCCGAAAAAGATCTTTTGGTAGCGGGCATATTCTTTAGTAAAGATGGAGAGATCGCAGAATTCGCTACAATCCCGGATTTTATCTTAACTTGACCCAATCCCAAAATTGAATCATGCCCGTACAATATGAACAAACTCATAACCCAACGTAAAAGAAGCAATAGTACCAAGGTTTATATAAGAAATGACAACATTCATGATAATGATGATGACGAAGAACCTGGATATATGGAAAAGGTCAAAGGAAACTCCTCCCAATCTGGTCCCATTGATGAGAAGACGACGAGAACAAGAACAAAAATGGATATTTTGAGTAATCATATAGAAACAGAGACACAACCAAGAACCCGCCCAAAAGATGAATCATGAAAGGAGCATATAATAATACGGTGGAAAAGAAAAAATAATCGAAAAAAGGACAGAATGAATATATGCAATCGTACCCGGCCATTAGCGACCGGCTGGTCGTGAAATGCCTTGTCGTGCCTAAGAGTTTTAATGTCAGCAACTGTTCCTTCATATTTCTATAAAGACAGGTGGGTGATGGAAATCTTACCTTCATAGCTTCTATCCTCGCCTTCAACTGACTCGTAACCTCCGCAGCCCTCTTCCAGTTCTCCGCCGGCTCTGCGCTCCGTTGACCCTGATCCTCCCCAGAATAACTACCAGACCCAACCCGCGACGACCTCGTCGGACTAGCAAGACCAGACTGGCTCGTTCCGAAGGTAGGGCTGAACTTGCGCCGTCCAAGGCCGCTATCCCTGGTATTCGGGCCACCGGGGGATTCTAAGCCGTTATTATTACTGTTGTTGTTCTGGTTGTCTTCGATGGGGGAAGCGGAGGCGAAGCTGCGTGGGCGGGAGCTTTCGAGGCGGGAGCCCATTTGGAGGCTGCTTACGCGGGGAGTCGCGCCGTGGGCGTTGCCGTTACTGCCTGTGTCTGGGGTGCCCTCTGGGATGGACATGCTGATGTTGTCTGCAATTGTGTTGGGGGGGCTCATTGCGGTGGCGCGGAGGGAGCGGGCAAGTTCACGCTTTAGGCGCTCGACTTCCCGCGTTTGCTTTTGAACGGTTTGTTCTGCTGATTCTGCGTCACTGCGTGCGCGGACCAGTTGCGTTTCCTTGGCCTTGACGCTTAGGACATCCCTGGTGTGGTCTTCGATAAGTTGTGCGTTTTGGTTCTGCAGCTCTGTGACTTGCGAGTTCAGCTTGGTGCGCTCGTACTTCATGTCCTCAATCATGCGCATGAACCGGTCCTTTTCCAGCCGCAATTCTTCCAGTTCTGCCCGGTCAGAGCTGGACATTCCGCTCATTTCAGGGGCTGGTGGAGGAGTAGGTTCAGCGGAGGGAGGAGGAGAGGGCTTCGCGATAGGACGACCGGCGAGGCCTCGTCCAAGACCAAACTTAGGGGCGGCAGGTGGTTGTGGTTGCTCATCTTGGGGAGGAGAGGCGACTCGTCGTTGCGGAGAGGCAGCCGCCCCTGGACCGGCAAGTCTCTTCTTGAGGCCAGATCCTGGCGTAGGAAGAACACCAGGCTTGGGAACGCCGCCTGTTCTCGCGGGGGGCTTGGCAGCAGATTTGGGCGCTGGGGCTGGTTCTTCTGGATGTGCGGCAGCAGGCGCTGGTTTCTTCGCACCCAATGCCGGCTTCTTTGCTACTGGTCTCTTCCCAGCAGGACCGACAGACTTGGGTGGACCAACAATGGGCTTAGGTCGCTCCTTGGCCTTGACTTGGGCGGTTTCGAAGTATTCCTTGATCTTGGTTTTCCTGATATCGTCAAGGCCATCCATAAAAGGATTCATTGCGCGTTCTCCGATGATCTTCATCAACGTTCCAAGCGCTTCAGCACCTCCTGCACGGTTCACTTCACTGGAATCGGTAAGAAGTTTGGTACCAGCCTCTGCAATCATTTTCTGCTCTGGTTTAGATGGGACATCTCTAGTAGTTCGGAGACAGCGGACAAGGAACTTGACTGTTTCCTGCTTCACCTGAGGGTTCTTGTGTTTTAGGAATTCGAGAATCTCTTCTAGGCATTCTGACAGGTTCGTTGATGCAAACACGGAGTCGAGTGCTTGACCTAAGGCATCTGCGATACTTTGCTTCTTTTCCTTCAACCGTTCCATAATGGGTGCCATGATTGTTGAGCGATGTTTACCAAAGCTAGACTTTAGACCCTTTGCCAGTAGATCAATACAGTGGGCGGCAACAGTCACGACTGCGATGTTGGCGTCTTTCATACACTTGGCCAATGCCCTAACGATGTCATCAAACTGACCGTCCTTGATCCGAGGAACGTTGATAACCGAATAAAGTGCGTCCAGAGCTTCTTTCCTGTCTTTCCACTTGGACGATGATAAATTGTCATGGAAGTCCTTGGGGATTTTCGAAAGCACATCAACGGGCTCTGCGAGATCAAATGCGTCGACCTCACCACCATCCTCCGCATCTTCCTCACCACTTTCATCCTCACCCTCATCATCGTCAGGGGCTGCACTAGCTGCTGCCATGGCATCTTGTTGGGCCTTTGTAAATCTTTCTTGCTTCGGTGCGGGTTCCTGTTTAACGTTTTCGAAGAGTTTATCGAGGTCTTGTTGTTGCACTGGTTTCAATTCACCCCAGAAAAGCGGTTTAATAGCTTCTTTCAGCCACCGATATAGCTCGACAGTGAGGTTCTGAGCCTCAGCACGGACATTCTTATCCGCGTGTCCGAATACCTTAGGAAGCGCCTTGAGGACTGGCTTGGGATCGACGATCTTGCACCCGAAGTTATGGTAGATGGCTCTCAAACCCACCAATGCCGCCGCAATCACCTTAGGTACTTTATGCGAAAGTGCGGGCACGATCTCTTCGACAACGGGATCTGCTTTGTCGAACTCAACACATAGTAAAAGCGCTTCCAGCGCGTTCGTTTTGGCGGCGGGTCGTGTTGATGGGAGACCTTTCTCAACGATAGCGGAGACGGTATATCCACGAGTTCTGGAGAAATATTACATGTCAGCTATACAAGCTCCTTTCTTTGGTACTTCCCCTGAAGCCTTCCAGAAACAGAATGGATCACGGCGCACCTTGTGCAAGCCTGAACACCTCCGAATTTCAGGAACGAACAATATGACCCGAGACCTTCTTGTTGGGCGGCGACGTTGGAATCTGCGACGGCGCCTTTCCAGAGGCTTGGATCTTGTATAAACGGAGCGAATACCGGATGCGATTCGTCGGGCGTCTTTTCAAATTGCTGCTTCGCATCTTCGTACCCTTCCTTTCTGACTTTCCAATTCTAGATTCAAAGTAATAAATTATCAGCACTTTTATCCCCACCTAAAAACTCTCGCGGGTCCCATCGGTTCGAGCGAGACGGCTGGCCGGCTCACCTTGTGGGAGAATCGGTCCGGCAATGGTAACGACGAAAGATCTTCTTCTCCGTCAGGCATGATTAAGGGAGTAGCGGTGGGAAAAAGTAGTCTTCGTCTTCGTCAAGCGATAGTTCGTTCGTAATCTTACTGGAGAGGCAAAGAAATATGATTAACACTCCATCCGCATCTCAAATGCGATACCGGGTCGCGGGGCTTGGTATAAGTGGAGAAGGGAATTGACTGATGGTGATAGAAAATGACAGAAAATGAGATGGTCCTCTAGTCGCACGAAGCTGCACACACAGACGGAGAGGGAGAGACGTACAATCACAGCTGAAGGTTGAATTTGGTTGTGCAGAGAGGATTTGACGCAAAAGACGGTCGGGGAAATGAACAGTGTAGTGCGTATATGCTCGAGTCCAATCGTAGAAGTCGTCAGATATGTATAAATTCGTTTCAAGGAGAATTCAAGTCTGGATCGTTTGGCCGATTAACGGTAGGGAGCGTGGTTGGGCATGCGATGATGTTCGAGGGCGATGGAGGAAAAACAAAGTAAACAGTCGCTGTGGTGACTCTTTTGGCGACCCAAGTCTTGGCATTTTCAGATGCCCCCAACATGGAGTACAACTACGACAATGTCTTTCTTTTCTTTGAATAAGCATTATAGGTCTAGGAAGGTCATTTCATTGATAAATTCATTCAGATCTTCTAATACGTTGGGTTTGTTTTACATAAAATCCATAGGCCCAATTGAATAACACAGTACAATATAATACACTAGGTACATGAAATCGAGAATCAAAATAGGCAAACTCCATGCCATGAGCAGAATCTACGGTATGAGGGAGAGAATGAGGGATAGAATATTGAAGGCAATAATTCACATATATGCCTCCCTCTCCAGAATCAAACTCCGAATCCTACCCACATGCTCCTTCACCCCCGAATCCTCATCACCACTCTCGAACCGTTTTTCCCTCCGTTCCCATTTAGCAGCCCTCTTTTGCTCACGGACTGCCTCACGCTCCTCCCGCGACATCACCGGCGGCCGCTCCTCAATCCCGCTCCCGAACGGCGCAACGATCCGCTCAACGACATGGTGCACATTGCGGCTCTTCGGAAACCCAGACGAAAACTCAATCACGTCACCCTCGCGTAGGGAGTTGCGCGGGTCCGAGACGAGGAAGTTGGTGACTTGTGGGTAAGACTTGCGGAGGTGCTTGTCCCAGAAGGTGTGACGGTGGGCGACGCGAACGGTGCGATCCATCTTGCCAACAGAGGACACGGTGCCGACTTTGAGGGTGTAGGGGTAGCTGCGGAGGGAGGGAGGTGTGGCTTTGGCTTCTACTGCGGTTGTGGGTGTGGGTGTGGGTATCGAGGAAAGAGGGGTTGGTGATTTTTGCTGCGGTTGTTGTTGGTTTTCAGGGGAGGTAGAAGCTGCTCGTCGAAAGCCGGAAATCATCAAGCTTGTGCGTGCTGATTGAGGGAGAAGGGTTGCCGTAGAGGACTTCGTCGTCAAGCCGGTCATGGAAGGTCTGAGCAGCATTGCCCGGAGGTTGTTGCTCGGAGACATCTTGGGCCCTCTGTGTTCTCGATTTCAAATTGAAAATTGGCGAAATGGCAAGATACCACCAGGTTCAACCAGATGGAGTCGTCTCGTACTGGATCTTCGAACAATGGTAAGATCGGAGACTCGTAACGGACCGTTTTAGACACCTCGGCGAGAATGCGTGGCAAGATCGAAAGAGGAAACAGAATTCCTGGCACCAACAGTTGCGGGTAAAAGCCTGGGAAGACGGCTGGATAGATCGAATAATTGTCGTGGGGCCAGCGAGTTCGATATCGGGGTCTCAATCGGCGGATGGGAGAATTTCTCGTGGGTGTTTGCAACATTTGCAACCGCCTCACTACAACGGGATACTTCAGGTCCTGCTCAAATAATCCAGGCAAAACAACGTCCAAGTATCTTTTCATAATCAACTCTTTATAGTTTTCCGTATGCATTGTAGAGCTATACATCTGGTACAAGTAAATATAAAGCAAGCATTTCAACGCGACAAAACCACGAGCAACCAAAGATATCAATACCATGCAACCCCTTATACAAGCTAATTAAAATAGACGAATATACAGGTGTAGATGTTCAGTGCTTACTTGGCCTCAATGCCATTGACACCATCGACCTGAGAGCCTGGGCCTGGCGTGGCTGGTTTCGACTGGAATTTCTCCGCCGAAGCCGCAGATATTCTCGTCAACTCATTGACAAATGATTGGCCCCAGAAGGCACTATCATAGGTCAGTAATTGTGAGATGCTTCAAAAACAGGAGAATGAGTGAAGTCATACCTAGTATACTTCGAAACGTATTTGTCCAGTTTGTGAAAATTCAGAGCCCGTTGCTCATCTCCCATTGTGACGGCCTCTTGATAAGCACCTGCTAGCTCTTCCGTATTCCAGGGATTGACGATTATACTCCCGTTAAGGCTTTGAGCTGCACCGGCAAATTCTGAAAGTACCAGGACACCATGCCGTTTTTGTTGCGACGCAATGTATTCGTATGCTACTAAGTTCATACCGTCTCGGGTAGAAGAAACAATGCAGGCATCTGATACTGCGTATAGCGCAATTAGTTCGTCAAAGTTAACTGACTTGTGAAGGAAGTGGATCGGCATAAACTCGACCGTTCCTTGGGTTGTTAGTAATAGAGAATATACATTAGCATGGCACAAAGGCGCACTCACCGAATTTGCCGTTGATTCGGCCAACGAGCTCATTGACGACAGCCCTAAGGTTCTGATACTCTTCAACATCCTGTCGACTGGGCACCGCAACCTGAACCAAGACCACCTTCCCCACCCATTCTGGGTGATCACTGAGGAAGACTTCAAGCGCGTGCAATTTCTGGGGTACACCTTTTATGTAGTCAAGTCGATCCACTCCAACTAGGAGCTTCACGCCCTGGAACTTTTGTTCAAGCATGGCTATCCGTTTCTGGACCTTTTCCTTCTTAAGGCCCTCTTGGAACTTCTCCGGGTCGATACCAATTGGGAAGGCACCACAGGCAATGATCTTGCCTTGAAACTCAATACCATTTGGGGTTGTTGCCAATCCCCTTCGTATAGATGTCAGCACTCTTCAAAGTCTGATGGAATGAGGTCCGAGCTTACAGTAACCGTGAGCAAGCGCTCAAGAAATGCCTGGTGTAGTCATAGGTATGGAACCCTATAAGGTCGCAGTGAAGGACACCAAGCAACAACTCGTTTCGAACGGGCAGGATTCGGTAGATCTCGCTACTGGGGAAAGGCGTATGAAGAAAGAATCCGATCTTGACGTTCTCCTTGCTGTCCCCAATCTCTTCCCGGAGCATCTCCGGAAGTAGCATCAAGTGGTAGTCGTGTACCCAGATCAAATCCCCGTCTTTAACTTCCTTTGCGATAGCCTTGGCGAATAGGCGATTTGCGTCCTTGTATGCCTCCCACGCAGATTCATCGAATGTAATCTCACCCGGGTGGTAGTGGAATAGCGGCCAAAGGATTGAATCTAATCGACAAAAGATAATGCCGTCAGCAAAGCCGAGGCCCTAGCTCAACCCGCATCCCGGGGTATAGTGAGATGGACTAACTGGAAAACCCATTATAATGCCGATCTGCCAATTCATCGTCAATGAACACCGGAACCGCTCCATACTCGTCTCTCAAGCGATCCTTAACATGTGGTACTTCTTCCTCAGGAACCTCCAAGCCGGGCCATCCGTACCACTGGAAAGTTGTCGACTTGGACAGGCCGCTCAGACCACTGACCAGACCACCGGAAGACATGGAAAAGTCATATTTGCCATCCTCAGAGCGTTTTATAGTGATGGGTAACCGGTTCGAGACGAGGAGCAGCCGTGCCTCATTGTCAGTACTATCGATGCCCGGCATCGCGACGGAAGATTGCAGGTAGGTTATCGTTTGCGACAACGTCCGAATATCCGTTTGAACAAAGGGATCCAACTGATAACCGTAAGACACTGCTTTGAAAATAATAATAATAATAATAATAATAATAATAATAATAATTAGGAATGGAGAAAAGAAAAATATATAAATAGATAATAAAAAAAAGAGGGGGAAGCCAAGCGTAAAAGGATTAGTACAAACCAATACCGAAAGGATCAGGTCAAGCGGAAGACAAGCCGGTCAAGATGAGTCCAGAAGATTCCAAAGAACGAATTCGCCTACTTATCAGAATAGACCAGACTAATATTCAGAAGATAAAATAGAAGAGGAATCACAAAGGCCGTTGCTCAAATCGCAAGTTCGAAACAAGCAGGGAAGTCGTCGGCGGCGGGGAAGAGTGACCTCAGAGCCCAATGCGCGTGGACCACTCAATCTAGAGCACAGCGGGCAGAGATCACACTGCGAAGATAGAAAATGAACAGAAAATTTGAATGCGCTCCTCAGTAGCAAGGTCATGAATTGATTCAAACTGGATATGAAGGTCGGCTGAGGTTGAACAGATGGGGGAGATATATGAGATGGTGATGAGGTCAGCGGAGAAGATTTGGTTGGGCGGAGCCAGTAATGGATGATGCTGTTACTACTGCTACGACCAATAACACCATTTTATCTGGCAATTCTTCTCTTAATACTATTTATTTGAGACAACTTCATTCCGCGTAGAACGTTATTTATTTGTGCTAAATTGGTTCCTGGGCAAACGATGTAATTGGAGCTTTTAAGGACATGATATAATAGCATCAAGATGCTCTATACATAACATTATCCGGTTAAAATGATACAATAATGACATGAATATGTACCAGATGGCATGCTTATGAAAAATCATGAGATACTCCGTATTCATAAAGCAGACCTCTCATCCACCAAACTCCACTTTCCCGATAGCGAGTCGTGAATTGTCCTACTCTCATCTTCTAACTTCATAAGTACCTGCAACACCCCATGTGACGCAGGCAAGTGCAGACTCTCGGGCACATCCTTATATATCGCCTTCACCAACTCCAAAGGAGTCCACCATCCCTTGCGCTCTGGGGACTTCTCGTCACCAACGTCGAGTTTGCCGTATCGGAGGACCCGGACGACCTCGTCCTCGCGTTGTTGACGGTGCTTCAGGTATTCAGTGACTTTCGTCTGAACTTTCTCGATAACTGGGCCATGGCCGGGGTATCCGCGGCCGGAAACTTGACTATGCATCCTTCGCAGGCTGGATAGGTAGGCTTTCAAGTCTTCAAAAACACTCGTCCCCTGTCCCAAGACATCTGTCGATGATGAAAACATAAGCATCAAGCATCAAGCATCAAACGGATAATAACGATGAACTTACTATCACCAGTAATGAGAGCATCCTCTTCCTCCAGAACAAACGCCATATGATCAAAAGCGTGTCCAGGAGTATGGCACGCTCTCAGCGTTGCACCCTCAACACTAAATACCTGCCCATCTTCAATGTCCTCTTCCCCTTCTTCAGGTTCCCGCTTGTGGACAATCACTTGGGGGCAGAGATGCTTGAGATCAGTAATACCACCGACGTGATCCACGTGCCAGTGCGTGAGGAGCGCCCTTTGCACAGTTGCATTCTCTGATGACAAGACGTTCTTAAGGCTTGTTGCCCATGCGGGCTTGCCTTCGCCCGTATCGATGAGGATCCTTTGGCGTCCTCGACCGATCAGATACGTATTTGTTCCTGGTTGTTTATCAAAACTCAGGATACTCGAAATCCTTCACAGGGGTATAGATTGGCTTACCTTGTAATGTGAACTATTTCTCACGGTAACAAACTGTTAGCTATGTCGCCTCTGACTTCCCAGATAGATGCTGGCCTACCTTTCCCGGGTTGCCCCCCAAAATCCGCACCACTGAAGCACTGAGTTGTTCCACCTCAGGGAGTGAGATCAATTGTGTAGCCATGGTATAGTGATTATGCTGACGCTGCAGTAGGGAACTGCCGGGAATTCAGTTAAGAATCGATTAACCCTCAGATCTGATAAATAGGTAATAGAAATATATCTTATCGTGCTACACAATGCCAACCGAGCACTGCATCCCGTTTCAAAGAGGAAAAGTCGTGGGACTTGTAAAAGTTATCAGAAGTAACACAGGATCGTACATGAATTAGTAACACACCCAACTATAAGCCTTTGGCTATGCCCCGATTCACGATCGTTCCAAGCGCCTTCCGAAGCGCGGGGCAAATCTACACTGGGCCTCGGTCCAGCACGCCATATTTGTCAGCATTGGTGTGGAATACGGTTGAGATGGTTGTTTACGGTGCAGGAAGTTACTATAACGACTTGGACCACAAGTTGAACAAAAAAAAGAAATATGGTATGCGCTCACTCCTAAGATACAGGAATAGATGATATAGAAAAACACCACACAAAAACTATATCCATAAAACCCACCCAAACACGGAAGGGAAATAACAGAAAAAGGAAATCGTTAAAGAAAATTTTCAGGGCTGGACTCCATTTTTCCCATCATACCTGACCTTCCCCTCCTTAACGGGAAGGATGTTTCCGTCACTAAAATAGAAACACACATAATTTACAAAACCCTTATCAACCAAGGGTTTAACTCAAGGTCGATTCAACAAGGATTCTCGCATTTAGCTAGCAGACTTGCGGGCCATGGTGTTGAGAGCAGAGCCGTCATGGAACCACTCGATCTGGGACTCGTTGAAGGTGTGGCTGAGCTTGACGTCGTAGGCGGCACCATCCTTGGGGTGCACACGGAGGGTGACAGGCTTGCCAACCTCGAGCTCAGTGCAAAGGAGGTCGACAGTGTCGGTGGGCTGGATCTTGTCGTAGTCGGCGGGATCGGAGAAGGTGAGAGGAAGCATACCCTGTTTCTTCAGGTTGGTTTCGTGGATACGGGCAAAGCTGCGAGTGATGATAGCAAGACCGCCAAGGTGACGAGGCTCAAGGGCAGCATGCTCACGAGAGCTACCCTCACCGTAGTTCCAGTCACCAATGACAACCCACTGGATACCACGAGCCTTGTAGTCACGGGCAGTAGCAGGGACAGCATCATATTCGCCAGTGAAGGCGTTTTTGACCTTGTTGGCCTCGCCGTTCTCGGCGTTGACGGCACCGATCAACATGTTGTTGGAGATGTTGTCAAGGTGACCACGGTACTTCAACCAAGGACCGGCCATGGAGATGTGGTCGGTGGTGGTCTTGCCCTCACACTTGATAAGGATGGGGAGGTTGGTGGCATCCTTGCCATCCCAGGCCTTGAATCCGGCCAGGAGTTGGAGACGGTCACTCTGGGGAGACACAGCGACGCTGATGGACTCACGGTCCGCGGGAGGAGCCTGGTAGGTGTCACGACCGGGGTCGTAGCCTTGGGCAGGCAGACCTTCACCAGTGGGAGCCTTGAGCATGAACTCCTTGCCATCCTTGTCCTTGAGGGTGTCGGTAAGAGGGTTGAACTTGAGGGTACCGGCAATGGTCATGGCAACGACAAGGTCAGGGGAGGTAACGAAGGCGTGGGTGGCGGGGTTAGCATCGTTACGACCGGTGAAGTTACGGTTGTAGGAAGAGATGATGGAGTTGGGCTCGCCCTTCTTCACATCCTTACGGTCCCACTGGCCAATGCAAGGACCGCAAGCGTTCGCAAGGATAACACCACCGAACTCCTCGAGGGTCTGGAGCTGACCGTCACGCTCAATGGTGGCGCGAATCTGCTCAGAACCAGGGGTGACAGTGAAAAGGGACTTAGCCTTGATACCGTGGTCAAGAGCGTCACGGGCAATAGAAGCAGAACGGGACATGTCCTCATACGAGGAGTTGGTGCAAGAACCAATCAGGCCAACCTTAAGGTCCTCAGGCCACTTGTTGGTGTCGACAGCCTCCTTGAACTTCGAGATGGGAGTAGCAAGGTCAGGAGTGAAGGGACCGTTGATGTGAGGCTCGAGCTCGGACAGGTTGATCTCAATCAGCTGGTCGTACTCGGCACCCTCGTCCTCGCGAAGCTCCTTGCCGTAGCCCCGGGCGAAGTCGGCAATGTTCTGACGCTTGGTAGCCTTGAGATAGTCGTACATGCGGTCGTTGTAGGGGAAGAGCGAGGTGGTGGCACCAATTTCGGCACCCATGTTACAGATGGTACCCATACCAGTGCAGGACAGAGAGTCAACACCAGGACCGTGGTACTCAATGATGGCACCAGTACCACCCTTGACGGTAAGAAGACCAGCGACCTTGAGGATAATGTCTGGAAACCCATGACGTTAGTATCGGAAGAGAACCACAATAGGTATTTTGAATATCTTACCCTTAGGAGCAGTCCAGCCGGACATCTGACCGGTCAGGCGGACACCAATGACCTTAGGAGCCTTCAACTCCCAAGGAAGACCAGCCATGACGTCGACAGCATCAGCACCACCAACACCAATTGCGGACATGGCAAGACCACCAGCGTTAGGAGTGTGAGAGTCGGTACCGATCATTAGACCACCAGGGAAAGCGTAGTTCTCCAGGACAATCTGGTGAATGATACCAGAGCCGGGCTTCCAGAAACCAATGTTGTACTTGCCGGTAGCAGTGGAAAGGAAGTCGTAGACTTCTCTGTTGATATCATTGGCACGCGCAAGATCCTGGTCACCACCAACCTGGGCCTCGATCAAGTGGTCACAGTGGACGGTGGTGGGAGTAGCGACGGACGGCATACCAGCCGACATGAACTGAAGGATAGCCATCTGAGCAGTGGCATCCTGGCAAGCAACACGGTCGGGGCGCATCCTCAGGTAGGACTTGCCACGCTCGATGTCCTGGCCATGAGGGTCGTCAAGGTGAGAGTACAGGATCTTCTCAGCATAGGTGAGGGGACGACTCAGGCGCTGGCGGACAATGTCAAGGTTCTCAGACATCTTCCTGTAAGAACGCAAATTATGTCAGTAATCTGCTAATCGTACCCAAACAGACATAAGCCACATAATGTGGCGCAGATGTTACTGCTTTTTTTTTTTTTTTTTCGGGTATACCGTGCTGTCTTACTTGTAGTTGATGTAGTTACCCTAGATCAAGACCGTTAGAGATTATGTCACAATACGTAAGAATGCCCCTCCATAGTGGGCTAGACGAATACACATACCTTCTCCCAATGGGTCATCTCGACCTTCTTGTCGAGAGGGCTGTCGGTGACGGTAGCCATGCCCCGGTTTCCGAAGAACTGCGTAGCAGGTTAATCATTTTTGTCCAAAGCCATCCAACAACCGTATATTCATTTCTGTGGGCAGATGAAAGGTGGGCGGGATAGCTTACAGCACGGGACTTAGGGGCCTATTAAGCAGATATCAATTAGTATATCGATCAACCAAAAAAAGCAAGCAGTCAACGTCCGTGCTTGGACTGCAGTTCCTGCTTAGCTGCCGTTTCTGCTTCTACAGAACGATGCAGCGAGGTGGTGTAAGGAGCAGCAACTTACCAGCGCACCCATGCGCGCAAGCCTTGAGGAGATCATGATGAAAGCTCTCTATGTGTAAACACGGCTGCAACACATCCAAGGAGAGCCGGGGCAAATATGGAGTGGAGATTGAAAAAGAAGGAGAAGAGAGAAAGAGAGAAGAAGGAGGGATGAGAGCAGATAAAAAAGAATAGGCGTATGGGAATAGAAAGATTCTTGTTACCAACAGCGACTACTCCACTGGGGGAGACCGGAGCAGAGGACCCGTAACCGCATTTGACAGTAATACAGTCCTTGTAATTTATTTCGCATTCGGTCCACCCTATTAATTCTCCCGGACACAAGGAAGCACAGATCGAACGGACTTGCCCCATTCCCCATCAACATTAAACTTGTATTGTATCTGCCATTCAGCGTCCAGATGATTTTCAATTCGAAATACCCTCGCCCTCAATGGCTTTTCACTGACCCTCTGGAGGCTCTCACGTAGCATTAAACAATTTACTGAGGTAGAGGATCTCCCTGCCTCCGAAATACCGTTACATAACGTTACAGTATGTTTAGCCGCAGACTCCGGAGGAAGAATGAACCTGTGCGGCGATGAGCGCATGTGAGGTTGAAATGGACCGCTTGGGCCAATCATGGGGCGGTTGATTACCCCGTTCTCCATACTTACTTGTACACAGCAGTATTACCGATATTACAGTTGTCCGGATATCGTAGCTAGTATTGAGCTATATTACTCTCGCTTTATAATCTCAAGACTTATCGCTGTTGGAATACATTCATATTCGTGTATTATTGAAGGACTGAGGGGTGTTATTATTATCGCCTGCAACATGACTGGGGGATGAAATCATGGACGAGACTCTTGCTCTTCCGGAGCAATGAGCCGAAAACTGCAAACGTCATAAATTACGGGCTCATGTATCCATGTATCCGCTGACGAAACCGAGCCTAAGCCGAGGCCTACCGATACCTACCTCCCGCGGACCGATTGCCAAGCAATGTGTAGTCCTCGTCCAATCAAACACAACGTGTTTCAACATTTCGTTCCTCGCACACAAAGGCGGAACACTCCGTAATTTTGCGAAACCCCGTGACCCGCTCTCTTGACAGTCTTTCCGTATATCGGTGATAAGGACACTTGATACCAACGACGCATCGGGAAGAATTTTCGGCTGGTCCTTTCTGGCTTGATAGAACGTTAATATGGGTGCATTGAGACGAGTGAAGACGAAGCGCCTCACAAGGTATGTCCTAGTTTATGCTAAGGATGGTGTCGCCTCTGTCCTGGTATGCTGATTTTTTATTTTAAAACTTCAGAGGCTACGATCAAGTGCGCGAAGACCTTGATTCCCCCAGACATCTTGCGCAGTACAAAGCCACCAAAGATGCAGAAGATCTTCCAGGCCTAGGGAAGCACTATTGTGTTGAGTGCGCGAAATGGTTTGAGAGCGAGTACAATATGGTCTCCCACACCAAAGGCAAGAATCACAAGCGAAGGTATGGAAGTCGAAACCCCGCAGTCAACTTACATCGCATGAGAATTGAAACTGATGGAAGGGGCTTCCTCAACTATAGACTCCGCCTGTTGCGCGAAGACCCTCATACGCAAAAGGCCGCCGAAGCTGCCGTGGGATTGGGAACGGACAATGGCAAGCGACCACAGGAATCTGAAATCGCCATGGAGGAATAAATACCTATCCCCCGCGCTCCAATGATATCTACGAAGCATAGGAATAAGGTCGGACATAAGGCGTACAAAAGGGATGAAATTGCATTCCTTCTATCAGGAAAAAGGACCTCGCTACAGCAATCTGCGAGTAGAGGCTGTTGAAGGGCAAAAAATTTCGATATGCCGTCGTTGCTCGAAAAGCATTCTGATTGGTTGAGCTCCAACAGAAAAAGCTTTTCTTCCGAAAAGGAATAGCCTGCACATGAGACTACAAGTGCCGATGGTCGCAATCTTGGAGCTTGTCTTACCGAGTGCGGTTCTTCCGGTGTGCGGCGACGGCACAAATTGCCGCATTTCGGATATTGTATGGCTTTGTTCCATCTCCTTTGTCCGGCGCTTTTCTCCTTAAGACGAAATTTAGTTACTAGCTGCAATACAAAGCCGTACAGAGTATGATTGAAATGGATCGAAATAATTTGTTTTGGCTATAAATACAATACGAGTACAAAGTACAACTCATCTATGTGTGCCTAAGCATTTTCGGGCATGAGGTTTTTATTCCATGCAACATTATTGAAGGCTTTCATAAGCCATTCATACGTGGCCCACTGGCATATAGTCAGCAACTGCGTTTTGTAGATTTTGGACAAACGTACCTGAACCGCATTAACTATGAATGCTCTGATACTGCAAACCCCCAGCCCGCGATAGAAGACTTTCATGCCCTCGTTCCGGTATGCTTCCTTGGCAATCTGGAAGGTGTTCAGTTCCCGCTTGTTGCTCTGCGATGACAGAAGCGGCCAACCCTCAGGACATATCCCGCTAGTTTGCGCTTGTAGTCTGGTTTTGATCACGTCCAGTGGGAAAACCGACGCCCAGGTAGCGACACCAGCAATGCCTCCACAGAGAAGCACTTTCATCGCGGCTTGATGAACATCATCGTCTTTAGAGGTCAAAAGTCGTTTGCAATACTCGTAGGACCAGAAACTGTTTGTAATATGCGTTAAAATTGAGCACGGGGATGGTGATGGGCGGAGAAAATCTGGGGAAGACGGTTTCCATACTAAAATCCATAACCAATAGAATCTCTGGCACTAGTAATCCCTCCTCCGTAATAGAGACCCCTCCAGCCACGAGTCCGAACAATGTCTTTCGCAACGGTCCACGACGAGACTTCGGGCCGATTATCTAATTGGGCTCGACATTTTATATATTCTGTCGGGGACGATATAGTCCAGCTAGCCAGGCCGCCCACAGCACCGGCAATCCAGAGTTTGTAGAGAGGAACTTCCAGGGGATTTGTAAGGTCTGCGATTGAGCTATCCATAAACTTCAACGACCGGTTATAGGCGACGAAAAGAATAGCGTTGAGGGCCCCATATCCAAGGATAGGAGCTGTAACTCCTATTATAGAAAAAGTCAATCATCAACTTTAACATGTATGCGGGGGTGCTTATCAAACCTCGCACAAGTTCGAAGCGGCTAAGGCGTTGCTGCGATGCTGCAGCCGCAGCTGCACCTGCAGAGTTGTGACCGGCTTGTAACCGAACCTTAATCACATCTAATGGGTTCCCGATGACAATTCCAATGGCCCCGCTGAGGTAGCCAGCCCAGAAATCGGATGCCATGAGGTTTTACTGATGTTGCTGAGGTGCAGCCACATCTCCATGATCTTCTGTACTCACCTGTCTTCGGCGGGACGGCCAGCGGGGCTGCGTTTAGGGTTCCAGATTTACCTCGGATGCGGTAATATCACGTGACATCGCGATACTTTGGTGTCTGGGGTGGCGGCAGACGCGCCAAGCGGCGGCGACTACGCGTTCCGAAGATTGTCAATACACCGATAGCGTCGACGTCGACCCAGTGTCATATGGAAAGCAGCCAGGAAAGGTCCTTATTTGCGTCGTTATATTGAGGTTTATCTGGAACAATGTGAGACGCCGCCTTTTTCAGGCCGAGAAAACACCCACTAACCACTCTAGGTATCGACCTCGACTGGCCGCAACAGAGAGTGATGGAACGACACCGTCATCTAAATCACTTCATAACAGTCCTCAAAATTCCACCGATCGTCTTTCAAAACCCTTCAGATGTCCCGGATCTGCTACCTCAATTCGAGCCTCAGACAAGCCAGCGAGAAAGAAGAGAAAAGTCAACTATGCGGGCGCCGATGGAAACGCGGATGAAGGAGAAAAGCTATACACAAACGAAGAACGCCTAGCCCTTGCCACCAGAGACGTGAACAGATTCCCCGTTTTTAAGCCCAAAGACAAAGATACGACGTTTAAGCAGAGATTCAAAGTCCCGTTTATCAACAAAGCACCCGGTGCCTATGATGCCTCGCGGCCAGCACCAACGCTTGGGATGAGAAGAGGCGCGACGTTTGTCGTGAAACCTTTACATGATCCCAGTGGAGAATTTGCAATAGTGTTATACGACCCGACCGTTGACGATGTTGAAGAGGAAGCCGAATCAAAACCAGAGGATCAACCCGAGCAACCGAAGTTGGATGAGCCTATCGTGCATAAGAGCTTGGCGGACATTCTTGGTCTGAAGAAGGAGGTTGATACCCGCCCCAAGGTTCCTGTTGTGATAGATCCGAAGCTAGCGAAGATTTTACGTCCACATCAAGTTGAAGGTGTCAAGGTATGCTCTTCTGTGCACTATGCCACAGCAAATGGTTTGATTGACTGCCAGTAGTTCTTATATCGCTGCACAACTGGGATGGTAGATAAGAATGCACACGGCTGCATCATGGCAGACGGGATGGGATTAGGCAAAACGGTATGTACGGGGACAATATTTTTCTAATATCGGAACTAACGTTTGCAGCTTCAATGTATTGCCTTGATGTGGACTCTGCTCAAACAGTCCTCAGAAGCCGGGAAGAGTACTATTCAAAAATGTATTATTGCTTGTCCGTCAAGTTTGGTTGGTAACTGGGCCAATGAGCTTGGTAAGTAGTATGATAGATTGTTTTTCGTTTCCCTGCTGACAATCATAGGGAAATGGCTTGGAGAGGGCACCATTACTCCGTTTGCAGTAGATGGTAAGGCGTCGAAAACAGAGCTTACTATGCAAATAAAACAATGGGCAATCGCTTCCGGACGCTCCGTGGTTAGGCCTGTCCTAATCGTATCTTATGAGACGCTGCGCATGTACGTTGATACGCTGAAGGATTCACCCATCGGTCTATTGTTGTGTGACGAAGGTCACCGCCTCAAAAATAAGGACAGTTTGACGTGGACTGCGTTGAACAGTCTGAATGTGAGCCGCCGGGTTATTCTATCTGGTACTCCCATCCAGAATGACCTGTCTGAGTACTTCGCTCTCCTAAACTTCGCCAATCCAGATTTACTTGGCTCGCAGAACGAGTTCCGGAAGAGATTCGAACTGCCAATTCTTAAGGGGCGGGATGCAGCAGGAACAGAAGAAGAGCAAAAAAAAGGAAACGAGCGTCTGTCAGAACTTTCGGGCATTGTGAACAAATTCATCATCCGTCGGACAAACGACATCTTGTCGAAGTATCTGACAGTTAAGTACGAACATGTGGTTTTCTGCAACATGTCGCAATTCCAACTTGGACTGTACAATCATTTCATTCAGAGTCCCGAAATCAGGAGTTTGCTTAGGGGAAAGGGAAGTCAGCCTTTGAAGGCTATTGGACTCTTGAAGAAGCTCTGTAACCACCCAGATCTGCTCAATCTTTCTACAGACCTCCCAGGATGTGAACATGCATTCCCAGATGACTATGTACCGCCTGAAGGCAGAGGTCGTGACCGAGAAATCAAGTCCTGGTACTCCGGGAAGATGATGGTCCTCGACCGTATGTTAGCGCGCATTCGTCAGGATACGAATGACAAGATCGTCCTTATCAGCAATTATACCCAAACGTTGGATCTCTTCGAAAAGCTCTGCAGAGCAAGAGGGTACGGCTCGTTGCGGTTGGACGGCACCATGAACGTTAACAAACGACAAAAGCTGGTCAATAAATTCAATGACCCCGAGGGAGAGGAATTCGTCTTCCTTCTTAGCAGCAAAGCTGGCGGATGCGGTTTGAACTTGATCGGTGCAAACCGTCTTGTGCTATTTGATCCCGATTGGAATCCTGCTGCCGACCAACAAGCACTGGCCCGTGTGTGGCGTGACGGACAAAAGAAAAATTGTTTCGTCTATCGTTTTATTGCCACTGGATCAATTGAGGAAAAGATCTTCCAGCGCCAATCACATAAACAGTCACTCTCATCTGCTGTGGTTGATTCTGCAGAAGACGTCGAGCGCCACTTCTCAATAGAATCCCTTCGCGAGCTCTTCCAATTCAAGCCAGAAACTCAAAGTGATACGCACGATACGTTTAAATGCAAGAGGTGTAGACCGAAGGAGTCTCAATTTATCAAAGCTCCGGCCATGCTATATGGTGACACAAGTACCTGGAATCATTTTGTCAACGATGGAGAGAAGGGGCAGCTTGGGAAGATCCAAGATCTGCTTATTCGTCAGGAGACTACAGAAAGGGACGTTTCTGCAGTCTTCCAATACATCAGCCATTGATTGAAGAGGGCGAAGGCGTTATTTTTAGGGGACCGCTTATTCTTTTGGCATGCATTTTTTATGATAAAGATTTGGAGTTCTTGTCAGGCATATCTTTCGTAACTTGGTGATTTTGTATACTTTAAATAAATATAGCAAGAATAATTGGCTAACCTCAGTAACTTAGCTTGCAATATCGCATGGAGCAACGCATCCGGCAAGTGGTGGGGAGGAGTCCGCGAAGGTGTCTTAGATGCTTCACGAGGGGCATTGTGGGGGTTAGACGCTTTTTTCTTCTCTTTTATTTATAGAAAAAAGAAAAAAAAATATATATATATAGAACTCAGTAAATATTAGTAGGAATAATCAGTTACTTCCTTTATTCAATCTCTTCACCTCAATGCGTACCTCACCAAGAGCGATCAGTGTCATGCCTGTATCTCCACTTTGCTAGTCCATGTTGGGCCCATGTTGCATGTGTTGGCTGTGGCCTCAATGTAGAATATCGATATAGAGCGCTTAGCTACTTATACTTGAAATATAAAGCCACTGTTTCCATTAGAAAGAGCCCCTTTGTTGTTTTCGGAATTTCATCCTAGTCCGGACTACGCATTGCAGCGTCATGTGCATTGTTTATAATTTGACCAGAGCCAATAAACTAAACACCCTCCACATCGCTCAATGTTTATTCTCTTACTATATTAAGACCTTTGGGCCCGAAGCATCTTCATCGTCCCCTAGAGAACCTCTGTTAATAGGTCCTTGCATTTCTCTGTCCAGCACGTAGAATCGACTTGACCGTTTAACCAGTATGATATGGAAATTGGTAAACTTTATTGTGAGCAGAAAGTGCTTCGGAGCAGCTTTAGAGCATAGCGTTTGTGTTAATATTCTCGATATTCTCAGAGATTTCCAGGAAGTTAGCATGGTCATGTGATTTCACGAAGCGTTCTATGTTGAATTAGTACAAGGGCATAAGAGTGGTGAAACTCGCTGTTCCGATGATGCCTGGAATACTGCAGACAGAATGTAAGATAGCATAAAGGTCACAAGAATCACCGGTGGGTTGTTTCAACCATATAGGTCCGCCTTCTTAGTTTCTTGTGGAGGTCTTCATTGCGTCCTGCTGTTTCTTATAGGTAGGACATAGAGGCAATATAATAATGGAAGCTAGAGCATGTCGTGGGATCCCTGATGACAGTCTCGAGCCGGCTCGCCTCATAGCAATCATTTTGGAGTCGATAGTGCTACGTCGATCAGCACCAATATATATGGAGCAGACGTGCGGAGTACTTTGCGATAACGCTCGATGGAAACGACGTCACATCATGCCCACGTTGCCAACGCACCTTCACTGTAAGCAACTAACCAACTCCCCACTCGCCTGCTACTAGTTCAGCCTAGGTGGTAAGTTCTGAAGACACTCTTAACTGTGCAGGCATAGAAGTTATGAAATAGAGAGATACTGATAGCGCGATAATAGTAGTCAAAGGAGTCACCCGATTCACCGCCCAGCTGCACCGGATCTAGACGCCCCTCTCCACCATGAGCACGACTTGAATGACGACTATTGAGGCCTTTGAGCTGCGTGGTGTACCGTACCTGTCTGAGCGATGGATCACTCTATCCAACGTCTGCTGAACGATAAGCTCTACGATAGGAGGAAGCAGGGAGCTCTAGAGTATGATCGAGAAACGCTCGTGGATCGGACGAACGTACCAAAGCACATGCTAATTACAGAATGGAAACCGTCTAGGCTTGAAAAAATCGTCCGAAATGCCGCTTTCAAAGGAGAACATGAAGAGATCCAGAAGATAGTCGACCAACTCTGCCATGACTACGCTTACGCAGTACACCAGCCTCACGCTAGAAATGGTGGTTTAATCGGGCTAGCTGCCGCTTCAATAGCATTGGGATCCGTGAGTGAAGTCGATAATCCTGGAAAATTTCGGTAAATTTGAATTTCTGAGACTGGTATAGGAGAGTGTTGCTCCTCATCTCAAGGAAATCGTACCGCCGGTTCTTGCCTGTTTCTCCGACCAAGATGCGCGGGTCAGGTACTACGCATGCGAAAGCATGTACAACATTGCCAAGGTTGCCAAAGGAGAAATACTGCTATTCTTCAACGAGATCTTCGATGCATTAAGCAAAGTGAGTGTATTGGCAATTAGACCATGGAAATGCATGTCCACTAACGATGTGCTTTAGTTAGCTTCGGACTCAGAGCTCTCCGTGAAGAATGGTGCTGAGCTTCTCGATCGCCTTGTGAAAGATATCGTTTCAGAGTCTGCTGCCACGTATGTCTCGGTTCTGCAGCTTTCTGAGAAGGATACGTTGGATTCAGATACACTGGAAGAAGCAGATCTGCCGACCGCATTTTCTCTCGCAAAATTCATACCTTTGCTCAAGGATCGCATACATGTGATCAGCCCATTCACGCGCACGTTCTTGGTACAATGGTTGACGTTGTTGGATACAATTCCTGACCTGGAGCTTGTCTCTTACTTGCCGGAGTTTCTTGGGGGCTTAGTTAAATTCTTGGGTGACACGAATAGGGATGTGCATGTCGCCACACAAGGCCTTCTTGATCGGTTTTTATCTGAAATAAAGAGGATTGCACGTCTCAAAAAGGGCATTGAGGATAGTCGAAAAGAACAAGAAAGCAAAAGACAATCGGCTGCGAGTGATAATGCGAGCGCAATTACCGACCAGGCCGTTGCCCCAGAAGAGGACAAGGATGAGAACGCTATTGAGGATTCAGGATCTGAATCCATTATTGAAGAAGAAGATGTTGTCCAGGTTGACGGTGACTGGGTCCCGGGCCAAGACGTCCATATTGATTACCCTAAGATCCTCGACATTCTTGTCGGATTTGTTGACACGTCGTTTGGTGAGTTGCGCTCGAACATCTCTGGTGGCAAGAGTTCTCGCTAACGCTAAAGCTTAGATGAGGAGATGCAGCTTACAGCACTGCGTTGGATTGATAGCTTCTTCGAGATCAGCCCTGAAGATATCCTCCCTTTCGTCCCACGTCTTCTGACTCAAGTTCTTCCTGCAATGTCTAGTGGTGCAGACCAGGTACGGCAGGCTGCTAATCGAGTCAATACTTCTCTGTTGGAGTATATAGTTACCCTGTCTGAAGACACCTCAGAGGAAATTCGTCCAGCTGCGACCTCAAAATTACCGCCCGCTGCAAACAAGGAAAATGCTGAAAGGAGGTCATCGACACCAGGCGGCAAGCCTTCTGATACTCAGGGAAGCGAGCTTAGGAAGCAGATTTCCCAACAAGAGCCACCGATCGATCAAACGCCTCGAAGCAGTATTGTGTCCGTGCAAGCTCCTCCGGCAGATCTTGATTATGCTGCCGCTGTCAATTCACTTACATTGCAATTCTTGAATGAAAATGAAGCCACAAGAGTAGCTGCCTTGTCCTGGCTGATAATGCTACATCGGAAGGCACCTCGCAAGGTCGTCGCTTTCAATGACGGAACCTTTCCTGCACTCCTCAAAACACTATCAGACCCTGCGGAAGCCGTTGTTACCAAGGACCTCCAACTTCTATCGCAGATTTCAAGGAATAGTGAGGATAGCTATTTTGCTTCGTTTATGGTGAACTTGCTGCAGCTGTTCTCGACGGACCGGAGCTTGCTTGAGGTCCGTGGGAATCTCATTATTCGGCAGCTTTGCATGAACTTGAGCCCGGAACGTATATATCGGACCCTGGCAGACTGCCTTGAAAAGGAAGAGGTGAGTGTCATCCTGCGCAAAGGGACTGTTGACTTGACCCTAATTTAATCGATGCTAGGATATCGAGTTCGCTAGCATCATGGTTCAAAATTTGAATAACAATCTAATCACCGCACCTGAACTCGCTGATCTTCGAAAGAGGTTAAGGAATATCGATTCAAAGGTAAATTATATTGCAAATTGAAGCCAAGAAGAGTAGCTCACGAGATTTCTCGTTTCTAGGAGGGTCAAATGTTCTTTGTGGCTCTTTTCAGGTCATGGTGCCATAATGCCGTCTCTACATTTTCCCTATGTCTCCTCGCTCAGGCTTATGAGCAAGCATATAATCTTTTGCAAGTCTTGTTAGTATCATATATTGTGCTCATGTCTATGCTCTAGACTGACAAGCTACCAGTGCTGAACTCGAAATGACCGTTAATATGTTAATACAAATCGACAAGTTGGTCCAGCTACTGGAATCACCTGTCTTCACTTGTTTGTCCAGCCTTACTACCCGGCTGTTCAGATGCTAACTTTCGTTCAGACCTCCGTCTCCAACTCCTGGAACCAGAAAAATACCCCTACCTGTACAAATGCCTCTACGGCGTCCTCATGCTCCTCCCACAGAGCTCCGCATTCGCGGCGCTCAAAAACCGCCTAAACAGCGTCAGCAACATCGGCCTCCTCCACGCGAGTCCACGACTGTAAGCCAACAGTCCACCTATTTAACCAAAAAGGCATTTCACTCATCAAAGAACCAGTACGGCCCCAATATCTACCTTCGAACGCCCAACCGGCGCGCGCCTGAAGTCTCGCGACGAAGCCTCCTCTATCCGCTGGGCCGACCTCCTCGACAAATTCAAATCCGTGCAAGAAAAGGCCCGACGAGCCCAACGCGCCGCTTACCAACGCCAACTCGACCACGACGGTATCCGAACCGGACCACAGAATCCGTCCCTAACTGCAGCGCTTTCTGCGGCTGTGACGTCTGATCAGATTCGTGGGAACGATCGGGGTTTTGGTCCTGCGGGTGGGGAGTCGCCGCGTGGTGGGAATGCTGGAGGGACTGGTCGGATGAATTCGGTGGATAGTTCTGGGGTGCAGAAGGGTGTTGGTGGTGGTGGGGGAGGGTCTATTCTAGGGGGTGCGCACCGGCATAAGTCGAGTCTTCCTAACCTTGGACGGTTGGGGATTGGGAGTCGGAAGTCTAAGCGTTGATATGAAGATATGTTGTTGTTTTGAAGAGTATGGCTCGTATGTACATTTTATTTCATTGTTAGTAGAAGGGAGCAAAGGCGCACTAATTGCTAAGTTGTCTATATTTTCTATTCAACAACCCGAGACGTAAACCTATGTACAAGCGGTAAGGTAAATAATGAAGAATCAGAATAGCCACCATAAATTCAAAGACAAAATCGCTAGACACGCATAGGTAATTGAGAATTCATAAAAAAAAAAAAAAAAAAAAAAAAAAAGATCCAGAAAAAGAAACATTCGTAACTTGCTTCGCTTCTAGGGATAATAGCGCGATGCTTGGGAAGAATCGAACTCAAACAATAAATGACTCGATCAGATCGCAAGAAAGACCATGCCAAATCGATATTTGAGACAAAGGATCTGACCCGCCAGATTAGACCCCTCGAGATTGGGATCTAGCAGCACGCGAAAAAGACCAAGCCGGCGAGTCAGACCCTTCGCCTCCGGTCTCCGATTCGAGTGCCAAACAATCACAGATCAGTATCAAACGTGGATATGGGTATAGTAGCGTGATGAAATTTCTTCCCGCTCACTTGGAGATATCGTCAAAAAAGTCCACATGAAACATAATGTGGAGAGAATGTGAGAAAGTCGTACGAGAAAAGGCTAAACTGAATCGACGGACGCATTCAAACAAGGAAACGGAAAGAAGCCATCACCGCCATCGCGACTCATTGGATGTGTTCCAGGTTGACGATTTCCCGTGACCTCCTGTGGAGTGCTTGGAGACGCTCGATGTGGGCGAGTTCAAGGAACTGTTGAAGACGTACTCTCCGTCGACATACTGGACATCGTGGAACGAGGTGCGGTGCTTGCGGCGAGCGTAGCGCTGCTCCAGGCGGTAGAGTTCGATTTCTGAAGATGTGTTAGTTTTGAATTGGTTCTAGTTGTATCAAGGGAATGATTTGTAGACATACTGGCTTGCAACTTCTCGATGATACCCATTGTGTTTGGTAGTAGCGTCGCTTGTTCGGTTCGTTTGTCGGAACCTTCGGATGCAATGATGCTGAAATTTATCGAAAGTAGAGTATCTGCAATGCAAATTAGAACATGGTTCTCATATATACCTTCCTTGCTTGTGGATTCAAGACATCGTTTTCAGACGTTACATCGGCCCTCGAGGGAGAAAAATGCAATTGTTGCGACTTACCAAATACAAAAACCACAGACACTACCTTCCGCTTCCTCACTTGAATCTCCAGGTTTAAAGAGAGATAACAAAAAAAATCCGTGGCTGACGTGGGATAAGTCGAAGAGGAAAATAAAGAAGGCAAGTGACGGCGAGAGCGGAATCTGGTGGCTGGCAAGGTTATTACTCCGGGGATTCAGTGGTTGTGTAAGCAATTAATTGCAGAGCTAGGCGAAACGAGCAGACTGAAGAATCGTATAGATTGTGAAAAGAACGAGGCTAGTGATTGATTGATTGAGAGTGTACAGAGTGAGTAGAACAGCGTCTAGGATAAACGAATGGATGGTTATGGAGTGTTGTATGCAAAGCTTGGCTGTTGCACTAATGCAGTTGCCGGATTAAAAGAGTGTATAGTAGCGAATGGTTTAGCGAAAGAATGTGTAAAAGACTGTAGAGAATAATAGTAAACAAACAGAGCGAAGCGAAGATGAAGAGAAAGAGAGAAAAACACACGCGAGCTCTCACCAAGCGATCTCGAGTTCTCCTGATTCTGGGACAGCATGTGGGGAATCCGTCGGCTCAAAAATACCGCTTGTACTCCGTATTGCCGCTGTCAAGGAACCGTACTTCTGGCCCAGGGGTGCGGTATCTGTCAATAGTTTCAACTGACTATCCCTAGTAAACTTCTTCTGTTGCTTTCCCTCATTTTTCGTATTCAGAACATCCTAATGTTAATATAAAGGCCCTCCAATAGTTCCACTGGTATACGCCACCATCTATTTAACTTTCAGGCACAAATGAACACAAATTGGACCATCGAGACTAGTATCAGAAGTACCACAGAAATAGTACATAGACCCTTCTAGCGGAACCTCGTTAAGCCAGATTTAGTTAAGACCGCGGTAAGCTTTGCCCGGTAACCGCCCCGAGAGCCCCTGTTCTTTTTTAATTAACTCGTGACGCGTGGTAAACAATGCGGTTATCCTTTGCCGTTGCCGGGTCCTTCAGGTGAGGGGGAGCCGTTATTATGGAACAGCGCGAATTTCCTGATTTAGTAATGGATTCGTACTCCTGCACTGCCTTCTGTTCCTTTCGCAGTGTCATTCGTCTACTGTACAGGCAAAATATATACTCAAATGCTGGGAAATCTATAACAAATAAGGAAAATAGAAAAAAGGGAAGAAGGAAAGAAGGGAGCCCGCTTCATCATCGGGTCTATCTACGATCCGGGGTACTCTCACTCTTCTCCTCGAGCCCATCAGGCTCCACATCCTCTGCCAGGGAAGTTTCTTGCGCTATTTTATGGGTCAGCATATCATATCATCGAACCTTGGTGTTTAGTAATCACTCACCACTCCACAACTCAGCGTAGATACCATTCCGCTCCAGGAGTTCACGGTGCGATCCCGACTCGGCAACCTCGCCTGCCTTCAACACCAAGATCTGGTCGCAGTCATAGATGGTTCGTAGCCGGTGGGCAACAAAGACACTTGTGCGGCCCTTTTCTTTCAAAATGCTGTTGATGTTTTGCAGCAGAGCCTGTTCGGTGTATGTGTCGAGGGCGGAAGTCTGTTTTCAGTGTTAGATAGTTTTCGATGTTAACCTTGAAGAATACGTACCGCTTCATCGAAGAACAACATCTGAGGGTCCTTCAGCAACAGACGAGATATCGCCATCCGCTGTTTCTCACCACCAGAAATCATCATGCCTCTTTCACCAACGGCAGTCTTGTAGCCATCGGGGAGTCTCTGGACTAGTTCGTGAATCTGAGCGCGCTGGGCGGCTCTACGGACTTCCTCATCCGATGCATCAATCCGGCCGTAGCGAATGTTGTGCTCGATCGTGTCATTGAACAGAGGCGTATCCTGCGGAACGACTCCAATTGCCCTCCGGAGACTATCCAAAGTCACATGGCGCACGTCCTGACCGTCAACCAGAATACGACCCTCTTGAACATCGTAAAACCGGAAAAGTAACCTCAGAATCGTCGACTTGCCGCAGCCGCTGGGTCCCACGATAGCAAATTTCTGACCAGCAGGGATTGTAAAGCTAGCGTTCTTCAGGATGGGCCGGTCGGGGTGGTAGCCGAATGTCACGTTCTCAAAGCGAATTTCACCTCCGCGCTTGACCTCAAGCGGCTTCGCGTTGGGAAGTTCTTTGATGTTCACGTTGACCTTTTGCAGGTTGAACAAGGTCTCCATGTCCAGCAACGACTGGCGCAGCTCACGGTACACCGAGCCCAAGAAATTCAGTGGAACCGAGAGTTGGAAGACGAGCTGGTTGACCATGACTAGATCACCAACAGTCAAGGCCTCTTCAGCCACTCCGTTGGCAGCGAGGTACATCATACCGGCAAGAGCGCTGGAAAAGATCATGTTTTGACCGGAGTTGAGGAAAGCCAGAGACGTTGTAACCTTGATGGATGCTTCTTCGTAAGTCTTCAGAGCCTTGTCGTACCGCGCGGCTTCGAACTTCTCATTGTTAAAGTACTTGACAGCCTCGTAGTTGATCAGGGAATCAACAGCCACTGTCGCACCGCGATTATCTGCTGCGTTGGCTCGCTTGCGGAACTTGGTTCTCCAGGCAGTAGTAGTGATTGTAAAAGCACTGTATGCAAGCATCGTGGCAGTCGTGATAGCCGCAAATTGCGCACCGTACTGGTAAGTCTAATGCCATTGTTAGTAAAAATAGAAAATAAAATGGCCGCCGATCACCTGTCATGAACCATACCAAAATACCACAGACAAGCGAGATCTCCAAAGCTGTGGGAACAATGTGAAACACCATAGATGTCAGCAGGAAGCTGATACCCTTGGTACCACGATCAATCGCTCTCGTAAGTCCACCAGTCTGGCGGGTAAGGTGGAAGTTGAGATCCAGCCGTAATAAATGTTCGAAGACATTCCCCGCGACTCTGCGAATGGCCTTTTGGGCTACACTAGCAAACACTGCGTTTCGCAGTTCTTGGAATAGCGTTGCTCCAATCCTAGTGACACCATCTGAAATGGAAGCTGTTAAACCCAATGTTCCTTGAAGCGATTGACCAAGATGTTGCGCTTACAAGCTATGATCATTGACCCAGCAACAGTATAAGCAGTTCCTCCAAGGGCTGCGAAGTCCACGTTCATCGAATCGACTATGCTCTTGAAGTAGAATGGTACCTCGACGTTTAGGATCTAGGAGTTCGTGGTTGTAAGTAACCAAGTCGCATAAGATCCCGGGTTGCCAGAACACACCTTCGCCCCAACAAGCAGTGATAATGCACTACCAACACGAAGCTTGGTACCCCAGTCTTCCTGTATTGTAATTCCAGTCAATATCAGCCTATCCTCTGCCACACGTCCAAATCGTCGCCCTCACCTTCGGCCAAAGGTATTTCGCCATCTCCTTCATTATAGCCCAGTCAGCCTTGCGCTGCTCTTTAACCCCCATATTTGCCTCACTCAGTAGGTCCTTATTCTTTGTAGCCGTCGCATTTTTGCTACCCTTTTCATCCGGGGTCGCTTTCGCCGCGGTTTCGGTGTTCGTAATTGTCGTAGGTTTATCCCCTGCTACTTGCCTCCGCAACGGACTCTGACTCGATGTGAATACTCGAAATTGCGAGCCATAGTAAGCAGGCCTCCACGGGGTTGAGCGCGGAACAACGCGAGCTGGATGTATAAACGGCGTTGTAGTACGCCAGCAAGGCGATCGAGCTGTCCGGGGCAACATGACGGCCGGTACAGTGCCCTTTTCTTTTCGTCAACGAGCCAATTGGTATTGCCGTAGCTTCTTCCGGGCCTAATGGCTCATAATTGTGATTGTGAAGGTTGTAGACGCAAATGAACCGTAGGTTCTCCAGCTGAGACTTGTAACGGGGACCGCCGGGTTCGGAGATGGAATGGAAAAGGGTCGGCGGAAAGGTCCGAGATTAGGTGGCTGTCTTTGGTCTTTTTCTGAGGGATCGCAATATGTGATGGTAGGGGCGCTTCTTTTGGGAGAGTAAGAATAAAGCAAGTTCTCTTATGTTCTTCCGGCAGTGAAACACTCCGATCCAGTTCGTCAATATGTCGCGAGGGCTCGCAATCTGATAATCAAATCCCCGCTGCTAGTTTGCATTGTTTGTCTGCAGTCAGGTCCGAGATCTTCCTACGATCAGATACTATGGTAAGTCTCGACTTTGGATACACCTGAAGCAATTGGGCTTGTTCTGGAGACGCTGAATACGGAGTAGAATGATATTGAATAAAGGTTTACTTGCTTGATGACTAGACAGAAGGTGCCCTAATGTTGGATTATTCTTGTTATTTGAACAGTAATGAGAGCCTCTCTTCTGGCTTTAGAAACCACAATTTCAAGGGAGATCTTCTCTATCGAAGTGAACGTGAACGGTAAATTTTTGGCAATGTTAGAAAGAGTTAGTGCAGTCGAATATTTCGCGTAGCTGATCTATAAATGACGTATTGCTTATAGTGCCTTATATATCAGGCATTATAAGGCATAAAGAATTCACGCCTTGTTCGAAACAAATCAGCTCCGGCTACTTACACTTCACAATTCTTCGAGACCAAGTGTGTGATTGGAATCCTTGCCTATAACAGCATTTAACTACCAGTCCCAGTCTAGGTGCACACTTACCAAGTGCCAGCCTGACGAAATACCCACTTCGCAAGGGGAAAAGAAACCCGGTCCGTGTATTCCCCGCCGGCACCGTCTGCTGCAGTTTTGCGCAACCACCCACCATGAACCAAGGCCTAAGGGGAGGTGTCCGGGCTCTCTCCTGGACAAGAGTCCTTCCGCAACGGGCGCGACAAGGCCCATCGCAGCAAGCAAGAAGAGGCATTCAGATTCGCGCCGTGCCTTCGGAGCAACTCAATGGAGATCACCTTCCTGTCGCCGGTACGCCAAACTCGGCTCAGTCGCCTGGTATGTTTCTTCCTGGCTAGGATTGATTGTGATGCTTCATTTGGCTAACAGGTGAAATTGGCGAGTTTAGATGCCCGGTTCGATGTAATCGGCTCCCCATACTCGTTGCTGTCGGTTTCGCTTTCGGCTTCGCAGAATCTCTACACTCGGAGAGGAACATTGGTTGGATTGAGTGGGAAGGCGGATAATGTATGCGGTCCATTTGTTGTTCAGCAAATGGTTCTCCAATATTGTGCGATTGATAATTGACCTCCACGCGCAGGTGGTTTCGACGCTGAGCGTCCTAGAACCCGTCCGAAGAGCCCCCGTCGGTGTGCCATTTCTCTACCAAAAGGTCTGCCAGTGGCTGCCCATTTCTACGATCCTCGGAAAGATAATTGACGCTGCATAGATCACCTCTAGCAGCCCCGTGACTGCCATGGTTTCCGTTCGGTCCCCTACCACGTCCTTCGCCGTCCTCCATCTCAATGGCTCCGAAGATTGGATTATCGCCCAGAAGCGAGCTCTGCTTGCCTGGACAGGCCGTTCAATTTCCATCAAGCCCGTCATCAACACAAGCATGGTTCGTTCAACCTCCTGCACGGCATGGATAGCACGGGCTAATTTGCGAAGAGCTTGACCCACTGGGGTAACTCAGAAGTCACCGGACGAGGTCTTCTAGCATTAGTTGGCAATGGACAGTTGTATTCCGTCGACGTGAAACCCGGGGAGCAATACATTGCCCATCCTAGGTATGGCTACCTAAAATGCCGGGACATCTTAGGTGTACTAACAGATCAAAAGCAACGTCGTGGCTTACACTATGACCTCCAACCCTCCTCGTCCCTACCGATTCAAGTCTACCACCCTGAACTTCCAAGTTCCCGGCCTCAAAACGCTACCGAGCCTTCTCCAAAACACAAACTTCATCCAGAACATGTCACAGACCGACACATGGAAGACGGCCATGAAGGTCTTTCACAAGATCCGGACATGGTCCCGCATGACTATCTGGGGTGATAGGGTATGGAACTTCACCTCACTTTAGCTATGCAGTTCTTAAACTAACATGCTCTCGACAGCTCTTCCTCCAATTTGACGGCCCCGCCCAGATCCTCGTGCAATCCCGTGGTCCCCGCCTTAACGACGTCCTCTCCGAACGCGAAGTAAACGAAATCGCAGAATCCCCTCGCGGTCTAACAAGCGGACCCTCTCAACAAAACATGGAGAAGAAGAACGAGGAGAAGAAATTCCGGGAAGAAGCCGAAGAAGCAACCCACGCTGCGCCTGTGCCTGCTCGATCGGTCGACAGTCTGAGCCAAGAGGTTAGGGGAATTGACCAGAAAATTGCGAAGCTTACAGAGGAAGGGAATGTGATTTTCGATAAGCCGGCTTCGAAGAATTGAGATAGCCATGCATCAGTTGAACGCAGGCAATGCGCATGGGTCATTTTTGTCGTTTCTGTTAGTCTGCAGCCGCAATGTATTATATCATTTAGACCCCTTCGTTCGATAAAGTATCGCCAAGAGTCTTCTCCCTAGTCCTCGCTTTCTACACGCCATCAAGGAATTACGAGAATACCCAAGTTCTTCGATGGCAATATGAATGGTATTTACATAGTAACAACAAAGTGAAATATCTCAAAACCATTCCCCCCACATGGCTCTCGAGCATAAGGATAGCTTGATCTTTTGCATGGGGTCTCCTCAGCTATCAATATGCAGTCGCAAACACCACAGACCCTATTGTCACCCCTACATAGGTTAACTACCAGTCGCCCTACAACCTGTGCCCAGAACCCACTCATACCACATACCATCATAGCGAGCTTTTCCCCTAACGAGGTTTTTACTTCAGCAGATGAAAGACAACAGCGACCCAGTAGGATGGCGAATCAGGTGGTAGGGTACCTTTGTTTTTGCTTTTATCAAGAGACCCATCAATGATGAGAGCCCAATTGCGACACCCAATATCTCGATTTTCCTACATGCTCCCTGGCTCAGGAGTGGTATGTGCCTCTTGACTAGGAAGCAAGCCACACGCTGCCACATCGGGCGAGGTGAAATTGCTAGATCTGGGCTAGCGATGGATACTAAGCCGTTGAGTATACAGAGCTCAACTGAAGTCTCACGAACCCCCGGGCTCAGCTTAGTGGACTGGTTCTTCACGCCATGTATATAGTCAAATATAGATAGACTCGACACCCGCAAAGCCATGGACTGAGTTTGGCTGGGATGGCGTACGAGATAATCAATCAATCAGAGAATACTTCGCGGCGCTGGTGGGCGAACTTCCAAACACCAGCGATTAGTCTCTTAGCCTCTCTCTCTATGTCTCCAACATAATACTACGCATACAGTCCGCGGTGCGCTCATCACACTATCTCAATCCCTCTTTCTCACAATGTTGGCCGCACGGGATAGATTGTATTCCTCATTATGCTGCTGAAAATCACGGAGGAGCGCCGACACCCTCTCTGTCCGATCCAAAGATATGAGCGAGAACAAAACACGATGAATCCGGCAAAGGTCACGCAACTGAGCCATTTCAGTTTGCTGCCATCTTTGTATGTGGTTCACTGAAACAGACGGGCGAACTCTCTTTGCATCAAGCCGACGACGCTGCGCAACAACTTTGGCCGGAAAGTCCACAGTATGTGTAAACTGTCTGACAAAGTACTAACACGAGGAAGGAAAGGAAAGAAGCTAGGTCCATCAATACTAAGCTATCTAGTTTGTGCGAAGGGGTTTCTACCCTATATTCAAACAGATCAAAGTGGTCAAACATGCCATGTCACTAGCGAGCGTTCATGCTCCGTGACACTGCCCCCCTTCCCTTCCAGACAAAGGGCTGAGGGCAGCCCTTAGGAACTGGGTAACCATCGCCTGGGTGATCATCCAGGAACTATTCATCTTCTGTGGCGCAGAGTCATTCAAGCAACTGCTAAGATGGTCCCAGCGCCTTTGGGTTTGCTGCATGGGAGGTCTGAACTTTCACAATATCACGGAACATGAACACTCGACTGCTGTATAGAACGTTTGGTTACTTTGGCCTGTTTGGTGTACAACATTCACCAAGCCTCGCTTAATCCTCGCCCACACATTAGATAGCTCATCGCTGACAGGCTTGCCTCTTTCCTTCTTTTCCTCATGCTAGAATCTCGTGAGATAGTCAACGAATAGATTTCATATTGAACGAAACCGTCCACAGGACTGTTCTTGGGCTGTGTGACAGCTCACATGTGACTGATCCTTATATAAATGCTTGGGACTTCTGTGGCAGTATTCTTTTGTGACTAGTTGATCGCTGCCAGACTGCCTGTAATTAGGCCTTACATTAGATGGTTTTGTCAGTCAGAATTCTTCCTCTATTCACTTCCGATAGTATCTATGACATCGTAACGAGTATTGCAGTTAGCCAATAATACACGCAGCGGAAATTTCTTGCTTGAGTATCCAAAATGTACTGGGTTTCTTTTGGAAGGCTTGCCAGGTCACCAGATCTAAAGCCGCAGAGAACCCATCTGCATGGCAAGTGCACTTAGGTGGAAAACCTGTTTACTTTCCCAATCCATGGAGCAAGTAAAATCCGTTTGACTTGAACCTTTACGGAAACAGAGGCCATAGTCGGCGCAGTTGGCGAGCGACTCTTGAATTGTTCCTGATCAATCCGGTGACAAGAAGCCACTTCATCGAGCTTATGATCTCTGGTTGGATTCACCACTTCTCGCATCAGTTTGTACTGGAGAGCACGGAAAAGCATTGCAGTTACCTTGTAGAACGTCCAACGTGAGGTATACTTGGCTAACATGTACACATACACTAGCACATGTGAATGTCCAGTGATGGAAGGCAGCCTGCAGATGGGGAACCCATCAAAACTCGCTCTGCTAATAGAAAAAAGGACATCAGAGGTCTCACTAAGTCTCTGCCAGTGTGTAGTCGCTGTTTGTCGTTCACGCAACTCTTCTCGTAGTCCGTCTCGGTACCAGGAGGGTGGTGACTGTCGGGGCAATCCTAGCATTCTATGCCACCTTCTCAACAGACTTGTGGCCACTGGATACATTCCCTAGGAAGATGAGGATATTGAAAAGTAGTTGAGAAGTATCCGTTGTCTTTGACGTGAGTTATGGGGCTCGCTTTGTTCAAAAGCAGGATTCTTTTCGCTGGCACCTAACCTGATGGCGCATGCCAACTGATAAGTGTCCCCTATGTGTATGTCTGTCGCTACCTAATGTCATCTGTTCTATCCTACTTTCCTATCTGTGCATTATATCACAAACCAGTCCACTCATCAATGACCAAGATTCAAGAGCTGGAGATAGTCACTTTCCTAAAGCCTAGGCCATAAGGAAAGATGGCCGTCTAGGCTACTAGTCTTGGTTAAATAAAGACCATTACTTTGTCACAAGAAATTCATCAAAATCCACACTTCGTGAGCGTTCCTCGAGCAATTCCCTGGAGTCGCCCAGGTGCGAAGAGCCACTGATGTTGAGTGTTCCTTCTCGTCGTTCACAGCAGTGCACCCTGGCCTGTTATCTATTAGTCCCAGTTTTCATCGTCAAATGTGCAGCACACGGCTCATTTGTAAGCTTACTCTCTGGATCATCCGCTGTAAATAGCCAGAAACTTGTTTATCTATACAGTCTGCATGCTTCAGCACTTCATTTTTGAGAACAAGGATCTCCAATCGGACGCAACAGAATTCAGATTAAAGCTGCTGGTGCTTGTCTGATTGCTCCTTGAGCCGCGACTCCAGCAGCTGCATATGTTCTTTCCTCTTCTGTCGACATCGGCTAGCTGCCTAACGGTTTCGCTCTAGAAGCGATATACACATTGGCAATAAGGGGGAGAGGCCCATGACAAACCAATCATATCACAGTATAAGAGAGCCAATCAGCTAGGTCGCTAAATGGAGCTATACCAACCTTACTTCGACAACTTAGCAAATGAGAAGGCAACAAATCGGTGCGACGCGATTGGCTTAGTATTTAACGTAATCAACACCGAGGTGCGACCGCCATCAGATCGAGTATACAGGTCACGCTGACCCAAAAAACCTCCACCGACCCGTAACCTCCTCCATCAGACCTGCCTAATTGTCACTCCATTATTTTTTTTTTGTCAACCACTATGCTATGACTAATATATAAGAGGAATAACGTTTACAATTGGCACTTTATGTTACAGAAGATGTCCTTTTCCCCTTGAAGTCTGTTCTTCCATCAAGCACAAATATCATGCAGGATGCTGCAACGAGATCGCACCCTTACTGGCTGTGGAACCTGCCGCGGTCGCCATGTGAAATGTGACGAAACACGCCCCATCTGCCAGAATTGCCAGCAGCAGGATCTAGCATGTCTCGGCTACGAACGACAATTGAACTGGATTGGAGAGTATGCCCGTCATGATGCAGTCCGAGTTTACCGCCGTCCCCTATTCTCCGGTAACACTTTCATCTCAGATACAGCTAAAGTGATTGCTAACCTGCTTGCCAGTGACTGACCAAGAAAGGATGGCGCGGATGACTGTAGATAGCCTTGGTCAACATTCTGCTAATACTGCATTGGCCAAGCTGGATTTTGAGAGCGGAAGCAGTGGACAAGCTGGTTCATGTTTGGAACATGATTCATTTCGAGGCCCTTTCGGGGTACTGAACTTGTTGCCTAGTAAGGCATCTCCAGACAATCAACCTGAATCACAGTCAGACCGGGCGGAACCCACCCAGTTGGAAATGGATCTTTTCTGGAACTCACTGGATACCACTTCCAGCATCGCAGGAGACTCTCATATGTTTGCTGGGTTGTACGATCTAATTGAGGAATCTGAGAACGCACATGTATCGGACCCATTGTTGGACGTTGATACTATACCCAATGACCTCCAGGTTCCCCTTCCGGGGCCTTTAAACGCAAACTCCAACGAACTCATATCTCGGCCGACCTCTCTGTCCTTGAACCCCGTCCCCGACCTTGCGCTCTCAGGAAGTAATCACATTCCTCCACTAACCCCAGACCTACTACGATACTTCAAAGAGAACGTCGTTTCGCTCTCGTTCCCTCTGAAGAATTGCCGGAAGTGTCCCTGGCAGACAATCCACTTCCCCAGTGCAATGAGCACATTTGCAGAGCTCAGTATCCACCGGACCGCCAGTCATACAAGGCTGTCTTTATTTTATTCCCTTCTCGCTGCCAGCTGCCTACATATGTATGCACGGGACCAATTCGCCGCAGACTTGAATATGTCGGGAGAGAGGTTTAAAGAAACAGCCAAGCAACATCTTGAATTAGCTCTAAACGAGGAAGTTCTAGGACCAAAACCAGCCAAGTATAAGGAGATTTTAATGGCCGTTCTGTCAATGGTGATGATTTCAGTACGTTTTCTTGATTTATATTACCAGCTACTGCCATGCCACTGATGCGAAAGACCAGGTATTCCATGGAGAAAACTCTATTGCACAAGCTTTCCTAGTTGACGCAGAGTATCTTATTCGCATACGGGGCCTCCCTAAGCCACATAAGTCAGTCAAGGTCCGCTCACTGCATCATGTCTACACATATCTACGCATCATGGCTGAAAGTACGTGCGGATGCGCCCTCCTCGATATTTGTCCCGACCGTCCCAGTTCCAGTTTACTCTCGATAGAGTCCTCTCCAATTTCTCTACGAAGCTTCCGTATGGCGCATGACAGCCTGGACGCCGAAATCGACATCACACTAGAGAAAAGCAACAATATCGGCCAGAACGACATCCACCTGGAAGTAATGGGCCAGTGGAAAGACACGCTGCTCCCGGATATTTATGGAATCCCGGAGTCTCTAATGACCCTTCTTTCACAGGCTATCCGCTTAGCTAACGAACAAGAGCTACTCCACAGGGGCCCGGCCATGGATGTGCGTGTCATAGAAGAATTAAAGCGGCGTGCGAGCACGCTTGAACAGTACATTCTCTCATGGGAGCCACCGTCCAGCTCTCTGCCCTCCTTGGTAAACGATTTGGCGATCAAGGACGCTCAGAATAGCCAGAACCAAGCAGCTTACTTCATGATGCGTGCGTTGCATCAGGCTCTGGTTTTATTCTACTATCGTCGCGTCCCCAATATTAGCGCATTGATGCTCCAAGATACTGTTCGGAATTGTCTGCATTTTTTGATGCGCTATGATAATGCCCGCGTGGAAAGTGCGTCTCGTGACAAAACAATCCTCTGGCCAGGTTTTGTGGCTGCTTGCGAAGCGTTGGATCCTGACCTGCAGCATGGACTGTTGGATTGGTTGGTCGCTGCTGGGCATCGTACATCTTTGGGTCCTTTTTCTGCTGCTGCAGGGACTGCGCAGTGTGTTTGGAAGGCTCGAGAAGAGACTAAGGATTATACACTCAGCTGGTTTGATGTTATGAAGCATGAAAGATGTCCAATCATTGCAACGTGATATCACATTGCACAGAAGCAGGGAATATAGATGGGTTGTTGAATTCTTTACAGATATTAAATTCAGTGTGAAGCATGATTTCTTTTATTTCCCCTTGTCTCTTCTTGTATTGTGTTCTTGATTGCATGATTATAAATGAGGTTGATCAAATTCTAATTTAAATTCTCAAAACCATTTGCCAGTATGTGTCAACACAGTATAAAAAGAGAGAAAACAGAAAGCACAGATAGCATGCGATAAATGACATCATTATACACACCTGTGCTAGCGTGTTGCGATACCCTTAAATTTTAGAATTGCGCCGTGAAGCTTCCTCCAAAATAGCTCTAGGAATCTCCTCTTCCAGACTGGGACCCGATGGCTTCCAGCCCAGCAGCTCTCGCGCCCGAGTTGCCTTATACTGAGCATTAGTGCCCCACAGCACGGCACCATGTGCAATCAACCTATCTGCTGCATCTGCATCGATAGCCTGAACAGCAGGGCTTTTAATAAAGCCCTGCTCAAAAGCAAACGAAGACACTCGTTTCGAAATCTTCCCGAACGGCTACAAGACATCAGAAAAACAAAATCTAAGAGTAATGAGAAAAGAAAAATGAATGTAACGAACCAGCTTTCCATTCTCAGCAAAGTAAACCCCGTTCTCATTCCATAACAATGGATCCTCAGAGCAGGCTGCTTCTTGAACCAACCTCAGAATTAGCTGTGCCAGATCTGAGATGTAAATGTTGCTCCAGCAGCTGAGACCTTTCCCAACTTGGACCCCATGACCGTGCTGAAGGGTTGCTTTTGCCAGGTCCGGAAGTTGTATGCTTCGTTGATTAACGGGGCCTCGACCCAAACCATAGATCAAAGGGCCGTATATGATGGCTGTTCGGACTTGAGGTTGTGTAGCAGAGAGATTCAGAAGGAGATTATCGACGGTGCGTTTGGGGGATGAGGCGATGATATTTCGGATTTCACTGATGTCTTGTAGGTCATCGTAGTTTTGTGAGCGAGCTCCCCCATACGCTTTAGTTGCAATGTCTGGACCAGAGAGGAGGCTTGCTCCGGAGATTTGGATCCAAACTGGTGGCTGTCAGAGCGTCATAGAGCTTCAACAGGGAAAGACAGAATAAATTACCTGGCCTTTGGCGTTTGCTTTCGCTTAAGCCTTGTGCGATGGCGCTGGCGCTGGCAAGATGATTGGTGCTTGCCAGATCTTTCCCCCTCCCCCTATACTCAGTAACTTCCTAATGACGATATGCATGCTTCACGAAGGAATAAGTCTTACGGAGGACAACATCGGCCTCGGAGGCCTCGCTTTCAATCTGGGTTGTCGAATCAAGGTCTCCAATTACCGGAATCACCGAGGGGAATTTGCTTGTAATCAGAGAGGCTCGACTCTCATTCCGCGCGAGTGCCATGATCTTTGAGGAGCGGAAGGTTTCTGTAAGAGCATACAGAACATCTCCACCAATGTATCCTGTCGTGCCGGTTCTAATAAGGATATCAGCTCCAAAACACCAACTTGTATTTTCATGTTTGTACATACATGAAGATGCGAGACATTTTGTCTTTATCACACTAGGCAAACACCTATGACTTGAGTGACAAAAGAAAGAGGTCTTGAAGAAATAATAACGTGAATGATAGTGGTCTGGCTTTATTTGTTGAAGTGAAATATTAGTGCAATTGAGGTGTCGTCTCTTGTCTGTAATGTCGACTAGATCCGTACCTGGATACACTTGCCGGGGAATCCTGCCAATTTCTCGAGACACCCAGTCTCTACCGATTGCAATTGGCTGACAAGAGTACTCTGGCCCACATGTGCTTGTAAATGCGGCAAATAACCTCAGATAAAACCGGCAGCTTATCGCGACGGGAGGAAATGTGGAGAAACACCGCATCCGGATTTAGATGATAGATGGCAGTTTAGCTAGAGGACAGGCAGTTCCGACCTGCCCACTGGGACCATGGCTTTTCCGCTTCCGACGTTTCCAAGAATGTGTGGAAGGACCCGCCCCCCGACATAAAATAGATACATACATACCGCATCCGGATCAAGCATCAAAAGTTTGGTTAAATTTATTGTATCTTGCAATTACTTACATGTGTGTTCGACATCATCGCAATATCCAACTCATTGGTATGGGGTTTATCAATCTATCTGATTGATTAGGAAGCTTATCACGACTGTGGCAATGGCAGGATACAGACTGTAGACAAGCTCTAGTGCGCGCAGTCTTCATGGACGTGGACTTCGTTCACTATATAAACCCTCACAGATAGCAAAAAAGCTCACTGTAACTTCAGTATACACCAGCACAGTCAACAGATTAATCTTTTACCTGTCCATTTCTTTTCCCAGGCAAAATGTCAACCAGCGACTTCCACACCACACCTCTTCGCTCTCACTACGATGTAGTGATTGTCGGCGGTGCCACCAGTGGCTCTTCAATTGCGTGGTACCTGAGCATCAACCCTGACTTCAAGGGATCAGTGCTTGTTGTTGAACGAGATCCTTCTTTACAATTTTCCGCCACCAAAGCTAGTAACAATTGTATACGGCAGCAATTTGCAACCGCCATCAATGTCCAGATCGCCCAATATGCGGCCGACTTTGTCAAACACTTCGGGGCTGAGTTTCCACCAGACGAATGCGTGCCTAATCCCCCGATTCGTAACTTCGGATATCTCTACCTATCCAATTCGTCGAAATTCACAGAGGTGCTGAAGGTGGACCAAACATTGCAGGCCAGCTGCGGAGCAGGCACGCAGATGCTATCAATGTCCGACATCAAAGCAAAATACCCGTTCTTCTACACCGATGATATTGATAGTGGGAGCCTCAATCTTGTTGATGAGGGTGCTTTTAATGCCTTCGGCATGGTGCAATGGCTGCGCTGCGCAGCTCGCGACAACGGTGTCGAGTACATCAGGAATGAAGTCATTGGTGTGAGTCTAGATGGAAGTAAGGTGCGGAGTATTAAGTTGCAAAGCGGGGGACAGATCACTGTCGGCACTCTAGTCAATGCCGCAGGTACTCGGGCTGCCATGGTCTCTCGGCTGGCGGGCATTGACCTGCCGATAGAGGCCAGACGGCGTTACACTTACATCTTCTCGATTGATGAGCCACTGCCTCAAGATTTGCCCCTAACAATTGATCCGACAGGTGTCCATCTTCGCTCATATGGTGCAAAGGACTACTTGGTCGGCTGTCCACCTATCGGGCCAGATACTGCCGTAGACGTGAATGATTTCAGCTTCGCGGAGGATGCGTGGGGAGAGAAGATCTTGCCGGTGATCACTCGCCGGGTTCCTCAATTTGCCAGTGCACGGGTGACGAATTCCTGGATAGGCCATTATGAGTTCAACACATTTGACCATAACGCAATTGTTGGTCCGCACAACGAAATCAGCAATCTCCTTTTCTGTGTGGGCTTTTCTGGCCATGGCAGTCAACAGGCACCGGCCTGCGGGCGTGGTGTTGCTGAGTTGATTATCTATGGAAAATTCCAGACACTTGACCTAAGTGTGCTTTCCTATAAGAGGATCATGCAGAATCGTCCTCTGATGGAGCGAGCGGTTATCTAAACACCTGTCGAAAGTGGTGGCGTTCAACTAGTTATATGTTATAACTGCAAGATGAGGAATCGGATGCCATGTTTTCTTTTTTTGTTTTTTTTTTTTTGTTTTTTGGCAGCTAGGTAGAGACGTGCTTCTTAACAACGGTTAACGTGATCAGAAAGCGAGTCGGCTATGGAAACGAGCCACCTATATTGCATGTAAAGTGGCATTTTTAGGATCACATGAAGGCACTATTAATCTTCAATCCGACATTTTATGTACGCGCTACAGAATGTTTTGTATTTAGTCTGACATTCCTAAAATTCTTTCTATGCGACTAGTGCCATGGGGAAAGTCAGGGATAGACAGGACATGATACATATTAGAAATTGACAAACATGATAAAATCATTATGTGGCTTTATCCGATTGGTTTTGCTCGATGATCAGATGCGTGACAAGGCCAGGGAGAGAAATTTGTTCGTTACATCAAGACGCCACACTTTTTGGACACCACGATTCCATGCATAGCACCTAGGCTATAAGCATGACCAGCCTGAGTTCGGTGCTATCATATTGCAGAGCTGAACGACCCTGCCTACCCACATGCCAAGGCAGTCATGTACAATAATTTGGTTGCCACAAGTTCTACAATCCTTTGTGGCGAGCTGATCCCAATCCTCCGTATTATGTTGGCACAGCTTCGGAGGCGAAAATTCATTCATCAAATGGTCTCACCGGTAACTACTGCGTCATTCCTGTCACTGGTCAATTATCTCACTTTCCAGTACTGACATTTATGTTACAGGTGTTGATCTTCTCCCTCATGGGAGTACAAGCCCGAGTGATTGAAGCTTTTTTCTAGGATCACAAACTGGTCTTGCGCCCGACCAAGATGTATGATTTCAGACACGGAAACCACAATGCCTTCGAAACATTTGCCCAGTGGTATATAGGTGTGGACTGTGATAAGGAATAACGTTGGACAGATTAGGCAAGTTCCACCGGCCCGATGATATAGGCCAACGTGTACACGCATTTTAGATAGACAAGCACTCAACCAGCTGTGTGTGGGTATACGCATTAATAGGCAATATACTTCTCTCGTTAAAATTGGACCTCTCTGTATACGACCTCGTTAGTCGCGGATAATCGACTCCTCCAGACCTCCGGCCCCCGATCCCCATTTCATATATAACGCTAGTCGCCAGGACGATCAATGACAGCGAATTTCCCCCACTGAGAGAAGAATCAAGGTGGGTCCAATCGATCTTGGTATAGCCATTAATCGGGTGTGTTAATTCCTCCGAGTCCCCACCACTCAACGAATGATGTGAACATACGAACTGGACCCACCTTTGTGGCCAATTTCGATGAACGACCTCTAGTTAGCCCTAACTGCATTAGAAAGTGTTAGTTCCAATCCATCGCTTGGACATGCTCTGGTTCGAAAGGCATTATGCTCCATATAGGAAGGCGGGGGCTGCCGAGATAGGCTCGCAAGTGCCTCTACTGGTATGAAGCGAACTTATCATCGGTAGTGGGGCCAGATTTTCAACAACAATAAGGCAAGCTCGCCTGAATGTCCAGTCATATGCTTCTCGCAAATACTAATTGTTCGGGTTTCTCCCGCGGAAGACCAAAATTCGTTTTTAAACGAATAATTGAACTAGTGGTTTTCGCAAACGACTGTGAGTAGATCCGATTAGTCTACTTGCCAACAACATGCTAGAACGCTACTCGGTCACGAGGCACCACCACCATGTTATAACGAATTGACAATAAAATGATATGGGGCTGAAGAGCCCATGCAGCTTTCTATTATTCTACCACATACAAATGGACTACGATGAGCTGAATATACAACGTCGCTCATTTATCATACAATTAGGGCGCCTGGAACATCAAAATCAGCACCCAAGAAAAACACGTCTTCTTCACGCGTCAATCAACCGATAGGGACCTCCTGGCACCTATAAACCACCATGGAGGCATAGAGGCTCTGTGGTCGTGGTATATCGCACGCGTCACCCCCGGAGTGGGCAACGTGACCTCCCAGCTCCCGGAAACACAAGATATGCCAGTCACCCCAACGCCAGCCCGCTGGCGATCTGGGAAATGACGCAGCCTGTATTTAATGATAGTAGCATGGAGGGTGTGAGCATGGATAAGAATGAAGGCCAGGGACGCTGGTAACCGGGGGGATCTAGCAGGGCCCCTAGCCGGGCTAGTGCGGCCAGAAGCGGAATCAGTCAACGAAAAATTTTACAAAAGTCATTGATCGACAGGCCAAAGCACCAAACCTCCCTGCTAGATATGAGCAAATATGCCCATGTGTTAGCAGGGACCCTGGAAACAGTCCAGACACAGCAACAAGAAATGTATCAGATGGTCCAGAAACAGGTACAGGCACACCTGGCAGAGGCGCTCTTCAACTGGAGATCAGAACAGCAAATTCATGAAGGAATATATATAGAGCGGACCACAAAGCTGGAACTAGAAGTCAGCAAGCTTCGTACAGAACTCACAGATGCCCGGCACACCATCCAGCGAATCGGACCGGTAAGACAAGATTAGGCCTCGAAATGGTGTGGTCCCGGTCCTATAGTCAGCGACCAAGGACCGGACCATGGTCCCTTGCGGTCCCTTGCGGACTTGACTGCAGGGGACCGCAATTGCATAAAATTGCCCAGACTTTCCTTTTTCGGCTGTATAATTTGCTGATTCATCTGATTTTTCACCATTATTAAATACTGTCTTGGTTTGTATATCAAATCTTCTGTAGTCAAACAGAGGTAAATAGCAGTTTGCTAATTTATTGGAGTCATACAATAATATATTTAATGATTAATATACAATGCAATGCCTTTCAGTTATAGGTTTCCGTTGGATATGGATGTCATCAACATTCAGCAGCCTACTACAGGCTGCCGGATATATATATACATATATACATGGTGTCACGGAGTACGGGCATCCACCAACAACGCAAGATGTTTGTATACTTTGGCCTGTTTGAATAGAGGGCAGAAACCCCCTTCGCACACTAAATAGCGCAGCGCTGTCACTAAATGCGGCATTTACAGCCTAATCCGTGTCAAACTGCTCTGAATGCAAAGGCCCTATTTCGAGGCCTACCGCCAGGTCCAGGTTGCGGCGGTACAGTCAGTAACCCTATATCGAGCAGAGCTCCGGTGGTAGGGCCAGAAGGACCGACTAGCGGGTATACAATTGATGGTTAATCGACAGCTTTTGAGGGCTTTGAAAGCACGATATAGACAACCAGTAGCCAGTTTCCAGGCCAAATAGAAGTGCTACAAGGTCCAGGGGCCCTAGCAGCAGCGCGATCTTTCTCTCCTAAACTAGCAATCTGGTCAGACGGGTCAAGGTTAGAGAATGACAGATGCGGAGCAGGACTTGCATGGCAATAATTAGGGGGAGCTTGGAAGACCCAGAATTTCCCATTGGGCAAGAGACATGAGGTCTTTGACGCAGAACTTCTTGGAGTCGTTCTAGCACTCCAGGTAGCGTGGAAAGTGGTAATCAGAGACCGATCACTATACTACTGGACTCCTAAGCTGCCAATGCGAGGCTACAGCACACCCAGCCGGGTCCAGGCCAAGCATTAGTGATCCAAGCACATGCTATAGCCAAGAGACTACATGCCCAAGGTCATCAACCCACCATCCTGTGGGTTCCGGGACACGCAGGGGTAAAAGGAAATGAGAGAGCTGACCAGGCAGCAAAGCAGGCGGCCAGCAAGCCCCCAGGCAGAGGCCCAAGAGAGATCTCGCTGGCCTTTGCTTGTAGAGCCCGAACAGAAGCTGTCACAAAACAGAAGCAGTGTTGGCTTGATAAGGAGCTCAGTCAGCGATCCCAACAAGGTCAACGAATATACAGGCCGCAGAAAAACTGGAAGCTTGACCCAACAGCTGCAGTAGCTCCCAAGCACCTGGCAAGCCGCTACTTTCAACTGAAGTCAGGACATGCAGCCATTGGAGCACACCTGCATCGGATCCAGGCCCAAGAAGATGCAGCCTGTAAAGGTTGCAGTTCATCAAGGGAGAAAATACACCATCTTCTCTTTGAATGCCGGAAATGGCGACGCCAACGAAACAAGTTCTACAGGGATCTAGAGGCGGATGGGTTTGTGAGACCCACGGCTGCAGAGGAGCATCCGCAAGGACGACTCTTAGGGGAACCCAGAGCTACCAGGGCACTGCTATAATTCTTAGCCAACACCAGCGTAGCTCCACCTCAGGGACATCTACAGCGGGCAGCGAAAAGAGCCGGGAAAGATGAGGAATGGGGACTGGAAGCACTGTAACAGGCGAGTAGAACAGGAGAAGGGTAACATAGAGGGTAGCCTAAGCTGAGATTCAGATTAGGCCACACCCACCCTGTTCTGGAACACGAGGAGAGCACTCTGCTCAAAATCCCTACGCATGCAGGCGGTCTAGGGCGAGGAAAAGGATCAGAAAGATTATAGAAGGGGAGGCCCGATTGCCTCAGGAACTCATAGGGACAAGAGAATGTAGAATAGCTAATGGCATCGAGTCCATGAATCATGGTCTGTCATAGCCCTAGGGCTCGGCGTGGACAATAAACTTGATTAAATAATAATAATAATTATATCATACAATTACGTAGTTATCATTGAGTCTGTCGGGTACGTATTTCTCCATGTGCTTACAATATCTCAGATCTCCTGCGGATGAACCAATTTGGTCTTGCCTTGGCTGCCACCTGATCTTTATTTCAGCTTTACTCCCATATCCTGTTAGTCAGATGAACAGGAGATCTCCAAGTCAATGCATGCTGAGAATATAAATCCCATGGGCTGGAAACACATGTTTTGAATAGAATGACACTCAATTGTCTCTAGGCACTCCCAGAGTGCCAAGGAAGGCACGAATGACCTCGATACTCAGAGGGTTGTTCAGAGGTCGGACCTTGGCAATTATATTGACTTCTCGTCCAGAACGACATACACCTGAATTTGTTATTGACCAAGCACAAGATCCCCTTCCTTGTATAAATTGCTGTTCGAACACAAGACCTTGGCAATGATAAAGCTGTCGATGGACTTATTGATCTCATATGCTGGGGTGTATGGATTAGTATCAGCGGCGCGCATGCGACCACGCATGTAAGGGTCGAAGCTGGCGTAGAGAGATTTCAAAACATTGCCATTATCGGGGGCTTCGATCTCGCCACTATAGGATACAGGTTCGACTAGGAGGTCTTCGCCGGGAATGGGGTATCCTTGAGGAACTTTTTTAAAGACCTACGCCTTCTTGTTGGCAGCCATGGTGATGTGAGCGAAATAGTCTTGAATGAATAAGGAAGAAGTTGATGAAGTTACAGGAAATAACGGGGTTGCTCTGTGATTAAACCCTCAGATATTCGCATCGGGACAGCGGAGACTAGTAAAAGTCGGATTCAGTCGGATTTTGTCGCGCCTTCCAGAGCATAGGATATGCTCAACAACTTCCTTCTGGCCTCGGGATCGGGTGTTTTAATTTGAATGGATGACTGAGCGGAGAGATTATTGCACCGGCACCGAAGACTATCCGGCCCGTGCAAAAGTGGCAGCCCTCATTCTTACTCAGCCCTGAATTTCTATAAAGTCTGCAACCACCGGAGGTTGCATTAACTGTAGATCTACCGTGAGTCCACTAATAGTCCTTATTTTCTATACACGGTCCAGATTTGCCAACTTCTTTTCATGCTTTACTTCGACCAATATGTTGTCCGTTGGCATATCTTTCCACGCCAAACCATCCGAGTACCACCTTCTTGAACTTCCGCAGCCAGAGATAACAGACCCAAAAGATGTCATTATTAAGGTCCATGCTGCAAGTATCAATCCTGTAGATCTAAAAAAGGCGGAAGGAGTTTTCAAGGTAGCCCTTAAAGACACGTAAGTGTCAACCTCTGCCGTTATTGAGAACTCCGCTTAACAAGGATACCACAGTTTTCCATACAAGATCGGCTACGACGCCGCTGGAACAGTCGCGGATATCGGAACAGATGTAACACGATTTAAGGTTGGCGATGCCGTTTATCTTAGATTGCCAGAGTCTCATCGAGGTACCGAATACACGGCTCGACTGATGCGCTATGTTTTCCGCTGATGTCTAAATTTTCTAGGCTCATGGAGTGAATACGCAGTATGCCCAGAGCGCTACATCGCTCTGAAGTCATCCTCGCTGTCATTCGAGAATGCAGCTTCTATACCACTGGCCGCTACGACTGCATTTCAGGCCCTGAAAAAGTATGATGGTGACCTTGCGGGGAAAACTGTATTCGTGCCGGCTGGGTGTATGTCAACCCTCACTTCAGATTGGATGTCTTCTGCTAAAAGAATGGTAGTGGGTGGCACAGGACTTTTTGCCTGTCAATTGGCCAAGAATGTTTTCCACGCAGGGAAAGTGATTACTACTGTCTCAACGTCAAAGGTACCAAAAGTACCAGAACTTCTAGGGAAGGGAACAGTCGATGAAAGTGTGTTCTTTAATTACAAAACCCTGGGATTTTTGCAAGTATAACTTCTAACATTTAACTAGTTATCGACTACAAGAAAGTTGATCCAAAATCTGTCATTGAACATGGCTCGGTTGATTTTCTGTTTGATACAAACGGTCTCGCTATGGAGTACCTCTGCCTGATGCGTTCAGGAAGTGGCTGCATCATATCTATATCAACGGCGCCATCGGGAACTCAGCTGCAAGATTCTGCAGTGATGAGACTTCCCCATCACCCCACAGTCCCATTAGTCCCCCGAGTTGCCTTAAATGTGATGGACTTTACCCGCAAGCTCCGTGCAAGGCGTTATGGAGTCAGCTATTCATACATGTTCCTGGAACCGAGTGGTGAAGACCTGGACAAACTAAGGGGGTACTCTGAGGAGGGTAAAATGAAACAAGTAGTTGGAGCTACTGTCGATATGCGGGATATTGCAGAAGTTCGAAAGGCATGCCAGGTCGTATACAGCAACCAAGGTGGCCTCGGAAAGATGGTTATCAGAGTTGCTAAGGCAGGAAACTAATAAGCTTTGCTTCGCGGGCTTTTACCTACTATTATTTATCTTTTTTGGCCGCTAGCTATATGTCATACGACAAGGCAAAACGGAAAAGCTTTGAATTTTGACAAGCTGGCATGGATCTTACCAATGAGGCGATTCGTTCTTGTTCTTTCTCTTTGGCACCCAGTTTGTATCTACCTAATCACTAACTTCACTTAAATAGCTTTGGAAATCTCCCTACGGCTAAATTATATTTCATTACCCTGTCCATACTGGTTTCTGGGCCTCGCCAACGTTGTGGTAGGCGGACTTCTGGTATTTCACATCATCCCTTCAAGAAATTTCTTCATTCCCGAATCATAACCAGTACTCGAAAATAAAAGGATATAGGTAATATTTCCCTGCCAGGATTGGCCTTTATACGCAGCAGGAACGTATCGGTAAAGTCTAATGTTACTGCTGATTCACGCATCAGGGGAAAGAGATTTATTGTCAAGGAGACTGGCCTGAAATAAATCTCGTTAACTGGCTCTACCTATATCACCAACAATACATCTATCCATGTTCTTGCGGCCCAGACATTTAAAGTACAAACAAGACACCTCTATCTTTGACTGTATAGCACTACAGGCGTGCAACAGTAATGTAAGTCTCCAGCTTAAGTCAGCGGCATCCCTTTAAGGCTCACTAGGCTTTACAGCATGGTTTGGGTTATTCACCAGCCGATCGATGTTGTTTCCTTGGAAAGGTACTTTAATCAGGATATTATTATTTTTATTTAATCAAGTTTATTGTCCATATCGAACCCTAAGGCATGACAGACCATGTTCCATGAACTCGAGGCTCGTAGCTGTTTGGCCTCTTGTCCCTATGAGTTCCTGAGATAGCCCTCCTACAATCTCTCTGATCCTTTTCCTCGCCCCAGACCGCCTATATGCGCAGGGCTTTCGAGCACAGTGCTCTCCTTGTGATTCAGAGCAAGGTGGGTATTGCCTAGGCCGACTCTCAGCTTAGGCTGCCCTTCCTGCTACCCTTCTCCTGTCCTAATCGCTTCCTCCAATGCGTCTAGTCCCCATTCTTCATCCCTCTGGGCCCTTTCTGCCGTTCGCTCTAAGTATGCCCGGAGCAGAGCTACACTCGTGTTGGCTAGGAATTGTAGCAGTGCCCTAGTAGCTTTTGGCTCTCCTAAAAGTCATCCTTGCGGATGCTACTCTAGAGCAGTAGGTCTCATAACACCAGCCATCTCAAGGACCTTGTAGAACTTGTTTCGTTGGTGTCGCCATTTCCGGCATTCAAAAAGAAGGTGGTGTGTTTTCTCCCTTGATGAGCTGCAACCTGTAAAGGTTGTAGCTCCACTTGGTTAGTCCAGGAGGGTTAGAGCAGGTGTTTCCCTTTCATGAACCAGTTGTTCATAACAAGCCGTATCAGGAGGAAGACTTGATTGAGGTCCTTTCATATAACGTAATCCACGGCCAAGTTGCGCACCTTCGCCGCAGTCAACACGATTTTTGAAGCTTTTCAACCACAAACATCATTTAATTAGACTATTTACTAGGGCAGCTTCTAATAGTATGTCCAACAGTCGCACAGCCACTGCAGCGTGGTGGAGCGCGCCGATGAGTTACAGGTGTAGGCTCATCAACCCACTCATTAAGCTGTGTATCCAACTGCTGAACGCGCTCACGACCTTCCCGTACAGATATGAAGAGATCATCCCCAATATAACCATGCCTCCTTGCTTTGTTTTTCTTCTTGCGCTCATTTTCAGTGCGTAGCGACCTGATTTGTTGGTGAAGAAGAAGGTTCATATTCATTGCCATCTGTGCTGCTTTTTCAAGATGTTGAATATGAGAGATTTGACTGCTAGAAAGCGTCTTTTTTTTTTTTTTTGAAGACTTCCCTGTAGGCTCCAAACCTTGCAATCAATTTGGCGAGGATTTTGAGGTGTTTTAAAAGCAGAGGAAATTGACCCTTCAACTTCAATAAGAGGTGGTGTCGGCGTACGAAGTTGAAAAGTAATCTTTTTAAGAACCCGGCCTTTATCAAGTGGCCTAAGACCAGCACCTGCGAAACCATTGCAAATATTCTTTCCAGTGAAGACCCGATCACGCGCAGGAGGATATAGATGCAGAAAGTCCTCTTTATCAATGTGGTTATTTCCAGCCATCATCATCTCCTTGACTAATTTTCCGTACGCGCGTTTAAGCGGCCCAAAAACACCAACATCAAGTGGCTGAAGAAGATAAGATGTATGTGGATGCATAAAAAAACAGATAATTGCATTCTCTTTACAGAAATCATCAAACTCAGCAGTTTGGTGACTTGAATGGCCATCAAGAATAAGCAACCGCTTTGCACCAGTTGAATGTGGTTTAAAAAAAAAGGATCAAACACTTGCTTCAGCCACTTAAGACCTATCTCATCTGTTATCCAGCCATTGGCGCTATTTGTAAGCTTCCGGGCTGGATGAAGATTAGGCCCTTGATACCAAGATGCTTGATGTTCTTTCCCTTTCAAGATGACCACTGGTGGTATGGAGATCCCTTTTGAGTTGATGCATTCAATGATAGTAATCCATTCACAGTTGCCCTGGATAACTGTATGAGATCTCTCACTGCAATTTACTGCAGTGATTACTTTAAATGCTGTACAGAGACCCATTGCAAAGCTAGTTTCATCAATTTTCCAGATGTCATCTTCATGGATCACATGTTCTTGAATAGCTGCATGTACAGCCTCAAACCACTTATTTAAGACTTTTGGATCTTCCTGCTTTGCGCGCTGGTGTGTTATCCTCTGGTTATATCTTGTTCATAGTTGAGGACGGCGCTTTATGAAGGAGGAGGCCCAATTGACTCCAATAGTCACAGTAGAATTTTTTCATACATTTTTTGAAGTAAAATCGGTACCATTTCACGCAAGTACTGCGGTCGAATTGAAAATCCCTGTTTATCTGCATCCAGAAGTTGCTTGGCAAGAGTTTCCTCTTCAAATCGGTTAATTTATGGCCACTGGCGCGTGTTTCTGATCGTGGTTTCACTCCTTTAAGCCGATTGCGAAGGGTAGCTTCAGACATTCCAAATGCAGATGCGGTCTCTCGTTTTGATTGGATTTTTTTTTTTTATTCTTAATCGCTGAAATAGCCATTTACATTCCATTTCTTTAGAAAGAGGCGTCTTTATAGGATAAAGATAGAAAAAAAGTCACACTGAAGTATATGGTCATGAAGATATTTAATGGGGCGGAGAAGGTACGCAACTCCGCCGTGGATTACGTTACTGTTGAAAAGTCCTTGCTCGTAACTGCGTTGCTAAGGTTTGTACTCGTGCTTTTAGGGTTGCAACGTATCTGTATAATACTCATTTACTGTTATCATCCTAAGCAGCAAGCCTTTGTGACAATTGGTTCTATGCACTTAGTATTTTCCGCACGGCCTTGCTTGCTCCTGGGATTGTTCAGACTCCTAAGAGCCCTGACCTGGGTCCTAAGATGGCTGCTCCTGTTTTTGAGAGCTAGGAGCACACTCCCCAGGGGTGACGGTCAAGAGTGCTACAAAGAAAAGTAGAGACAGGTAAAACCCTAGCGTGGTGCGTTTTATTGAGGCTACCTTAGTCAGGCTACTCACCTCTCTGCTCAGCCCCTACTCAGTGATCAGCTCAGGCTGCTCAGGGCGTGCTCAGGTATGCGCAGTGAGCAAAAAACGGCGAGGGGTGAGCCCTAAATCGGAAGGGGAAAGCTTTCGAGCTATCTAGAAAATCAAGTACGTATGCCAGAAAAAAAAGAAAAAGAAAAAACAAAGGGGTATACATATACACGATGCACCAATGCAATCATGCTCACAAGTCTCTGATAAGACCGCTTCAAATGCACAAAAGTATACAATACTATTTCTAAACCAAAACACCGGTTCTCATGCTTTGAACTGTTCGTGCCCCGACGCCCTTCAACTTGCTCAGCTCCAAGATGTTCTTAACTTGTGCGTGGGTTTCTTCTCCTTCGTCTAATTCTTGGTCCATCTCGCACAGACAGTCGACAATTGCCTCGGCTTTCTTGACGCCAACGCCCTTCAGCAACTTGATTTGGTTGACGTCGCGGGAGTTGATGGTAGATAGCAGATGGATCGTGCGCGGTGAGGTTGCCTCTTCATCATTTTCGGGTACATCCGAGTCCTCATTGTCACTCGATGCGGCCTTGATGGTCTTTGTGCGCTTCCTGCGGAGAGCGCGAGAGGTATCCTGGATTTCCTCTTCGCTGAGATCTTCAGATATAGCCTCGGGCTCCTCGTAGTCATTATCGGAGTCGTCAGCTGCGCGCTTGATTTGGGGTCTCAGGGGCTGCTTTTTGATTGGCAGTGTGCTTCCCAGTCCCCTTTTTGCGGGCGGAGAGGCCGGAGTAGCAGAACATATGTTCTCCTGACCGAGCGAGCCAAGCAGACGCTCTTCCAGACGGGAAATCTTCATAGCCAGCTTCTCGTTGTTAGGAAAGAACGGCAATGCAAGCTGGTACATTTTCAGAGCGGAATGGTCCTCCCCTCGGCCCTGGTGTTGTTTTGCCATTAGCAGGTATGACAATCCTTCAGCTCTTGCATCCTCGGAGCCTTCAATGCGTTGCTCGAGAGATTTCAATCGCTTCTGGACTTGCTCATTAAGTTCGTGGACTTGTGTCTGTGTTGTTTGTTCGCTAACAGCTCTGACAGCGAGGATCTCCTCGACCTTCTTCTGGACCATTTCCTCAATTCTGGCAGCGGAGATATCTTCGTGGTTGGTCTGCTGTTGTGTTGCTGTTTGGGAAGGACGGCCGATCTTCGACGGTTGTGGTCGTGGAGTATTAAAGGTCAAGGATGTCCGTTTTGGGATTTCAGGCTTCTTGAATTGCGTCGAATTCCTCGGCTGTGGCTTATCGGAGAATACAGAGAATGCTTTTACAGGCTTGCTGTCCGCAGGTTTCGACGTATCTGTTGCGCCAGGTGCTGGTAGATTTGCGTTGACTGAAGCCGTCAATGGCCGGAGAGGCTGCCGCTGGGCAGCCACAGAAGGCCGCATGGCTGGCCTAGGAGGACCTTTGAACATTGGCTCATTTTCAACCTCGCGAACCTCAATCTTCTTTGTCCGGTTGGCGAAGTTGAGTGAGCTGAGTGTATCCAAGTGATAAGATCGAACGGGGGCAAGGTTGAGGATCATGACCGTTAATCCTTGGTTCTGGCCCAACGATAGAATTCGTGTCATCTTCGACTCTCGATACGGGATCCTCTGTTGCTTTTTGGTCATTGCTTCGACGCACTGTGCTAGTACGAATAGACTCTTGTTAATGCTGGCTGATTCCACCATGCGCTCTTTCCCGTTATCCGTTCGGCGGTTGTCCTCGGAGCCTGCAAGGTCAATAGCGGAAGCAGTGCTAATCCGTGTCTTGTCGCCGGTAGTGACTGTAAGCTTAACGCGAAGAATGGCATGAGATCGTGAAGAATGAGCGTTCAGCTATATTCCATTAGTGCTGTGTATTCCGGCTGAGACAACAGCTAGCGTGCTCACCTTGGTAGCAGAGGTTGACCTGTTGGTGTTTGCTTGATCGTAAAGACTCTCAAACTCTTTCAAGCTCGTACAGGATCTCTCTGTCAACCCCACGACGACCGTCTTCCCACCGTTGTCCCGAAGGGGCAGTCCTGCAAACGTCCTCTTCTCTGGGGGTTCAAACAAATCGTAGACCTTGTCATTGTATATTTCATAATAACTCAAGGAAACCTTCGCAGATGTAGCTCCATCGCTGTCCTTCTCGATCTTCCGTCCGCGTCGGTAGATGGTGCTGAGAAGTCGGGGGATTGCGCCCCTGTCAGCAAGGCTTTTACCGCCTCGCATTGTGTGGGTTTTCCCCGTTCCCGTAACGCCGTATGCGAACAAGGTGACGTCGAATCCATTGAAAAGGTGCTTCACGGTGGGAGCAACTGCACGTCCAATCAGTAAGTCAAGGAGTTTTCGGCGCGTATAAATCAGGATGGTGCGGACCTTCAGCGTCGAAGACCTCCTGCTGAGAAACTTCCGCGTCGTAGACTGCGTTGAACTGGAAAGAGTACTCCTCGTGTTCATGTTTCGGGTTTGGAATTCGCACAAGTGTATCACGGTCCCTCAATGTGGCCAGAGATTTACTGTCTTCAGTGTTCTTCTTCTCCCCTTTGTTGTTGGTGCCTGTCCGAATAATGACATCCAATTCTCGTTCCGACTTCAAGAGCGGTCTGATTCGCGCAACAACACGAACACTCATACTGTATGTCCTCTTCGTCCAAGCCTTGTATTCGGTCGAGCGATAGTTCCGTGAGTCCTCCGTCGACGTGTACGGCTAGGTGCCTGTGCGGACGGGTTGTCGTTTCGATGTAAACAGTCACGTCTTCGGATTTAGGTCTGCTGCATAATAATAATACAACGCAGCAGCAAGTGGGGCAAAAGGTAGGAAGTGAGACGAGGCGAAATGCCATGCAATGATATCTCTCTATGGACCAGAAAGAAATGCCGATTCTCTGTTCGCTGACGCTGAAATGCAAAACAAAAGAACACGAAAAGGAAGAGCAGAAAGCCACAAAAGAAAAACCTGCAACGCCTGTTTGGTTAGTACTGGCAACCACAAACTGACCCTCGAGTGGAGGACAAACTGAGGAGAATGGGGGTAAGATGCGTTGTGGTCGTGCGCTCCACAACCGCCCAGCGTTGGCACGGCAACCCGTGACCGCCCTAACATAGCGTCGAGATACAGAAAACTCAAGGCTCAAGGCTAATAGTGATGTGAAATGGGAAATCATCAATTGCGTTTATCATGCATATGCGCAAGCAACAACGGTAAAAATAGCTATGGTCTATGTATATCACTCAGTCCTGCTACCCCTGGTACATTATCTTACCACAGAAGCATCTACCGCACAATGCATCAGACTTCCTCTGTAATTCTGCAAGGTATCCAAGGAGGGCGGGGGCACATCATATCCAGTAGGTCACAATCGCACATGATAACCTTCTTCTTTCGTAGCCAAGTCGCAAACAGCCTAGGCGGTCAAAAGCGTCAAGAACTTTATCGTGGGCGAGTGATAGACAGTCTGCAATCCGTTCAACAAGTTCCAGCAATTTCCTGGGGTGCAAGCACTCTATCCTCTGTTTTTTAAAACATCAACTCTTGGTCCATAGAGTCGCAGTCGAGCGGTTCTATATGGTGTTGTGTATCGCTGGGAGCGTTGGGGACGTCCAACAATGTAGTTTTTTGTTCAGGAATTCTTCAAGTTTAGCGCAATTTATTGCTTTAGAAGAGTTTGAGGAACCCTATTGTTTTGAAGTATGAAACGGAGTCCTGTTCCTGTTAGTAGTATCTGGATATATATATCAATGAAACTCCGCACAGCCCTCATTCAATGATGCCAGTAATTCACTGACAACATTCGATCATTCCCTAGTAGCTAAATCAATAATTTTATGGCAAATATTTATCCTTCAAAATGAGAGAGGTTGAGACGTCGTTGAAGTCTGGCTGGGGGACTGATGCCTGCGGGGCTCTGATTGGTCCGAAGCAAGGTTGCCGCAAAGGCCACCGTACACCTTCGCCTACTCGAGCATAAACCATAACTTCTCCTTCCAGGACACGTTGACCGACCTGGTGTACGGCTTTTGCGTGTGAACTTATTAATTCTCCCTCTAATATATTCTGGTTATATGTTCGTCTTCCTTCTATAAACTTGCTCGTTAGCACGCAGAGTGGCCCGAGTCGCTCTGCCCCTCTCCCTGCTCGAAGTCGATATCGTGGCTGACCGAAACAAACAGTAAACCAGTTACGATTCGCACGACGTTATACATATACCCTCCCTCCCACGAAATTACCTTTACAGAAATTATCAAGCGCCAATAGTCGCCGTTACCTGATATCACACTTTCGTCTCTCATGGAAGCACCACAGGGGGGTTACCCTCCCCAGGAAGGGTATGGTCAACCCGTTGGCTATAGTTCTCCTCAGCCCGGGCAGCCTCCTCAAGGTCAAGCTGGTAGGAAGAAGCGGGTATATGCTGGCGAATCCTTCGAGTTTGGTTCCGGTGCCAATGCGGCGTTGGGAGGTCAGATGCCAGCCGGCGGCAGCTACGGCTACCCTCCCCAGCCTGTTGCGGGATACCAACAACCCGTGGCGCAGCCCATGTATGGGGCAGATCCCGCAGCCCAGATGCAGCCTATGCCTCAAGGATACGCCCCGCCTATCGCACCTGGAGTCGCGCAGATGACCCAGCAATTTGGTGCTATGGGGATGGCTGATCCGCATCAGATGGCGCCTCAACCTGCCCAAGCACGGCCTGTTTCTCTCAACCAACTCATCCCGACCGACCTTCTCAGCCAACCATTCAATGTCGCAGAGCTAGACTTGCCTCCGCCTCCTATCATTTTGCCGCCGGGTGTATGTACCTAGTTTACTGAACTACTTGGTGTTGGAGTTTGCTGACTTGCTCTTAGACCAGTGTCTTCCCGTCTCCCCACGCAAATTGCCCTCCCAAATACATGCGCTCGACACTAAATGCCGTCCCGACGAACCACTCGCTTTTGAAGAAATCCAAATTACCTTTCTCTCTTGTCATTCAGCCATATGCAGCCCTCCATGACGCAGAGGACCCTATCCCGGTGATTCCCGATCAAGTCATCTCACGATGCAGACGCTGCCGATCCTACATCAACCCATTCGTCACATTCATGGATAATGGCCACCGCTGGCGTTGCAATATGTGCAGCTTGACGAATGATGTGCCTCAAGCCTTCGATTGGGATAGCGCTGCGCAAAAGCCCGCGGACCGGGCTCTGCGACCCGAACTCAACCACTCGGTCGTTGAGTTTGTCGCACCTCAAGAATATATGGTCCGACCACCGCAGCCGCTTGTCTACCTCTTCCTGATTGATGTGAGCTATACTTCGGTTGCTAACGGCCTCTTGGCCACGACCGCACGATGCATCAAGGAGAGCCTCGACCGGATCCCTAACGCGGATCGGCGGACCCGGTTGGGCTTTATGGCCGTGGACACCAGCCTTCATTACTTCAGCATCCCCAGAGACGGATCCGAGAGCTCAGACCCGCGTATGCTTGTTGTCAGCGACCTTGACGAGCCATTCCTTCCCATCCCTGGTGATCTTCTGGTGCCACTAAGTGAATGCCGGGAGAACATCGAGCTGTTCTTGGACAAGCTGCAGGATATGTTCCAGGACACTCAGAGCAATGGCTGTGCTATGGGATCGGCTTTGCGGGCTGGTTACAAGTTGATTTCCCCCGTGGGCGGAAAAATGACTGTCCTCAGCACGTCGCTCCCTAATGTTGGGCAAGGCGTCCTTACCATGAGAGAAGATAAAAAGGTCCTAGGTACGAACAAGGAGAGCGGTCTTTTGCAGACCGCCAACAGCTTCTACAAGAGTTTTGCCGTCGAGTGCTCTAAGGCGCAGGTGTCAGTGGACATGTTCTTGTTCTCCTCCCAATATCAAGATGTGGCGTCCTTGAGTAACCTTCCGAGATACACGGGTGGCCAGACCTACTTCTATCCTGGGTGGAACGCGGCCCGGAGTGAAGATGCAATCAAGTTCGCACGAGAATTTTCTGAATACCTGTCGTCAGAGATTGGACTGGAGGCTGTCCTGCGTGTCCGTGCAACGACTGGTTTGCGGATGAACACGTTCTACGGTAACTTCTTTAACCGTAGCTCGGATCTGTGTGCATTCCCTGCTTTCCCACGTGATCAAGCGTACGTCGTTGAGGTTGCGATTGATGAGACTGTCACGAAGCCAGTGGTATGCATGCAGGCAGCTGTCCTTCACACCACGTGTAACGGTGAGCGGAGGATCCGTGTCTCGACCGTGGCGCTTCCCACCACCCAGAACCTTGCCGACCTGTATGCTTCAGCGGATCAGCAGGCGATTTCCGCTTACTTCAGCCACAAAGCTGTTGAGCGGGCTCTGTCGAACGGTTTGGAGCCGGCACGAGAGGCATTGCAGGCCAAGGTCACGGAACTTCTGTCGACGTACCGCAAGGAGCTTGCCGGTGGAAGCGCAAGCGGCAGCGGACTTCAGTTCCCTGCCAACCTGAGAGCACTTCCTGTTCTTTTCCTTGCCATGATCAAGAACGTAAGTTTTTTTTTTTTTTTTTTTTTTTTTTTTTTTTTTTTTTTTTTTTTTTTTTTTTTCGGCCTTTGGTTGCACTGTCAAATGTTGTGATAACTGACATTCTGTTTTTTAGCTTGGTCTCCGGAAATCCGCCCAAATTCCGACCGATATGCGGTCAGCTGCTCTTTGTATGCTTTCGACGCTTCCTCTTCCTCTTCTTATGCAGTACATCTACCCGAAGATGTACTCGCTACACGATATGCCAGACAATGCGGGATTGCCGGATGAGCAGACGGGCGAAATCATCCTTCCGCCGCCCATCAATCTGGCGTCTGAGCAGATGCTGTCGTATGGTCTTTACCTTCTCGACGACGGACAGACGCAGTTCCTGTGGGTAGGACGCGATGCGGTGCCGCAGCTCATCCTCGACGTGTTCGGATTACCCGACAAATTACAACTCCGCGTGGGCAAGCAGTACCTTCCCGAATTGGACAATGACTTTAGCCAGCGGGTTCGGGCGGTGGTTGAGAAGAGCCGGGATCACCGTGCGAAGGGTGCGGGCAGTATCGTAGTGCCACATCTGTATGTGGTTAGGGAGGACGGGGAGCCAGGCCTCCGGTTGTGGGCACAGACACTGTTGGTTGAGGACCGATCGGATCAGAGCGCCAGTTTGGTGCAATGGATGGGGTCTTTGCGGGAAAAGGTTTGATCCCCTTTTTTTCTTTTTCTGCTCTCTCTCCCCCCAAGTCGACTTGGTGCGATAAAGACCACTGAGCTGACGAGGTTGAAAACACGTGTACAGATTGTGCAGTAGAGAAGATGGCTTCCGCTTCCTAAAATACTTTGGTTCCTTATTTATGAGATACAACACTGATTATATTGATATCTTATTTGGCAGCCAGGGTACTTCCCCTTTTTGGCTGGTATTTGTATTTGTATGGAGTATTTTGTAGAGGAAGTGACTATAAGAGACCATGTGATATGGATTGTGATAAAACTGTGATGATTGAGTTTGGCCCAGCAGTAGTGCCAACTTTCTGCTCTAGTAGTAGTCCATTGGTAGATTATGGAGTGATTCTCCAGTGAATGCTGAGGCAACTAAGAAAGAAGATGAAACACTGGTTGAGACAGAAGAGAAGCAGAGGATTTTCAGGGTCAATGGCAGATATATCTACCATGGATAGAGGACTCCATGGAATACTCTATCAGGGAAAGTGTGTTAATCTCCCTGAATTTCCATGTAATAGTCCTGCTCCTAGAGTAGACTATTATTTGAGGGCCTGGACCAAATAGAAACCACCGCTGTGCTTGATCGCTCACTACCATTCCCTGTTCTTCTTCTTCTCTTCTCTTTTCTCCCTCTTTCGACTTCTCTCATACGCGTTTCTCTGTATTCTGTATTCCGTACTCTGTACTCTGTACGTACTCCTGCATTACTGCTGACTGCCCCACCCCACACCCCCATCACTCTCCCCTCCCCAGCCCCTCCGCAGACAGACTATTGAGACAGCAGAGAGCGACAGACAGACACAGATCCATCTTCATTCCGACCGTCTCAGAAAAAAAGTTCGTGTGCTCTGTCAGAACTATCTCTTGCTCTCGTTTTCCCACTCAATTATATTCAACATTTTCCAAACACTGACGGCCTTCGGCAACAGATCTCACGACGGCTTCTCCGACGGCAGCCCGATAAACACCACTTGCAGGTCAGGGGGACTACACGCACAGGTACGGATACTCGTTCGCTTTGTTTTCCATGTCGATAACTGTGGCTTTTTCAATGGAATGGAATGGCTCGACCTAAGCGCTTAAGGCGTCTTTCTCACTCGTTCCCTCTTGAAGCTGTTCGATTCTAACGTGACTGCTCATCAAGTGTACCACTATCCGCCATCGATTAACCGCTCATCCCCGCTACCCACGTCTGTCGACCTTGTTCGAAGAGCCACTTTGTTTTGGAACAGGGGGGGAAACAAAAATCACCAGATTCGCGCATCCTGCAATTTCCTGAATTCACCAACAACCGTCAGTTACGTCCCGATTGCTTCGCTAGACCTCAGTGCAGATTGCGACGTACACCTTGAATAGCCCGTCTGCTGTTGGCACACTTGGATTACACAAACTGTGACACAAATAAGTAAGCTTATCTCAACAGCATGCCAGGATTCTCCATGGCCGATTCCATGTCAATTAAACATCTGACAAGCCGATTCATAGCTCTAAATCACAACAAAGATGCAAGGGTCGAGGAAGATCTCCTTCAACATCTCCGAACAGTATGAGATCGCTGACATCATCGGAGAGGGTGCCTATGGTGTTGTCTGGTATGTATCTGTGATCGTCGGAGTATAGTCTAGTACTAAACGGTGTCTCATAGTTCGGCGATTCACAAGCCTTCAGGCCAGAAGGTCGCGATCAAAAAGATCATCCCCTTCGACCACTCGATGTTCTGTCTGCGGACCTTGCGTGAAATGAAGCTGCTGCGCTATTTCAACCACGAAAACATTATTTCTATCTTGGATATCCAGAGACCCCGCAGCTATGACTCTTTCAATGAAGTATACCTCATTCAGGTACTGCTTTCCCTGGTATTACCCCATGGGAACCAGGCTAACTATCGCAGGAACTGATGGAAACTGACATGCACCGAGTTATCCGTACCCAAGACCTCTCCGACGACCACTGCCAGTACTTTATCTACCAGACCCTCCGTGCGCTCAAAGCGATGCACTCCGCAAACGTCCTCCACCGTGACCTGAAGCCGTCAAACCTTTTGCTCAACGCAAACTGTGACCTGAAAGTCTGCGACTTTGGTCTGGCTCGTTCCGCCGCGTCAACCGACGACAACTCTGGATTCATGACAGAATACGTTGCGACTCGCTGGTACCGTGCGCCCGAAATTATGTTGACCTTTAAAGAGTACACAAAAGCCATTGATGTGTGGAGTGTTGGCTGTATATTGGCCGAGATGCTGAGCGGAAAGCCCCTGTTCCCTGGAAAAGATTGTAAGTGGCAGCGCCGGAAGAGAAGACTTCAATGTGCTAACGTGAAACAGACCACCACCAATTGACTCTTATCCTCGATGTTTTGGGTACACCAACCATGGAGGACTACTACGGAATCAAGTCCCGCCGTGCTCGCGAGTACATCCGCTCTCTTCCCTTTAAGAAGAAGATTCCTTTCAAGGCCCTTTTTCCCAAGAGCAACGACCAGGCCCTTGATCTCCTGGAGAAACTCCTCGCATTCAACCCCGCCAAGCGTATCTCAGTCGAAGAAGCCCTCCAGCACCCGTACCTGGAGCCGTACCATGACCCGGACGACGAGCCCACTGCTCCTCCGATCCCGGATGGATTCTTCGATTTCGACAAGAACAAGGATGCGCTCAGCAAGGAGCAGCTGAAGTGTATGTTCCACCTTCATCCAAATGAGCACTATTTGCAACCAAGCTAACAATCACCCAGACTTGATTTACGAAGAAATCATGCGGTAAACATCTCGCTTAAGGCGTATCCGAGTACATAAATGATCACAACCATACATCGAGTAGATAGAAGAGGCCATGTGAACAGGAAGTGGATATGGGTCAGGATAGTTGTGTTTTTAAGGCGATATACATACATTCGAGCACTTTACCATCCATCCCGGGGCTTTTGATTCCGTCATGTTACTGTGTTTGAAACTACGGCGTTAAGATAGTCAACCTTTGTTCAGATGATCACCTGAATACCATATCTCCATTCATTTCATCATGCATATCGAGTAATCTAGATGGGTATATCGTTATAAGCAGCCAAAACACATCTATTTACCATTCCTCCCCTCCATGAACCTCTCAATCCCACCCCCAATGCCCTCCTGACTAGGCTTCTCAGCACAAACATGCGGCGCGAACTCATATTTCAAGTGCAAATGGTCCCTCGTCGTAGGACCAATCGTCGCAACAAACACCCTCTTCCCGGGTGCCACTAACACCCCGTCCCCATTATCTTTCGAAGAACCCAGTCCCAGAACCCGTAACATGGCATCACAGCCCGTTGGCGAGAATATGACCACCCACATCACCTTCTCTCCTTCACCATCACTATCCTCAAATCTATAAGAGTCTATGATTTTAGTAAAGTCACCTTCGAAAGACTCCATAACACACGTCTCATAAACAACAACCTCCTTCACCCCAATCGCCTCTCCCTCTAGCCCTTCCGACATAAGAATCTTCGGAATAATATCCCGTCGCTGTTCACCAACGAGGAATAAAAGCGGTAGTTTCTCTCCTTTCCCGTTTTTATTCCCAATTAGACTGTTATAATGTTCCAGGATGAAGTGTGCTAGATTCTCCCCATTCCCCGTATCCGCGCCGTGGATTGTTGCGTGCGGGAGGCGCGAGGTAACGAGCGATGATAGCGAGCGGGATGTTGCGGGGCCGACGGTGTAGAGGGGGAGAGATTTCAAAGAATCCGAAGCTATTTGTCCTATTCATTGAATCTCATTAGTATTTTGCACTGCACCAATTCATATCCATACTCTGGAGCGGGGGGAGGGAAAGGGGTACCATCAACATCCTCCTCAACCATCCTCGCAAACCCCTCCACAGCGCGCTGACTGGTGAATATCAACCCCCCATATTTCCGTTCAGGGTTATCGTGTTTCAATGCGCCAGCGTTGAAGAGGTCGCGGATGTGCGCGAGGTTCTGGGTGTGGAATTGGTGCGAGAGGACGGGGATGAAGAGCGGGTTGTAGTTTTTGTTGGTGAAGTATTCGTCGTAGGCGTCGGAGGGGGTGGATTTGGTTTTAAGGAGGAGGATTGGTGTTTTTTGCGCCATTGTTCTTGGTTCTGTGGGTTGGGGGCTGATATGGTTGTTGTGCTGGTGATAGTTTATTGATGGAGTTGTCGGATGAGGCGGGGGATTTTGATCAAATGAGAAGCTTGGCAGCTATGTAGGTGGATTGCTATTATGCTATAGACATACTCATTCTTGGTTTACTGATATTTCATTATTATGAATTCCACTGCCGAATATAGCTCATTCATGCCTGGCCGCTGCAACATTATACTCCGACATACGTCATTGAAGAACACAAGGAAATTGATTGAGTCTAGTTTATGTACACACGTATGGAAACAGAGACGATTACTGGTCGTCCAGAACATGCACGTACTTCCTCTCTTCCTGTCTCTCCCGCTCTGTGGCCGGGGGCAGGTCGTAGTAGGAAGCGCTCCGATAACCTTTCTGCGCAACAGTTAGCTACTGAATCACAAAACGGCAAGACAATGAACACTTACCAGGTAGTGGAAGGTGAGGTCCTCCAGCTGAGCCGGCTCAATTCCAAGATCCTTGAAGGTCTTGGCCGTTGGATCGATTCTTTGGTCGATGAATTCCCGCTCGACCTCATCGGCGGAGATGGTGGGCCACCAGAGGTACTTGTTCAGGTAGTAAGCCAGAGCCTTGAGAGCACCCTTGGGCAAGTTCAAGTGACGACGGCGCTTGACGATTTCACGGTCCACGAGCTCGGCAATCTCAGCGGTAGAGTAGTTCTTGGGACCGTAGAGCTCATAGGTCTCACCCGTAGTGGAGTCGTCGTGAAGCATGTGCTCGAGAGCAGCGCCAACATCAGGGGCCTGGATTGGACATCAGCAACACATTCAACCATAGCATGCATTGCGCAGAATATCTTACGTGAACAGGCCAGAAGCGCTCCTGCATGTGGTTGGCGGTAAAGAGGTTGGCCACGCTAGCGAGCTTGTGGAAGAGGTTGTCTTCGAATCCGAACATGGGAGCGGGTCGGACGATGGTGGTCTCAGGATAGATGGAGCGAACCACTTCTTCACCCCAGCCCTATGACACAGTTCAGTATACCCAATAAATGTATCATCTAAATTAAGGAACGGACCTTCGTAGAGAAATACTCGGATGGAGAATCCTTGTTAGCATTGTAAGAGGAGACGTGAATGAAACGGTCGATATCGTATTTGGCGGTCGCCTCTGCAATGCGCTCCGCACCGTCGACGTTAACATCGGTGTAGGAGAAGTTCCTGCATAGCCATTAACACACCAGTTCCACAACCAAAATTCCCCGTAACCACTCACTTGGTAGGGTATTGGCGGCCGACCAGGTTGTAGACAATGTCGGAGTGGCGGACGCTCTCTTCGATCGACTGGGTGTTCCGCAGGTCATATTCCTAGGTATATATAAGCTTATTGCACGATATGATTTCGCATTGGCTCGGGCTGACGGCGTACAATGAAAACGACTCTGCCAAGGTCACCAGTGACCTTCAGGTGTCTCTTCGCCATCTCCTCGCGGTAGGGAACAACGACCGTGCATCCCTGCGAAGCTGGACGGATTGTCAGCTTCTCCCTTCCCCTGCTTGCAGCATATTGACATACCGAGTCTGTTGACGATATAACGACCCAAGAAACCGGTGGCACCAAAGACGGTTACGGTATGACCTAAATCACAGGTTGTCAGATTGATCAAACAGGCAAACAATGCGAGCCGGTTGGGAAGAGCTTGATACCTCCGAGAGACGACCTGTGGAAGAAAACGACCTGTCAGCAACCCATTGGCCAGTATTTCTCGGCTCCAACGTATCCTTACCGTCCACCCTGGACCTTCAGAAGCGGCTTTCCGGTTCTAGTAATCGCGACATCTTGGAGGAATCGGCGCTGCGCCTGGAATTGAACCCGGGGAGCGGGGACGAATGCCTTCGACCCCAGGGCGGAATTGACGGCCCTGCACTTCTGCATGGTCATCTGTTCGCGGGTAGGTTAGAGGAGCTCGATAAATTGCGACATTCGAGGGGCAAATATACGTACTATGTTGGGAGTACTGGGAGATGGGCCGGCAGAGCTCAGCAAGTGGTGCTGGACTTGACGCTGGATTGGCGAAAGTCGTTCTCCAGAGATTCCCGGTGCAAGCCACGGGACCGCGCTAGTCCCGATTAGGGAATACTTTACATAGCTGCTGGAGCCGCATCATAGCGATTTTCTTGGGTGATATAAAATATCTGAGGCCAGAAAGTGCTGCTAAACTGACTTTTGTTATTCTGAATTGAATTGACCTAGGTTGTTGATGCTGTAAACCTCCATGTCCTTTACGTCTGACTATTCAACGGATATCATTGGCCGTTAGATTTTGACCAATCAGGTGGCCTGTTACATACTACAGAGCCCTTGGAAGAATATTCAAGTATCTACGATGCAATACCATCGAGCACAAACAATTGAAAACATTTTATTAGAGGTACTCAATAACACCATCATTAATCCATTCATTAAAAGGACATCGTATCCCTTAAATCGACAGGTTTATGAGCGCTGCGCCCTGGCCAAAAAGAGAGTCTTCGAGATCTCCTTCCCATTTTTGCGGAATACTGCCGGCTCCTCAAAGACATGGTAGCCAAAATTTGTCAAGCCGGCACCCGCAAACAAGTCCCTCATTTGCTCTAGGGTAAACCCATGCGACTTGACCGTTTCAGCAGTCTCGCTGTTGACGTGCTCACGAATTTGCTGACGGAAATCGTGTGAATGGTCCGGGACAATATCAACGATCACGCAAGTGCCACCCGGCTGCAATCGCTCTGCGAGGATTTTCAGGGCTTTGCTGGCGTCATCGAAATGGTGAAGGGCCATACTGACAACCACAGCATCGAAGTTGAAGAATTCCGGGCCGGACAGGTCAGTTGACGCGCCGTCCGCCAGAAGGTCGCCTCTCCGCGCACTCATTTTGTCTGAAAGATCAGCCACCTCAGCGTTCTTGTTGTATTCCGCAACCATGTTATCTGAGACGTCTAATCCAAGGACCTTTGTCACAAACGGAGCTAGTGTCTATACAAATCAGCCATTCATTCAATTCTCATGCCAAAGAAAGACATTGCCTATATATACCATAGATATAGCACCTGGGCCACAAGCATATTCGAGAATCCGAAGCTCTTGTCCCTTCCCGGCCTCAGTATCTGTCCATTTGTCACTGATCCAGAACCGGCTGTTCTCGACCTGGTTGCAGATGGACTGGATAACGCCAGAAAAGTCGTTCATGTAAGAGCCAGCCTTCTTGCTACAATCACAGTCAGTTGCTGTCTATCGCAGCACAGAAGATCCACGTACTCAAAGACTTGTCTGTTCTTCTCAGTGAGTCCTGCCATAGCTGTGATCGAGTAAGATAGCTGCTGCAAAATGTATAATTCAAATAAAAGCAATTGAGTATATCTGGATTGGGATTCTGAGTGATGAAGCTACAGAGAAAGAGCAATTTGACAAGAGAATAGCCTGATATTTAAGCACCAAAATTACCCAAGGTACTCTATACTGGTTCGGAGAGATATCGGATACTTTCTAACTGGATTCATAGCACCTGCGTGTGGAAGGCATTGATTGGTAGAGTCATGCCAAAGGCTCGTATAAGAAAGTTAATGTTTCCCTGAGTCAATGCAAAAGAAAAGGAAAAGAAAAAAAAAGAAAGAGCGCCTTGTGGTAGTTGGGTGTAGTGCACTCTGTAGTTGGGTCACTGACGACAGCGGACTACGGCGCCGCAGAGACACCGCCTTGAGCTCCTCCCAAAGCGGCCAGCCATCGCTATGTCTGTCATCTCTCAACACACCACGGCCGTTTTTTACCTCCATCAGAAACAGTCTTGATTTCTGTATACCCCGGACTGATTCTATTCCGCCGTTTATTATCATAGCTTCCTTCCCCTTGTATTCGTCGATTCGTCTCAGCCCGCAGCTCACCTCTTAGCCCTGCCACTCTCCACCATGGAGAACCAAAAGATCTCCGATTTCCTGACCGAACAGCTTTCACAAGCTCCGGAGCAATCCCAACCATTTTTCCTCAGCTTTGAAGACTACTGGGAGCGAAAGTTATGGCACCAACTCACCGATACCCTGATCGACTTCTTCCGCACACCAGAGAGTGCTCCGCAGCGGTTAGCGATCTTCAAGACGTTTGTCCTCAGCTTTGCGGACCGGATTAACCAGCTCAAATTTGTGTCGCTGGGGTTGATGGCATCAACAGGATGTGCAGGTGGGTTTTTTTTTATGCTTGGATTGGAGGCGTACGAAGCTAACAGCACGCGTTGGAATAGATGACCAAGAGCGACTGTCTTTCCTTACATCATTGGCCGATAAAGTCAACAAGCCCGAATCACAAGATGCCTACGCCTATGCCCTTGCGGACGTTGCCAACGTTAAGCAGCGGCTACAGGACTTTGATGGTGCGAAGAAAGACCTGGAGATGTGCCAGCGGATCTTGGACTCGTTCGACGCGGTTGAGACTGTTGTGCATGCTTCTTTCTATAAAGTGAACGCAGACTACTACCATGTTAGTCACTTTTTTTTTTTTTTTTTTTTTTTTTTTTTTTTTTTTTTTTTGGTTTTGCTTTTAATACAGCTATCTGACGATCACGAATCTAGGCCAAACAAGAATTCGCCTCCTTCTACAAGAACGCCCTCCTCTACCTCGCCTGCGTAAACCTTGAGGACCTGTCCGCGTCCGAGCGGGCGACCCGCGCATATAACCTTAGTATCGCCGCTTTAGTGTCCGACTCGATCTACAACTTTGGTGAATTGTTGATGCACCCGATCCTCGAGTCGCTCATGGAGGCGCAACACACCTGGCTGCGTGACCTCTTGTTCACCTTCAACCGTGGCGACCTGGCCGCATACGATGTGCTGGCCGGCAACATCGCCAAGGACCCCCTCCTGGCACAACACCGCATCTTCCTCTACCAAAAGATCTCCCTCGCCGCTCTCACAGAGATGGTCTTTCGCCGTCCCCCGCACGACCGCAACCTGACCTTTGAATCGATCTCTGTCGAGACGAAGGTGAAGCCGGAGGAGATTGAACATCTGATTATGAAGGCTTTGTCGTTGGGTCTCCTTAAGGGATCGATCGACCAGGTCGCCCAGGTTGCTCAGATCAACTGGGTGCAGCCCAAAGTGTTGGATCTGAAGCAGATTGAAGGCATGCGGAACAGGCTTAAGGACTGGGATGCCGGTGTCAACCAGCTGGGCCACTGGATCGAGGGTGTTGGCAAGGATGTGTGGGCTGCATAGATATGTTCTATCTGGATGGAGACGGTACTGCTTGCATTTACGTACAATCCTGTATTAGATTTCCTGAATATGATAGGAAAAGCATGATGGTAATTGATGATGGTTGCAATGTCAAGAACTATAATATCCCATACCGCTCCGTACATAAAACCCATATTAATCTATACATCCTTCACAACAAAACATATAACACCACATCCAGCCAAGCTAAAACACTGAAGATCCCAACAATGCACACCCAATAACCCAAGCCGGCCACCAGACACACCAAACAACAACTTGCGTCCACACCCCCCAAACATCCCACCCAAACGCCGCCAGTGTAAGCACACTCTCCACACTAACCCCAGCCCACCAACACCCACCCACAAGCACAACCGGCGGCGAAAGGACATTCAAAATCACCAGCCCAATTGTCGAAAATATGTGCCGTAGAACAGAGGTGGAGGTAGTGCGGTTAGTGAAGGTTAGCGGGGCGCAGAGGAGGCCGATCATGAAAGAGAGGGAAAAGTTTAGGGTTGCGAGAGTGGAGAGGAAGAGACCAAGAAGGAGAAGGGATAAGGATTTTATGAGGAGGTAGTGTTGGGGGATTGCGTTGGTAGATGTAGAAGGGGAATGGTGGGTTAAGAGGGCGGCGAGGGTTAGGGGGAGGAGGATGTCGGCGAGAATGCAGGTGTAGACTGCGGAGGCGAAGTACTGTTTTTGTTAGTTTGGATGTCTTTTGGTCTGTATTGGGATCGGGCTTGTCTTACCTGGTGGGAGAGGTTATTGAAGATGTAGAGAGGAAGTAAGCCCAGGAGATGGAGGCCAACGACAAAGGTAAGTGGAAGGGCTAGCTGTCGTTCCATAACACCGCTGGCATCTGTCTTTGCTGGACTGGCATCTTTCTCTTTCTGAGCCGTCTCTTTCTTTTCATCGGCCGGTGCACTTGCGCTAGTAGAAGGAGAAGAGCCCGCATAATATCCAGTACGCATCCACAGCGCAATCGCCATAATGGTAAAATTACCAGCAATCAACATCGCACTAGGCAAATACGTCCCAATACTGACAAATCGATTAGACTGCATAAGCAGATAAAAGAAGAAACTCTGATGCAGATGCTCCAACAGGTTGTTCAAACTCCGGCAGAGACTCTCTACCGTCCGACCCAGAGCCATCTCATCCTGCCAGCCCTCTCCCTTAGTTTGCAATGTTATCGCATCAACATGGTACGGCATGAAGCTGCTATGCGCACCAGTCGCGTAGCCAAAACCCTGTTTGATCATTCCCCGGAGAATGGTCTCCAGTCGTGCTTCGTAGCTGTCGTCGTGGTCCCACATCTCTTGCAGGACCGCGCCGATGCCCATCTGGCCGCCAGCGATGGAGACGGCTGTGTTGAAGAGGTCGAGGTTGGGCAGTTGGCCGTTGACGCCGTCGTATACGATATGCAGGGACTCGAAGCGGTGGTCGAAGGGGTATTCCACCACCAAGGCACCTTGCAATGCCCCGCTCTTTAATGGTAGTGGTTGGACGGAGGGCGGGTGCATGTCATGGTACGCGTCGATCCATGCCTGCGTCCCAGACTTGCTGTCGGGGGTAATCAAGAAGATGATATCTTTGGACCAGAGAGACCACCCTATAATTCATATGGTCAGCATATGACTTCTCCTTCTCCATGCGAAAAGAGAAAAAATAAAAAATAAAAAAAAAAAAAAAAAAAAAAACTCACTCTTAAAATACCTCGCCAACGTCAACGCAAGAGTAATCCCATTGGTATTCAACTCCCCATCCGCCGTCTTCCAAGCTGCAACCAGCACAATCGCCTCCGTAGCATCTCCGCGCGGCGCATTGATAATCGCATAGGTATTTTGTCCTTGATGCGTGATTCCAGCGGACGTGTACTCGTAATTCTGCGTCGCAACTTTCAACCCGGCGGCTCGTAGGATCGATTGTACCTTTTCAGATGCCCTTTTCACCAACAATTAGCATCGGAACTAAGCCAGAGACTGGTCCACCACTATTCCAGCGTCATGGGAGGACGGAACATACTCAGGTGTCACTTCAACCTCCCCGCTCACTCCATCCTCACCCCCATTATCACCAGCACCACCTATCAACAACCCCTCAAGCTCCTTTTTATAACCCCGGAAGATATTCTGCTCACTACCCGAGAAATACGCATGCACTTGACCGGGCAACAGCGCATTCTCCGAGATATACGTCCGGCGCGAGTATTCGTTCAGGGGCAGGAGGAGAAGCCATATAACGCCGACGACGATGCAGAGGAACGAGAGGAGGTAGGGGAGGCGGATGAAGAGGAAGTGAGGGTTACGCCGCAGATTGCGGGTAGGGACTGGCATTGTTGCTGTGTTAGTAGATTGGTTTTGGAGTGGTGGTCCGAGGTAAATCCGTGGGAGATGGATTGGATGGATAGGGGTGTGGAATTAAAGAAAGCACGGGGGAAGATTGATTATGCTCACGTTTTAAAGCCATTTATTCATAAATTCAAATCATTCGAGTTGTCTTTCCATGCTGTACAGAGTGCACGTCGGACTTGTCACGGATCACTAGTCTCTAGACCGTGCATCATAATATACGTCCGGTGGTAGCGACCACTTGCACAATTTGACCTTTACACTGCTTCTGGATGCTTTTCGAAAGTATATTTTACTATCATACAATTATAAACATTCTTATTATCATTCATATGCACACATGTAATGCGCAGTCCAAATGTTATCATTCCGAGCTTCCCAGACGCTGCGTAGATCCCAGGTAGCTCAAGGGCGTCGGTCGATCCCCCACGGGGTTCGCAGTAGGGAGCACGCCATAGCGACCATATGTTTTCTGATCCACTGACACATAGTGCGGCAATCTTCCCAGGAGATTCAGCTTGCCTTCTATCCATCGGAGGATCTTCTCTGGCGGGACAAAGACCTTGAGGTATCCAAGGCCAACTAAAAAATAGAACGTGGAGTTAGCGCATGCGCTCTAATATAAGAGGCTATAATACTTACGCAAGTAACCGACAAGCACAGCGCAGAGGTGCCCAAGGAAGCTTGTGTTTGGTATGAGCACCGAAGCGAAAACGCACGCAAGCAGAGGCGACGTCCAGGTGGGTATCTTGTAGCTACCAATGCTGCAAAGTATAGCGTTAGCATGGACATTCCAGTGATATAATTCTATCACTCAAACAAGAGCATACCTGAAGTAGGGGTGGGACTTGAACGTCCTAACAGCTTCCGAGCCCAAGAGAAGGAACGCCCAAACGCTTGTACCAGTCAGCCTTGTTGACCACATAACCAAGAAATGAATTCATCACGAACCTTGCACCAATAACCGGGGTATTGCGATGCAAAATCACCTTCTCCACGAGGAGATAGAGACCTGCAGGAAGAGTTGAAAGCGCTATTGAAAGCGAAGTCAGCATCATCTTAGAAAGAAACCACACCAAACCGCCAACTCACGTCCAATAAACAAAGCCACTGAAGTCAACGTCCCATGCTCAGCCTCGAACCGTTCCAACAACGGCGTAAGAGCCAAGATGTTCAACAAAGTGTGAAAAAATCCCATATGAATAAATGGATACGTATTAAGCCGATACACTATTTCGCTGCATTAGCCCCGTTCCATCTCATCTCTCATATCCCTATAAACAGGTAAGGGATGGAAGTGGACATACTACTACCAAGCCCGATCTCATCCGGCGTCAATGACCCCCACTGCACAACACTCCATATTTTCTGTAACTCAAGGATCCAAAACGCAAATATCGCCAGAAGCACGAGCCGCGTGAAAAGTGGCAGCCGGAGGATGTAGGACCGGACCCGGGACGGGTTGAAAGGCAACGGTGGCAGCGCGGCTGGGGTAGTCATTGCTCGAGAAGCGTTTGTCGTGTGATAACGGTCTTTTATTTTTCTCAACGCGTTTCTGCGGAAATATTCTAATAGATCGGCTGTACGACGCCGGTTCTGGCGGTGATCGATCCGGTAGACGAACCGAGGTCACGAGCGAGCGAAGAGGAGAGGTCGAGGTCGCCAATGAATGGAAACGCAACACGTTGCTGCCGAGTCCAATAGCGAAAAGAGTGAATTCAGCGTGTAGAATGGAGATTCCCAAGGAAAGAAAAAAAGGCAATGCTAAACCATACAATCAAACCAATGCCTGTACAACAAGTGAAATCGGCTATCGCAAATGACACCTAGTAGATCACCAGGGGCTATGCAAAACTGACAGCAGCAACCAGAGTGGGAGGAAGTTGAGGAAACACAAAAGAGTGCAATGATAGGCCCTAGTAAAAGGAGCCACAAGCAATAGCCCCCCAGTGAAGTCAAGTGCAAAAGGACTGAAACGAGGCTTGACTCTGTCCCAGCTCCGGATAACAATTAGGATCAGAAGTTCAGGTGGTCTCCGTTCCACGTGACCCGATAAGCCCGTTATCGAATTGGATGATCTACGACTGTCAAGAAAAATCAATTTACTCGTTTCTCATTATTATCGTTCATGATCTTGGCTATCTATATTTGTAATTCTATCAATTTACAGGTACTGGTTGAACCACACAACAGCCTGGCAGAAGGCCTGCTCCTTGGCGAACTTGAAGTGCGGGTTGCTCAAATCGGCACGGACGGCGAAACCGTGAGTGACACCGCTGTAGAGGTTGATCTGCCAGGGCTGGCCGGTCTTGATGAGGGTGTCCTCGGACTCGTGACGGAGCTGGGTAGTGAAGATCTGGTCGATTTCTACAGACAATCAATTACTGAAGAAGAATAAAGAGTGTGCGCGGGTTCCAGGGAAAAACATACCAGAAGCAGCAATGGACAAAGGACCAGTGATGCCACCGAGTTCCTCATGGGTGACGAATGAGGGGTGAGCAGTGTAGCCGACGTCGAGCTTGCCATTCCTCAAGAAGCGGCAAACGTACTTGCCGCCGAAGCAGTAGCCAACACCAGCAACACGCTTGATACCCAAGTCTTCTCTCAGGTACTTGATGGAGCCCTCGACAACGGGGTCGACACGACCGGGCTGGTGGTTGGGGATCCATTCGGGAAGGTTGACCTTGCCGGCCTCCATGTCACCGATCTGAATGGGGTCGCCATGGAAGAGGTCGGGGATGATGGTCAAGTAGCCATTATTGGCGTACTCATCGGCAAGAAGCTTGCTGTTGACGAAGAGACCGAAGATGTCGGTGAGGATGATGACGGCCTTGTCGGGGTTCTTGTTGTCCTTAGGGTAGGTGATGTAGGTGTCGACTATGAGTTGAAATCAGTAATTGGATATGGGGCGAATAGTAAAGCTATGGGACACCTACCACCAGCGATGTTCTTCACCTCACCGACAGGAGTACCCTCGTGCTTAAAGCCAGTGGCACAGCAAGCTCCGGGGGGGTTGGAGGCCATTTTGAAAGATATGGAGGTATAAGAGAGATATAGGGGGAGAAAATGGGGATATCAAGTCTAAGCTGGAGAAAAGCTACACTGACCGACCCGGCGGGCCCCTCTTATATAACGTCGTCATTCAAGGTCCCACGCCTCTCTCCTTTCCAATTTTTCTCTCCAACCCCACTTGCCTGCTCCGTTCCTCGGGAAATAGTTAACTTACTTGCTCATACTGACTAATCCTGCGGGGAAGACTGATTCGTTCTCGACACCAATTCTTTCGATACAAAGAAACCATGCTCATTGCCACCTGCCATCTCTAATCTACTGCATCGACTATGACAATGAGACGCAGCTTTATTGCGTCGTATTGATACCCCTGCACTGTGGTAACGTTGCTTTGTCATCTCGGCGGGGCTAACTAAGCTTTCTGCAACTCGGGATTAAACACTTAACTCCGCAGTTGGAGATATTTATAATGCATTTAGATACTTCCCTTATCGCTTTTTAGGATTTCATGAGCTTATCTTGGAATATAAAAATATAGATCTCGCATAAGAAGTTCTTGTATTGGTGGTTTGTGCTTTCCACTGCCTCAAGCATAACCATCGCCACTATCCAGGCGACACATAGCGGTCTGACTCGCTCATGCTCATCCTTGGTATTCGAAACCACTTTCAGCAGATCACCAGTAATCGACCTAGAATTGTACCATGTAGTGTATATCAAAGGAGAATATAAATTGTAGACACCACACCAGCATGGACACAGCCAATTCTGACATAAATGGAACGAATTTCGCAGCTATCGATGGTAAGCTTCCTGCCCCTGCAGGAATCTACAGACACGAACCCAAGACCATTATGTCCTACACAAGCGAGAAGCCAGAAAAATTCACCGAGCACACCCGACTCGAAATCAAAACCAGATCTAACGATCAATGTCTCGCATGCTACTCTTCCCCAGTAGACGCCGTCCCCGTCATCTCCAAACATGATCCGTCCGTAAGTCGATAGTTCTCCAGCCACCACCTGAGTCCAAGTCTAACATTCATATCGTATGTAGATCCCAGCCCTCCAAAAGCGAAATTGGGGATATCCCTTGACTTTGGAACCTACATGATAGACAACACCGTAGGTCTCTGTTCCAAGGGTCGGGAGTGATGAGGACAGTGGTGCCGATGGTTATACAGGAGAGCATCGCCAGTGGATAATGTTAGGGCCTGAGTACACTACAGCGGATACAACCGAGAGGTATAGCCCCGGTGATTGAAGCCTCACCGGACGTACAGGAAGGATCAAGTAAGCGCCCAAGGACTGGACCAAAGCTTGCCCCTCGCCAAATATGTTACAGAACATCTACAAAGGAAAGCCATGTTGATAACATATATTCAGATGGACAATACTATTAACCATGTGTCCAAATACCACAAATATCGCAATAACCACAAAAGTCAAAGCCCAGTCGTCAAATTAACTACCTTATTATTTCAACCATAACCCATGGGATATCATTTTCATAAGCCAGAAGAAAAATCGTGTAAATAGCAAACTCCTCGCGTCGGTACGTCAGTACTCGTGGTATCATGCCTCTGTTAATGAGGCTAATTCCGACCCTGGGCCGAAGAAAGCAATAAATGTATGGGGTATAAAGCTGCAAGCTGCGAAGTCGATAAACGGGGTCCAGAAATGATTTTGTTTCCGCCGTCATCTTCGATAGCAAAGAAAGAAAGAAAGAAAGAACAAAAAAGAGAATTATGATCTTGCACGTCATTCCAGCCAGACGACGATTCAAAGAGTTGAAAGTATCGATGTCCCTGTCAAGACAGAACTTATGCTGTGGCCGGGAATTGGAAAGGCGGCAGTTGCGGCTTGGACTCGCGCTTCACAGCCCACGCCTTGAGAGCAATAGACAAGATAGTGCAGGCCATGATGAAAGCCGTGAAGCCCATGCCCACGGTGAAAGTGAACATGGCGTCCAATTTGTAGTACTCGATGGACTCTACAATAGTGCGGGTCTGCAAACGATAGTTAGCCTAATTGCTTTCTCCAATAAACGTGAAACTCGTGGATACTTACACTCAGCATGAAGATCAGTCCACCAGCGATCAAGCAGAAAGAAGAGATGATCTCAGTCGGGGGACGTGCGGGCAGGTAGGAAGTTGGCGGCTTGATGTAGAGCAAGACATAGGTCGCGCCACGAGCCAAGGCAAATCCCACGAGAAGGTTGCCCCATTGCTTGTGAATCATAGTGGACACCATGCTATCTTGATGGTGCGAGCCCATCATCATACCCAAGAGGAGAATCACCAGAGCCGGCATCGGGTTGAGTGACACACCTTGGGTATCAGGGAGCTTCCAGTTGGAATCCGCTGATCCACGACCAGGAACTTGCAAGATGGTCTCGTTCAACCAGCTCTTGATGCGCTTAGACTCGAAAAGCATACCACAGAGGCCACCACCGAGGAACATGATGGAGATTGACACATGCTCCAAGTCCGTGGCAGACCATTCCTTACCCCAACCGGCAAGGTGTTCCAGGAAGACGTTGGTGATACCATATGTGAAAATCACACTCGACTCGGTGAACTCGCCGTTGGCGATGTTGGCCTTCCACTTGGGCACAATGGGAGACATAGGCTTCACGTTCCAGGCCCAACCCAAGTCGGCCCAGCAGCCCATCCATCGTCCAAGGGTGAGCAAACCATACCAGAAGAAAATGCCTCCTTTGATGAAGTGTGCGAGCCCGTTGAAAACTTCAACGCCCCTCTGTTATCAAACATGCGTTAGCCAACCTTCCTGATGGGAAAGAAAGTTTAAATAAATGATCCTTACCATAATACCACCGTAGGTCACACCTCCAGTAGCAATAGCAGTGAAACCGAAAGGCATGATAATACGCTCGATAACCATATGAATAATGTTCAAAATCCGGAGAAAACGGCTAGAAACCATGGAGGGTACACGACTGGACAAGAATCGGTCGACAACCGTACCCTGGAACCAACGCCGGCTTTCAGTAGGCTTTACGTGGTCCTGATCTTCCGGCTTCTCGAAACCATCATATTCGTTCGAAGGCGACCCGGGGCGGCTGTGCAGAGAGGACGAGTTACGCTCCGATCCTTGGCCACTGTCTCTGGACCACCGGTAGTCGTGGAAAGAGCCGGACGGGTAAGATTGCAAAGGACTGGGTGTGTCCTCGGTGGCCACGGGAAGAAACGCAGCGCGTTCGTGCGATGACACCTCGGTTTCGCCCCGTCCAGCATAGGCAAAGAGCAAGGTCATAACAACTTGCGCGCTAGCGACCCAGGTCGCGATCCAGCCAATCTTGTGGTGCGCATTGTTCTCGTAAAGATCGGGGGTCTGGCTGTTATAGATGATCCCGACCAACAAACCAATAGCATTGGAAACCAAGAACGCGAATTGAGTAGGAAGCGCCAACCACGAGCGCGCGATACTGAGCATGACACCTGTTGAAATTCAGTTAGATTTAATTGGTTATGAGATCAAAGGAGGGCTTCTCACCTGCAGGAAGAATGAAACACCAAGCCAGAACCATCAGACCGATGTGCGCGACGATGGTACCCGAGTGCTTTCCATACGCAAAATAACTCATGGGCGAGTCTTCAGCTGGTTCCGACGATTTTGAAGTCGCATTATAACCATGACCACCCATACCCGTGCTCATTCCCATATCCATATTCATATCATCCATCGAGTGGTCATCACCGTGAGGGAGAGCGTTCGCGAGCGACGCGAATAAGAAGGCCGCGGTAAGCGCGGCATTTGAAGCGTTGCGCCACATGGATGAAAGAGTTGATTTGAACTATTTGAATACGACCTTTTGCGTTTTCCCTTTTTACTCTGGGGAGCAATGATAATGCTATGACGGTACCCAGAGCTAATGATATCACACTCCAGCTGAACCGTCAACTCCGAATAGCTTGTAAAGAGCTGTACCAAGCACCGTATGGAACTCCTATTATATTTCTCCTGGTCGAGTGCGTAATTGTGGCACACTAAGGTAGGACAGAACGAACGGCAGAGGGTGTGTTGCTTATAAGCGAGTGCACGAGCGTGTTATACGGGGAGGGGAAGAGGCCGATCGGCGAAGCGTGTAGTATACCGCGGTAGGGCTGAAAAGCACGGAACGAGGTATGTATTGAGCTACTCAAAGAGCAGAACAAGGAGATGAAGGGAGATAAAAGAAGGATTAGATCAGATGAAATAGAATCAGGAACAGAGAAATGGCGAGGGGGAAGAGGAGAAGAAAAAGAAGACGAGAAGAAAACAAGGCCTTAGAAATCCATCCGACTTTTTTTTTTTTTTTATCCTTGAGCATCCGAATTCCCAGCTCGTTCACTACTTCAAGTGGGGATCACAACGGCCAGGCCGTGGAAATAAACAGCATGATTATGAAGGCCGTATTATGCTTCTCAAAGTATGAGTCGGGTTGTGCTCCGTTGATACGACTCCGTCAGTCCGTCATGATGCGCTGAATCTTCCCTACTAGAGATTGATCTAGCTCCAGACTTGTTCGTGGTATACTGTTGCATTGAGACACAGAGTACTCTGTACTCTGTACCGTGCACTCTGTACAGGGTATTCACTACGAATGAAGAAATCTCGGAAATCGGCAGTCACGGGAACCTGCTCTCCAGGTCACTCTCTAGGCACTCTTGGCAGTGGAATGACTTCCCACCCAGGTATAGAGTATTTTGTACGTACAAGGGCAAGAGCATGGAATCCGGGGACTTGACACCACTATCGGAGTACTGCACAAGAAAAAGCGATGGCATGATAGATCGTCTCTTCATGGCCGCAGCCACGAATAACGTTGGGCATCGCCTATCTCTCTCCGTGTCAGATGGTATGCAGAGTCTGACACGAGCCTGGCATGGCTGGCACATGATTCCACGACTATGTGCTGGCCAAAGTCCGCATAGATAGTGCTCTACAGAAAAGAGACCTTTGCCTGTACACCCCGACACTTGCAGAATGGGTTGAAATCTATTGGGGGACAGAGGAAGATCATCAGAATATCATTGTGCCCCTCACAGATCAATTAAAGTAGCCGACAATGGCTGTGTGTGTGTGCTTTGTACGAGTGGCTGTCCTCCAGGCAGAAATGCTGGTATGCCGGGACCATCCTTCCTTTCTGCAGCTGTCTCCGTAGCATGACATCGTGGTGCCGCCTGGGTGGTCAGTTATGCTGTCATATAGACAAACCTGCTTCGAAGTTATCAATAATACCACTACCATTTCAGTAATAATAATGAATAATAGCCGGCCAGACCAGGCTCAGACAGGATTCAATAGTTGGTTAATTTTTACTTGATTATTCCACCAGGTGCTCGTAAAATCTAAACATTTCTTTCATTTCTACAAAAACGAGAGGGAAACGCCGAATGACGATCCTCTTGGCGTGGATCGGTGCTATCCGCGACCTTCCGTGAGGTCATCGGGTGCTCATTTCCAACTCTGTGTGCATAAGGCACCTGTCGCCCACGCACTTCCTTTGTGCACATCCAAGCTCTAATTATTATCTACGGAGTCCGGAGAAATCGGTGTTAGGCAGCTGATATCCGAATCCCGGCTGTCGTCTTATGACTCATAATTGAATATTGCTTATCCGTGGTTGGTGAAATGAACATATGACTTGTCCGATCGGGTACAGACTACGGTTAGATACAGAGTAGAAGAAGATGATGTGCTAACTATATGAAGCGAGGTATGTGGCGCGAGGGCGCACCTAGCCGGTAGCGTGTAGTTTATCCTCTCCCCACGGCTGAACAGCTGAATGAGAAGTCCCATCGAGCTCGTATTTGGCTTATCCTATTTCTACATAGCACACCGCATATGTACATTGGCTCGGGAGCACTTTATAGCCCTGTGATGACATGCAAGTAGGTAGTACAACGTCTGGCTGTTAATTGGCCCCTAAGCGAATCCCGAACAGAGTACCCAACCTACTCCACCTGTATACTTGTTGTAGTGGGGTTGAATTTTCCGATCGAATCATCCGGCTTTCTTCAGCTTAGGATATGCTAAAGTTTATGCTTTCTGATATCCGGTTTTTTTTTTTTTTTTTTGCGCGCCTCTTCTCTTCTCGCCTCTTGAAAGGCATTGTACCAAGTGTACATGATTGCTTGATAGTAACATTACAGTCCTCTGATACATAGTGGACATGCAGTTACTGAACAAGCACACCACTGACGTAACGAATCATGTTGAAGGCCAAGGTCTTCAGTACTCGAAGTGCATAATCTTAATTAACCAACGCCCAAAATCCATCTCACATCCCGTCCATAAAGCATTGCCTAACCGCCGTGTCAAATTACCCCTCCCAGTAATGTGCACCAAACCAGAGTCGGATATCCGGCACTCTGCAACTCCGATCAATCCATCAACACTCTAGATACATATGGAAAGTCCCTCCATCACGCTCAGCCAATAACAGTCCCCATTCGCTACTTGTACACGGCACATGGGAAGTTCCATCACCCGTAGAGGATGCGTTATGGTGCGTTATTAAACTTTTTTTTTGTTTTCTTTTATTGGCGGCTGTCCGGCTCGCTTTCCAGCCCTGTCTGTCATCTGCTGTTTGCCGCCTGCCGTTGTCCGAAGTCCAAAAATTTGATCTAGTCGGACGATCTCGTATTGAACTGTGGGTTTTTGCAACGCTACGCACCGAGGATGATGTGCATTTGGATAATTAGTGCTGATCGGTATAAAATTGATTGGTTAATGTGTGTTTCTATTGCCGAGATGGTTAGGAGGATTGGTTTGTGCTCCGAGTGTTCTGTATAGTAATAAGATGGTTTTATTTAATGTCGATGTGATGGCATTATTGTGCTGTTAGTTAGCATTAACATATTTGGTAAAAGAAAACAATCACAGTATCTATCGCGTTAGTGGTGTAGCGGTTAGCATTGGTGCCTTCCAAGCACTAGATCTGGGTTCGACTCCCAGCTAACGCATTGGTTCCTTTTTTGACTTTCGTACTTTTTGGTACGGGGCCTTTTTTTTTTCTATTTCCTTTCTTTTTAAACAATACCCATACTTTTTATATTACCATATCCCTTTTCCATAGTGCAGTATTAATCTTACGTTAATTGAATCGTCCATACCAGACCGTGCCTGATATGTGGATCACAAAAACAATTGTAGATTCGTCGTCAAAAGGACTCACGAGCCGTGCCCTTGTCTTCCGGGAGCCAAGTAAGCATACAAATGATGAACGACAGAAAGCCCTCTCTTTCCTCTCCCTCCATAGACGACGGAATTGCTAACCCAAGAGTCCGGGCTGGTATCAAACTTTCGTGAAGAAACTCGCCTGCATGACAACTCAATCAGCGAAAATTCCAACACCCGTGATATATGAACCTCCTACTTTCGTCGTTGAAAAATGGTCCGTCGTAGTAACCCTGCGGGGATCTGCATAGCTTGCCGCGTCATTCTCAATGGGACCAGGCCATGAACACTGTGACATGAGATGCGATCTGTTAAGTAACTCTATTGGGGGCGAACTAAGCAACACGGTCACTCCCACTAGATCTACTTTGATATCATGGCAACCATCAGTTTCGTGCACTTGCCGGAATAACCACGTGCGCTCAATGATTCTCCATACCTGTCAGAATCGAGTTAGCTCAATGCTCTAGGCGCTGCCGCGCCCCATTAAAGACACCCGAGAAATTAAGATGTCTTATTAGAACACCTAATTTCCAAAAATCAACGCTGAAGTCCCAGCCATAGCAAAGGATAACCTCCGGGTCACAGTAGTGATTTGGCTGTATAGGATAGATGCCAATTGTTTCCACGAACAGGTTGCCACTGTCAAGCTTTCTCGCCAAACCAAAGTCGATACTCTTGGGAAGCATCTTGTTAACCTCCTTCACGTTTATGGGATCCAAGTCCATCTGACAGCGGTAGACGGACCGGCCGGTGATTGGTTCATTTGTGATCCACGGAGACTTCGGTAGTATTCTTTTTGACAGATTCAGAAAGAATGTTTTGTCCTCGGTAGCCAATAAGATATTGTCCAGCTTCAGATCTAGGAACTGCAGTACGTATTAGTGTTTTCGTTCCAAGTTTGGAGAAAACAGGTTACTTACAGGTGTGTAAAACCTTGCATTCTCTGCGTAAATAGTCAAGTCTGGCGAGGTAGCGCGAATATATGCCTTTGCAATCAAAAGGGGACTTCTTCCGTTCACAAAGCGTAACGGAAAAATACAGAGCGGCTCTAGCATTGGTTTGTATACCAAAAATTGATGATTCCCCTCTGAAATTTCCACCTCGAAGCTCTCAAGCCATGATCGATTAAACATGTGACCAGGATGTGATGGGTTCTGCAGAGCAATGTGTTTCTCAATGTCACGCTCACGATTACGGATCCCAGGGTTTCGAGTATTGTTGATTCTCAGTGCCATTTTCCGTTCAGACTATCTTATGTATCTGTACCGAAGCCATCGTTTGTTAGTCTTGGAAGTTGCAGTTGCTATGGAAAGACTCAAAACATGCCTCTTGGCATCTCGCGCAAGCCACACCGTTGAGTGTCTTCCCCGGCCGACCTTCACTAGCAACTGATAGTGGTCATTAATTATCTCTCTAGGTTTAGCTGGGTAGTAGCACTTGTATTCCTAAGTCGACCAGAGCTCCTCACCAACGCGCTCACCCTGGGAGGTGGTTGAGGCAAAAGCAGGGAGCTAGACTGGTCCAACGCGAAGACGGGATGATATGCATCTAGCCGTGTGGTTAAGCGACTGCTGCCAACCATTGAGATGGAAGTTAGTGCTTTATGCCGAGTGGTATTGCCTCAAGCTGGTTGCAGAATGGGGAAAAGTCGGCGGGAGTTGTTGGTTATAAGTTCTCCTGTGCCTGTGCAAGCAATTGCATGTGTAGAATATTCACTGTCAAAACTGTCAAGCTTGAGAAGACAAATAGAGAAAAACCTTGACAATCCTAGGGAAGGTTTACGAGCTACTTGGGACTTGACACAGTAAATAGTCAATGCAGCATTTGAATGAATGTGTTACGTTGAAGGTACAAGACATTATATGCAACTAAGTCCATTTGTTTATGATCAAAGAGTTCTAAGATGGATATCCCTGAAGCAAACATGGCTTTTCCAACATGCAAACGCGAAACTCCTGATCAGGGTGCGAATGGACAGTATGCCAGGCAGGTCACATCTGCAGCAAACTGGGGATGGACTGTGACTAGGTATGTATTAATTGCGTTTCTGGAATATTTCCCATTCCCAACAGGTTAATGCCATCCAATGTGTGTATAGAACGACAGTCTTGGACTGTCATTGAAGCCAAAGAGTCGAGCAGGCTACAGCTCCTTCTTGTCGCTTCCAACGAGGCCAGGGGAAGATTTGATTTCTTCGCTCTGGGTGCATTTCAAGCCAAGTAAATTTCGAGACAAATTAGAAGCCTAGAGTCAACATCAAGCCTACACGGCTGTAGTTCTACCGTGAAGTGCTGCGGGTCGCGTGATCAACCAAGCTCATATCCAGCTCCGCAACGTGGACACCAAGCAGCAAGCAGTGCGAATGAGCAGTATCTTGCAGCTTCCCATCCAGTTGGTGTCATTCCAATTAAAATCGAGAATGGTAGTACTTCGTTTGACATGTTAAACACACCAAATCACGGAAAAACCAGCCCCCGGATCTCCAACCTAAACCGACCCGCCAATCACATGACCGCAGTTCAACCAATGTAACCCGAAATGGCTTAGTGCCACTTCAAGCGAGCTAGCGGCCCCATCTCGGCGTCGGGAAAAGCACACAAACCGCAATTTTCGCAAATTGAACCCTAACCTTTTCGACCTCCGCCCAATCCTCCCCCAAACGCCCAGCGAACGACCGCGACGACGACCACCATCATCACCCGCCGCAAAACCACCGTCAAACCTCACTCAGGTCTTTCCCTCGCCTCCGATTCTTCAAGATGACTCACGAGTCCGTGTGGTACAGCCGGCCCCGCAAGTAAGCCTTCCCTTTTGTTGTTGTGGCCCTTTGAAGGTGTTGGATATTGGAAATACGGCGGTGGGATAGGCTTGAGAACTTTATGTTAACGTGATTTTTTCTTATTTAGGTACGGCAAGGGATCCCGTGGATGGTGTGTAACCAGATAACCCCCGAGAAAAAGATGGCAGGAAGGCAATAAAGGACGACCGAAAGGACAGAATTGCTAATATTCGAATTCAGCCGTGTCTGCTCCAACCGCGGTGGTCTCATCCGCAAGTACGGGGTATGGAATATCCACAACCTTTTGAGTTATTGTGTTTCTGAATGGACATGATACACATGGGGACAATTTGGCTGACGGGGACTTTTCTCGATTTAGATGAACATCTGCCGTCAGTGCTTCCGTGAGAAGGCTACAGACATCGGTTTCAACAAGGTTTGTTTTGACACTACACGCACCCAAACGACAACAACAGAATACGAAAAAGCATCCGGACCGTCCAATATTCTAACCACTCGCACTACAGTACCGTTAAGCTCGTACTTGCTCGTCTCTTTTCTCGATCCGTTCGTGTTTCACGATTTCCATTACGTGCTCGGCGCTCGGTATCAACCATGGGAGGAAAAAGGGGATCCGACTTACCTGAGTTTTCCCGATGGGGTGGATGGAATAAAAGGCAAATAACAAAAGGATTGGGGAAAAATTGACGGAGGGGTGGAAATATGAATCATAATTCCAGGATACCGGCGTGGACAATCTGATCGATGGTGTCACATCAAATCAAATATCCCCTCTTCTTTTTTGCTATCCTTTTCCTTTTTTATTTCTCGCTACGTTTGAAATGAGGAAAAAACAAAACAGTTTCGTTTATTTGTGTCCACCTTGGTATCCTACTTCTCGATATTGATTCGACACCGTCGCCCGACGCGAGCGGAGGAATTGTGACAAGCACTGCTGCATTATTCTCCGTACGACAGACACGGACACTATTGCGAGCACGGACAGTACGCCATGGTGTCTTTCATACGCCCACGTTTGACGCATATCCCCAACCCCAGTCCAGATATACACGGTCACGTAGTCAGACTCAACTGCTTTTATGCTGCGCGAGCCATGTAGTTCATTCTCGTAGTTGAACGTCTAATTTATCACATGTGAAATTACCCAATCAACCATCTAGATCCTTCTATGCAGACGAGAGTGTAAACTGAACCCCAAACTAAACCAAGTCTTGTTCGGTCATACTAAGGATCATCTCAAGGAAAGCAACAGCAGTGTCCCATCTCCAATTTCAACAAGTTGACTCCGAGTAAACTGATACCGAATATGCAGAACCTAAGCACTGAGAAACGAAACCTCTCCCTACCCGCAATAAATGGTATCTGTAACGATGAATGAAAATAAAATGCAAAGCAGGAGTAGTAGAAGTAGAAACACTCCTTCACAGATCCCTTCTGAGCAATGATTACTGATTATGATTATGATCCTGCAGTGGCCAATGTGCGAAGATTGTAAAACAGAAGGTAGGCATCTGCGTTGAGGACTTCGGCTTCCGAGGCGACGGTCACGCGGTCATCGTTGAAGAGTACCCACTAGTCATCCATAAAATTAGCTTATCCTAGTCAAGGAGAAGTAAGTGGTATTGACTAACTTGGTCACCCTGCCGGCAATAGGCATAGTAATGCCCTGCATCCAGCTTGCCTTTATGAACCACAGCTGTCGATAGATCGTAAACGTATTTGCTTCTGTCAACTCGCACGTCCGGATTCGTTGTGTATGGAAGCATGTTGAGTGATAGAGGGAAGTCAATTCGTCCTTCGACTTTCTCGGAGACGGCGAATGTATGCTCGTAGCGCTTTATTCAGGTTAACGAATGGTTAAAAGATGCAAAATGAGAGACGAAGGGGGAAGAAGGTACCTTCAGTTGCAAACACAGAATCGCCGGCAACTTCTTAATCCGCAGCTGTTTCGTTGCTTTCTGGGGAGTACCACACTGGTCGCAGTTATACGCATCGGCCATGAGATGTTCAGGTGATGTGAAACTGTCTAAACAGCCTTTGAGCGTAGCCGTAGATGAAGGGCCGATTCCACTGCCCATGGCGCGTTTTTTCGCTTGCACCTGTACGTCAAGACTGAGATCGACCATAGGGTCTTCCGTTTGGGTGACGTTGGCGCATTTGTCGCAAGTAACTGTGCTTCGCAGTTTTCCGTGGAAGGTTTTGTGGAAGAAGCACGGGCATTCATAATCATCCACATGGTCATCATCGCTTGAATGTAGCTTGTCAACAAGAAACTGGTAGAACTCATGTGCATCTTGTTGGCGATATCCAGCCAATGCCTAAAAGAGATGCCAGTCAGCATTTCCTATCTGAAGCCATTAGAAGAAATGTAACTGACATCGCTTCCTCGCCAAGTGGCAGCTAATAAGTTCAAAACCACGAATGATTCAGGTTTTTCGGTGGTATTGAATTCCGTAAATGCCTCAGCAACCGAGCACCCAACGCAGTCAGTAATCGTACACTCTTGGGTCTGGTGGCCGTTTCCTAGAAAGTGCGCATGGAGGATGGGATCATGTAGCAACGCTTGTAAGATGACATTCATAAAGCAAGACTGCCCGAGATTCCAAAGACCCCTAACGCCTTGTCTCGCACAGGGACGCTTGCTAGCGTTGCTCCTTACGAAGAGCTCGTCTGCTGAGTTTTCGATCTTGCGTTTGGAGACTACCTGAATGTCAGTAACCAAGAATAAAGGAATTTAGAACGAACCCCGAACCTTTGAGTGACACTTCTGGCGCAGGAGACCGGAGCCGTTCCAATTCATGGTCGTAGACAAAGTCATCACAACCCTGACAATACACGTTTCGCGCTCTTGAATCCATATCTGAAGAGATAATCCATTAGCACATGATTTACCTGCGCCAACAACAGACGCAGGGGTGCATACAAAACTGATGCCCGGTCTTCTCTGTGTGTGCGCGTCGTTCGTTACTCAAGCAAGACTCTGAGCACGACAAGCATATGTACCTGGGTCTAAGGAGAGCAGAAGACTGGAAACGAGACTTCGAGGGAAGTAAAGCTGCTGGAGAGTCTCCTAGTGGAGCTAATGCCCGGTTCGCCTTGATGAATGACTCTTTGAACTGTCCAGCAGCCTGTCCACCTTTCATGACGGTAGCAAGATGTCCTTTGCGTAGGTCAGCATGGGACAACAAGTGATCTTCAGGGAGTCGCATACCGCAGCCAAACGCCGCTTCCGAAAGAAGAGACACTGAGTTGATACTAGCCATTGTGAGGGTCGAATATCAGAGATGTCGAATGACAACGGAGTAGCAGTCGAGGTATGGTCCGTGGTTGAAGCGCAACTCGAAAGTTATACCGGCCAAGGTAAACAAAAGAGAATGTAGGGCAAGTATAGAAAGAAAGAATGTCAGCGGCTCAAGTAACCTCCGAAAATGGTCCAGAGCCTCTTTGGAACGAAAGAAGGCAATAGCGACGACGGCAGGGAATCAACCCATAGACCAGACCAAGCGCAGGAGCTGAATAACAATTTGTGCAATTCACAACCACATAGTTCCCCGAGTTATTCAAAATGCAACCATTTCAACAATAGATACTGCTGATCGTAGAGAGTGAATGGTGCAGTCGGAGCCATTCAATGGCGACTGGGGATGTTCGGCGTCGGAGACCGGGACGAGCACCGCGGAGAGGGTGACAAGGCTGGCGACGAATTATTCGCGTAGCAACGGAACGGATGAACAGCTCCAATAAACCAGACGATATTCCCTGACCCGAATCGTGATTTATAGTATAGTCTCTGGTGTTGTGAACAGCCAGTGGCCCTCAGCTTTTCACTCGTTGCGATGAGACAAGAAAAGAGCGATCCCGGGGTTCGGAGGTGATAAGGATTCGGGACGGGGTTTGATCCGCGACCCCGTAGGGATAGTCAGATGTTATTTAGAACAGTACTTACTGCTAAGTAAAAAAAGAAAATGATGGCAAGAGAACATATTATGTTCTAATTTAGATGCTAACAGCTAGTTCAAACGTATGCGACTCTTGTTGTGACCGCCACCAAAGGAGATTACAATCGCCATATCCCATTCCTGCCTCTCCATCACAAAATGCTATATCACATGGGACCGCACGTCTCAATCTTTTACCAGGAGGCTGTAGTCCTTCGCGTCAGACGAGGAGAGTGTCGTTCTTTGTCATCCCGTTCCAAGCTGCTAGTGACCGAGCAGATGTGGGACTGGTGCAATGGCTTCCAGATAGACCAGGCCATGTGATATGTCCTCAATGGGCGCTATTCTCTTGCTATGGTATCCCATTCGTACTCTTATTCTAATCGCTTTATGTTGTTGCAATAGCGGGTTGCATGCGTTCAACGCACTCCCCTTCCTCGAGGCAACGCACTGGGACGAGCTCGGCTCGTGCCTCGTGTTGTATAGCGACCACCAGTTGTCCCACGAGTAGTTCCACGAATAGTCTCACGAGTAGAAGAACCTCTTGCGCGAGGAGCGGAATATCTGGGTGTCGACTTCGAAGAGACCGTGGTAGGAGGGCTTTCGAGGAAGGAAGTGTCCGTGGTCCTATTATTAATTCCGTTATTAGCACCACGACCTCTAGCACGAAGCCTTCTACTCACATGAACGTAGTTTCGCCATCGTTCGCTGTCGGTCGGGCTTCTTCAACTTCAGCCTCTGTATGAGCGTTAGCAATTGTAGTCGTGGTACTCAGTATTAGTGCAAGTTGACTGTACCCCTCTCTTTTTCTGCCTCTGTTTGTTTCACTCTTCGGAAGGAATCAGGAATAGGAGCCTGCATAGGATTCACGAGTTAGCTTTCCCACTTCAATAGATACTGCAGAAATTCTAGGCCCAAGCAATCGTACCTCTGGATAGTCCACACAAAATGCATTCATATTCAACCCGTAGAGAAAACTGGCGAAGCTCTCGCTGAACCGCGTCAAGCTTTCGTGTAACAGCTGCAGGTGCATAAAGTTGGCCTCGAGATCCGCCATTGAGTCTGCTAATTCCGCAAACTGGGGTTCCAAGGCGTTTATAGCAGGCTGCGAGTATCCTGCATTGCTGATGCTACCGCCATAGCCATGGGCTTCGCGAAATGATGACCGAGAGCTTGGGCGCAGAGGGGTCGTAGGCCTGGAGGGAAGTCGTTGGCGCGAGGATGAACGAGACACAGACGGTTCCATCTTCTCTGTTCGATTATAATCGGTATAGTGTATGGTGTCTGCGAGAGAAAAACGGTTGTTGATGGTGTGTTTTGGTGGAAGATCCCCCGCCTTTATCCGCCGGCGCTCACCTGACCGAGATCTCCGGCTTCATCAATCCCCATATAGACAGCAACTTTGCTAGTGGTAACACGCCAGGTAAAGAAAGCGGATCTCTCGGTTTACATTTCCAGCCTTGTGATTGACGCTAATGAGAGAATTGACCATTCCTGTTTAGTCAATCACGGCTGTTTTCCTACTAGTATTGCCTCTCTATCCTCTCACGCGAACATTTTCCCTTGCGTTTCAGAGTAGCGGCAGATGCACAATTGCTTATTCCCACGCCGCCGCCTTATCCAATCCTCGGCCAATTCCATTCGCTCGTCGTCATCTGTGCCTCGAAGTGCTCAATTCCCCAGTCCCTCCAGTCCCTCTGGACCCCTGAAGCCTTCCCCAAGCCGGCGCACTCCGCCCACACGACCCTTCTCCACTTTTCCGTTACCCTTTGTCAGAGCACCGAAACGGGCTTCGCAATCCTTCTGGGCTTTCGCTTTCACTCTTCTTTTCATCGGCGGAGGATCCTGGATATACTTTGACGCCGAAAAGCAATCGCTACAACCGTCCAATTCCGAAGAATCGCCACCTGACCAGCCGCAAGAACCCTTCCTTGGAATCGTTGATCTCCTACAGACAATGCCTGTCGACCAGCCTCCGGGAACCGTGGGTAACCTCACTCACGAACAAGAAGCCAAGTTGCAGGAATTCTGGAAGTTAGCTCTCAAGACGTTTGGTGTCAAGTCCGAAGAAACAAAACAGTCGAGTGTTTCTTCCTTCAACGTTGCCGACGATGACGATAAGCATGGACAATCGAGGGAGTTCCAGCAAGCGCTTGCCGACATGTCGCCAGAGGAGATTCGGGTAACCTACTGGAATATGGTAAAGCATGACAACCCCGATTCTCTCTTCCTGCGGTTCCTGCGGGCACGGAAGTGGAACGTCAAGAAGGCCTTTATCATGTTCATCTCGACAATACGCTGGAGGAGCAAGGAGATCAAGGTCGACGATGATATCATGAGAAACGGCGAGGCTCTTGCTCAGAAACAGTCGCAGAGCGCCGACCCTGCGGAAAAGAAGAAGGGTCAGGATTTCCTAGACCAGATGCGTCTGGGTAAGAGTTACTTGCACGGTGTTGATAAGAATGGCCGGCCGATCTGCGTTGTTAGGGTGCGGATGCATAAGGCAGGTGAGCAGAGCGAGGAGTCCTTGGAGCGTTTCACTGTCTACGTGATTGAAACGACCCGGATGATGTTGCCTCCGCCGGTTGAGACAGCGGTAAGTAATTGGCATCTCTAACGATGGCGAAACGGAAATCTAACAAGAACTAGACCATTGTCTTCGACATGAGCAACTTTTCTTTGGCAAATATGGTAAGTCGGGTGCTTGTCAGAAGGCTTGCTCAATCACTAACGATCGATCGATCTCAGGACTATGCCCCCGTCAAGTTCATGATCAAATGCTTCGAAGCAAACTACCCCGAGTCCCTTGGCGCAGTTCTTGTCCACAAAGCTCCGTGGCTCTTCTCAGGAGTCTGGAGCATCATCAAGGGCTGGCTCGACCCCGTCGTGGCCGGCAAAGTCCACTTTACTAAGAACGCCAGCGATCTCGAGAAATTCATCCCCCGAGACCGCATCGTAAAGGAACTCGAAGGCAGCGAAAACTGGGAATACAAATACGTCGAGCCCCAACCCGACGAGAACAAGGCGATGGAAGACACGGCCAAACGCGATGTCCTGGTCGCTGAGAGACAGGAGATTGCCAAGGAAATCCAGGATGCCACTGTCTCTTGGCTTTCCGCTAGCGCCAGCAAGGACAAGGAGGCTATCAGCTTGGCTGAAGAGCGGAGAAATGGTCTCATCAACCGGTTGAGAGAACACTACTGGGTGCTTGATCCCTACATCCGGTCTCGGTCATTGTATGACCGAACCAATGTGATCAAGGGTGATGGAAAGGTTGAGTTCTACCCTGGCGCTTAAGAGGGTATTGACATGTATGGTATGATGAAGTAGATCGTCTAAATGTGTCGCATGATGATTTAAGCATTCTAGATCTAGATAGTTGCATTTTGTTGGTAAATTTACGCTATATGTTCAGTTCTATTGCAAATCCTCTGGTAACGCATAAATTGAATCTCATTATTTTGGGTATTCTTTTCAGAAGCTGTACCGCAATGTCTTTACATTTTAGCCTTGAGCTCCTCGTGGAGAGCCTTGAGCTTGTCCATGTCCGCGGGCTTGGAAGGCCAGCCAACACCGAGACCCTCTGTCTCATTGGGCTTGGGGATCTGTCATAGTGGTTAGTATAATGATGCGGCCAAGGGTGGAGAATAATCGGCATGGGAAAACATAGTATAAGGAACATACCATGTGGAAGTGGACCTATACAAAGAGACGTAGATTAGCATATGCCACATTGACCGACCTCCTTAAGACGGGAGGGGGCCTTACATGGTCAACAACCTGGTGCGCAATGCGACCATTGTTTTGCAAAATATTAAAGTCCTCAGCACCGCTAGCCTGAGCGACCTTCTTCGCGACGGGCTATTAAAAAAAAACACCGCCGTTAGCATTCATTACCACCAACTAACCATACTTGCATGACCGTGTGAGGGGAATCCGGTCCAGCTGCATCATATCACCCAAGGTCCCCGGGGATTGACGCCAGCCGGAAAGTTATATAAAGCCAAATATTTCCCGGTTCCGTCACTGCTCGTTTTTGACGTCTCAACATACCAGGATCTCGAGGAGGTCCTCGTCGGGGATATCGGTGAGCTTCTTGCCGTGGAACTTGGGGATCACGAGCTGTTGGGATAATTCGGATTGTTAGTGATGTTTCTTTCTAAATCAAGCATAAATTTGGAGACACTGGACAGACGGAAAGCAAGGAAGTGTATATCGGAACTTCCTCGCTGCTCGATGACTATACACCATTGCGTTTGAACACCGGTGCGGGGGAAGAACTCACCGCGTGGCCACGGCTCAGAGGACCGATGTCAAGGAAAGCAAAGACCTTCTCGCTGTCGTAGAGCTTGAAGGAAGGGATGTCACCTGTAATTGATACGAGCTTAGCGGATTTTATCCATTGAAAGCTGTCCGGGATAACTGTCTTCAAGGCGTCGAGCTCAAGTAGCAAGAGCTCGACAAGGTAGGCAAGGAACTATATACCCTTGATGATCTTGCAGAAGATACACGCAGCGGAAGACATTATGTGTTGTTAGATGCACTAGAGTAATGCAGTAAAAAAAAGAAGAAAAAGCAAAAAAAGAAAACAGTTATTATGTATAAACAGCAGAACAAGCAGATATGAGGTTATCCGGAATGATGCGGGGTCGCTGGCGGCTGGAAGGAAAAATAAAAACGACGAAGATAAGGAGGTTCGAACGCGCGATGTCCTAGTTTATGGGTATATAGGTCACTGCAAACTGTGCTTTGTGAGGAGTGGGACAAGCTAGCTCAGAACCCATTTCTTGCCTTTTACCAGAGATGGCCGTGGCTTGCCCAGAATACTCCTCTCCTAAATCTTTGGAATCCTTCCATCGACATAGTTGTCGATTTTTACTGTTCTGTTTTTGCTTCACAAACATCCACATCTTTTATTTTATTATTCTCTCTTTTTTCCCGCATCTTATCAACTGGGATTCATCTTTTTACAAGTCACCGGTGCGTATACTATCTGCTGACGTCCGTGCCCCGAACACACGACGTCCCTACCAAAGACATGCATCTGAGCCATGGCTATGATGGTTCGACACTTTCTCCTCGGTTATCTCACACTATTTTGCGGAGTTTACGACCAATTCCATGGCAAATACTGAAACCCTCCGCATTCCGTTTTCCAATCGACGGCTATGGTCTAATGAAAACCTCCGAATTGACAGTCGATTATACTTCCTGCTTTGAAATGAACCTCCAATCTCTCGACATCGGCTAAAGGAGCATGCATGGACACTGACCCCGCTTGAACGCTTATCTCAAGTCTCACTAGAGCTTCCTGTTTCGGCAATCGTCTCCAAAAAAAAAAAAAAAAAAAAAAACCCAGGTCTACCCCAACAGCCAGGGCCTTTATAAGACGTCGTTATCGGGACAGGGCGCTTTGAATCAAACATGATGTCTGTCTTTCGTACAGCTAGCATATTAGAAAAAGTGCCATTTAGGACATTATCCCGAACTACAGAAAGTGCTACGCAGCAATATCGGACGTTTTCAATCTCCAGGAAGCTAGCCATGTTGTCGACAGAATTGTCCGAGGCGGAGGTGTCGGCCTTGATGGCTAACAAGGAGCGATTGGCAAAGGACCTTCATCATAGTTGTCGATGGGGATATGGCGTTCGATGGGGGGAGTGAGTATCCAGCATTTCAGTCGTACTATGTACTGTTAGAGTTGATTCCGCCAAATGACTGGACTAATACATGATACTAGTGGATCAACAGACACGGGCATGCAACGCCTCTCCTTGTCCCATGAGGACAAACAGGTGCGGGATTGGTTCATCGAGACGACAAGAGTGCTGAAATGCAACGTCACCGTGGACGAGATGGGAAATATCTTCGCTGTCCGACCTGGTCGAAGGAAGGACGTCCCTCCCACATTCATCGGTAGTCACTTAGATACGCAGCCAACAGGCGGTCGATACGACGGCATCCTGGGTGTCTTGTCCGGTATCGAGACTCTGAAGGTCATTGATGAGATGGGCTTAGAGACAGAAGGGGGCATAGGTGTTGTTAACTGGACAAAGTAAGCCCTACTTACCATTGAGGACGACCACCGTTACTAACGCCCTACAGCGAAGAGGGCGCCCGTTTCCCAATCAGCATGATCTCTTCTGGAGTCTGGGCAGAATGCATCCCACTCTCGAGAGCCCATAACCTCAAGGAAGTGCCCACAGTCGCTTCCCTCCCAACAGCCTCCTCTGCCCCCGAGACTATGAAATCAGCCCTCGAGAAGATCAAATACCTCGGCACCGTGCCTTGCTCCTACAAAGAAACACCAATGGCCGCGCACTTCGAACTACATATCGAGCAGGGCCCACATCTTATCTCCGCTGGGCAACGAGTTGGCGTCGTAACTGCAGTGCAGGCATACCGCTGGTTTCGCCTTAACATTTTTGGAAGAGACACCCACACGGGAACGACGTCGTTCGAACACCGCGCAGATGCCCTATACGCCTTCGCGCGTATGATGGTATGCGCTCGCGAAGTCGCAGCAGCAAAAGGCTGTCTTTCCAGTGTTGGTATCGTAGAAGCAAAGCCCGGCAGTGTGAACACAGTCCCTGGGCTGGTCAGCTTCACGCTCGATATTCGCGGACCCGAGACTGAAATGGTGGCATCAGTCGAAGCCGAGTTGAGGAAGGAATTCGATGTCATTGCCGCAGAGGAAGGCAAAGGCATTGGCAAGCCGTGCCGCGTCGAATGGACCCTGGACTTCGATTCACCGGCAGTCAAGTTCCATGAGAGCTGTATCAACTGTGTGCGGCAATCTGCTGAAGCGGTCGTTGCTGGTGCTGGTGTGTCGGAGCCGAAGTCACTGGTGCGCACAATCATGAGTGGTGCTGGTCACGATAGTGTGTTTACTTCGAAGAGAGTCCCGACGAGTATGATCTTTGTGCCATGTAGGGATGGACTCAGTCATCATCCGGAAGAGTATTGTTCTGCTGATGATTGTGCGACGGGTACATCTGTGATTCTGCAAGCAGTCATTCGGTACGATCGTAAGAGATTCGTATCGGCATGATGTATGGAATAGAAGTTCGCTAGGTGATCAGGGGTGTTAATCTCTATACAACTGTTTACAGATTGAGCGAGATGTTGTCATTACAGCGATATGTTAGGCGACAGCGACAACGCTTTTTTTTTTTTTTTTTGAAATGTTCCCTTTTTTTTAATTAAGAAAATAGTAGATGTACAACAATGCAGTTCGTTTCGAACCTCTCTCAAAGCCTACTTAAACCGCATCTGCACCATCCACCATTAATCCCATGAAGGAGACCGAGTAGCGGACAACACCTTCTTAAGAAGCGGGAGCACCACGGCCACGGCCGAAACCACCACGGAAGCTGGGGTTGAACTCGCCGGGGGCACCACCCTCCTTGCCACCTTCCTCGCGGCGGCGGTAGCCACCCTCACGGGGAACGCGGGGACGGCGCTCGCGCTCCTCACCACCGAGCATGCCGCGGGGGGGAGCGTGAGAGCGCTGCTGCTTGATGTGAGTGGCAGGGACGACCTCAGCGGGGAGGTGCAGCCATTCACGGAGGTAGTCAAGACCCTGGCAATAGTCAGAATTGTGTTCTCGTTCTTATGCGACAAGGGTGAAACAAACCTCGGGGGTGAGGGTGTAGTAGTAGTACTGCCACGAGAACTGGGTCTTGACGTAGCCGCGGGAGTTGAGCGACTGGCAGGCCTTGATCACGTAGAGGTTCTTGGTGTCAATGTCGCCGTGCTTGGGAAGGTTGAAGTCCTTCTTGGCCACGAGCACACCCTCTATTCATTCCAAGTCAGCGATTATCCTTTATGTATAATCGGCTCGTGTTGTTCCAGGCGTATAACAATTTATAAGCCAAGCCAACGTCGAGCGATTGGGGATTCATTGTCGGTCGTTCACATACCACGGAAGAGGTACTCGTGGATCTTCTTGCGGTCGTCCTTGGGGATAAGCCTGGAGCATTGTCAATATATTTATAATTCTTTCGCTTCAAACAAGCATTGGGATAATAATAGAGACACTTACATTGTCGCGAGTTCCTGGCGCTATTCGGGGAATCGCTCAGACAACGTCAGGAAAAGTGGTTTGTTTAAATGATAGGAATGATCAGAGTGGAGCGGGAACCTCTCGAGAAAAGTGCGACGTTTCCCGTTTCGGAGCGCTTGCTAGGGTTGGCGCCCTATCACATGACATTCATATCATCGCCTGAATCCTCAGGCAATAAACAAGCTGACTCAGCCGAGCCTTATCGAAGTCTCCGCATCCTGACTTCAACATCGCCTCTGGATCCAGACAACACGCCGTCGCGCGGCAATCCTAGGAATCCGCTGCTATTCAATTTCGAAATCCAGAACCCGAACACATATCACGAAACCGAGTACAACTATTCCAATATGGCTGAACAAGTCAACATTCTCCTCTCATCCTTTCCAGGACTTTCGCTTCCCTCAACCGTCTCCTTCTCCCTCCCATCCATCTCGACCCTCTCAGACCTCACCGAGAAGGTCGTCTCTCTTCTTCCATCGTCCGTGCCATTTCAATCGCTCATTTTAACCACAACCAACAACAAGCAAGTCGTCCGATCCTCAGACCATATCCAATCCCTTCTCTTTGCCCACAATGGTGAATCCTCAATTACTTCCAATCTCCTTCCCCTCCGCCTCACCGTGCGGTTATGCGGAGGAAAGGGTGGTTTCGGATCCCAGCTTCGTGCCGCCGGTGGACGCATGTCGAGTAAGCGCAAGCGCACCCAAGGCGACGACAATGCTTCCAGCCGCAACCTCGACGGCCGGCGTATTCGCACTGTTAACGAAGCCAAGGCCCTAGCCGAATACCTGGCTGTTAAGCCCGAAATGGACCAGAAGGAGAAGGAAGAGCGTCGGCGCCGGTGGCAGTCTGTCGTGGAGGTTGCGGAGAAGCGTCAGGAGGAGTTGAAGAACGGGGGCGGAAAGCATAAGGTTGATGGTCAGTGGATGGATGATAAGGAGGAGATGAATGAGAAGGCGCGCGAGGCTGTGATGTTGGCTATGAAGGAGGGTGCTTGGACTGATAATCTTCGCGATACGATTATGGGTGGATCTAGTACGAGTGCCAGTGAGGACAGTGAGAATGCGGCATCGTCCGGTTCTGAAGGAGAAAGCGAGGAGGATAAGGCTGAGAGCTCATCTGGGTCAAACAAGACCTCCGCGGCCCCCAGGAAGTTCATCGGTTTCGACGACGATGATGAATTCATGAGTGATTCTGAGGAAGAGGAAGATCCTGAGGGCAAAGGCAAAGGCAAAGGCAAGGCATAACTACCTAGCGACACGGAGTATTTGATTTTCTTATTCAACGGCGTTGTTTAGCATTCCTTAGAGGGTAGCTCCCATGTACATAGTCATAATTTTTGAACACCATTTCTCTTGATACTTGGTTCAATTGCGTCAACGTAAATTTGTTAATCTCATCAATATGAGTACATTTCTACGCAGAGCTCCTGCAAATATTCCGTAGAATGGCCATGCTCGCCACTGGATTTCGGTGGATCAAGCTGCCGCCGCAGCGATAAAAAAAGGCATTGCTTCCCCCATCTCCGCAACACCTACCAAACATTATGGCGCCATGTCTTAGAGGGATTGCTTCGAGGGCAGTCAAACTGCATCATATTACTCCAACACCTTTATACCGAACCCGACATATCCCCAAAGTGTTACCGTCGCAGTCACTTTTCTCGCCGAAATCATTCTACGGTCACAGCACAATCAGCCGGTGCAACTTTTCTTCGAGTATCCAGCCATGCGCAAATCTAGATACAGTGATGAATACCATTCCCATCTGCTGCCCCGGATGCGGTGCCTATGCGCAAACAATCGATCCCGGTGAACTGGGCTTCTACGGCGAGGGCAGGCGGCGGAAGTTTGCTAAGGGTCAGTCAGCACCCAAGGAGGAAGACAAAGATGCAGGGAATACCGAGGAATTGAAGACCGAGGGGGAGGCCGCGGCAGAAAGAATCGAGAAGGTGCTCCGGGATGCAGAAGAGAAAGGATACACGAGGCCTGCGCCTAAACGTATGTGGAAATGCTATGCTACTGCGCACTGTCTTTCAATTTTGCTAACGAAATGCCGTTTTAGATGGAGCCATGCTTGAAAAAGCAGCTAGTACCGCCAGTCGATACCTCGAAGCGGCCACCTCTCACGCACCAGTTTGCGACAGATGCCACGACTTAACACACCACAATAAAGCAGTATCCGCGCCCTCGCCTACGATCGACTCCGTTCGAGCATTCCTCGACAAATCGCCGTATAAGCATAACCGTGTCTACCATATCCTTGACGCAGCGGATTTCCCCATGTCCGTCATTCCGAACATCTACGAGGCTCTCTCGCTCCAGGAGCAGCTCTCGCGAAACCGAAGAGCGACAGACGGCAAGTACCGAGGAAGCAGGAAGTTACCTACGATATCGTTCATTATAACACGTTCCGATCTCTTGGCCGCAACGAAAGATCAGGTAGATACGAAGATGGAGTACATGCGCTCTGTGTTGCGTCAGACATTGGGGAAAGACGCGGAAGATGTGCGGTTGGGGAATGTGCATATGATTAGCGCTCATCGGGGTTGGTGGACTCAGAAGGTCAAGGAGGAGATTAAGGACCACGGTCAGGGGATTTGGGTGGTTGGCAAGGCCAACGTTGGGAAGAGCAGTTTCATCGAAGCTTGTTTCCCCAAGGACTCGAGGAACCTGGAAAAGATTACAGAGCTGGTTGAACGCCGTCGTCAGGAAGAATTAGACGTTGCGAATCAGAGCCAAGCTCAAACTCCCATGCTTGATCCTGACAGCCTTCTACCACCTGCTCCTCGGGAGGACCTTTATCCTGTTCTTCCAGTGGTGTCATCTCTACCGGGAACCACGGTATCGCCCATCCGTATCCCGTTTGGCCGCGGAAAGGGCGAGATGATTGATCTGCCTGGACTCGACCGTGGTCAGCTAGAAGACTACGTACGCGACGAGCACAAGCGCGACCTGATCATGTCCAAGCGGCCGAAACCGGATCGTCTTTCTATCAAAGGAGGCCAGTCGCTCCTTCTTGGTGGCGGACTCATCAGAATTACACCGGTAAATCCAGAAGACGTGTTAATGGCAGCCTGCTTCGTCCCTCTAGAAACCCACATCACAAAGACCGAAAAGGCAATCGAAATGCAAGCCGAAACACGGCCATACCGCGGCGAACCCATCGCCAAGGAAGGTTTCAGTCAAGTAATCAAATCCGCCGGAACCTTCGACCTAAAACACGACGTGACAAGATCTCACCTACCAACTTCGATCGCCAAAGCTGTGGAAGACAACAAAGCCACATCGCCTCCCTTACCGTACAAAGTGATGTCGACCGATCTTTTGATCGAAGGCTGTGGATGGGTCGAGCTCACGGTGCAGGTCCGGGCTAAGACGATGTCGGCCGATGCGGAGTCACCAAGGTCCTTGCCCCAGGTCGAGGTTTTCAGTCCGAACGGTCAACACATTGGATCGCGGATGCCGATTGAGTGTTGGAAATTCATTGCTCAGAAGAAGGCATCTGATAAGCGTAAGCGAGGGCCTCGTGGTCGGCAGAATATCGGTCTGCAGAGGCGGGCTCGGTAGTATAGTTGGCATAGGATATGAGTTGGATGTCATGTCGTTATGTCGTTATACGTGTCTTTTTCTGCTGTTCAATAGCTGTAGCATAGCGATTGGTGTTTTATGTGGGATATGCGATTGTGTACAATACTCTACTCTTTCTCCTTGCATGCATTTATACTCAAATGATCAACGGGATTTTCTAGGCATTTCGCTAATTATTACTATTGACATTTGAGCACATTTCTCTGTGGAGACCTCTATATTAACCTCATCCCTCATCAATTCATTCTCAATTTATACACTTACCTCTCTTTCTTGCAATTAAACACCCAATTCTCGCTTGGTTGAATATGTTGTCCTCTCGCGGTGCATCAAGAGCAGAAATGCTCGATATCCCATGGCGCTATGCGGCTCCCCACACATACGACAAGGAAACAAACCCCACGGGGACTATTTCCTTTGGAATGGCAGAGCATGTATGTTTCTAATTTTCCTGTGAAATGGAAAAAGTACTAACGCAAACAGGGCCCAATGCGCACCGAAATCGCCAACTATATTAACCAAAAGGTCCGCTTCGCACACATCCACATATACATGCATCTCCCCCCCAAAAAACAGAAACCCTGACATGCTTGATCTCAGGTAACCTTTACCCCAGACTCAGTAGGCTACCGCCCCTCACCCCCCTCCTCAACCCGCCTCCCAGCAGCCCTCTCAACCCACCTCCATGAAATCCTCCACCCTCACCCTTCCAACACCACCTCCCTCACTCCAGAAACCATCTTCGTGGCTAGCTCCGCAACGGCCCTAGGCCACATGCTGGGCTTTTCAATTGCTGAGCCCGGAGATGGGATTTTGGTTAGTCGGCCGGTGTACGGCCGGTTTGAGCTGGATTATGGTGTTGAGGCGGGTGTGGAGATGGTGTATGCGGATAACGATGTTGAGGAGGGATTTGAGCCTGGGGTTGTTGGGGCGTTTGAAAGTGCGCTGAGGGCGGCTGGGGAGAGGGGGGTTAGAATTAGGGGGGTTTTGATTGTGAATCCGCATAATCCTGTTGGTATGTATATCCTCTACTTGCGTGATTTGTGCAGACTGGTTGACGAGGTTTAGGACGGTGTTACCCAGCCGAGACTTTGACAGAAATAGTCAAGTTCTGCAGTCGACACCAGCTGCACCTTATCAGTGATGAGGTCTATGCTTCTTGTATTTTTGACTCGGGGAATCCGGATGCTGTTCCGTTTACTTCGGTTCTGTCGTTGGATCTCCCAGCGTTTATTGACCCTAACCTTGTACACTTGTTGTACGGATTTAGCAAGGTAGTTTTACTCGCCTTCCACCATTCTATGTTCAAACTAATTATAATAGGACTTTGCATCTGGTGGCCTCCGTCTCGGATTCCTGATTTCCCAGAACGGGGAGCTTCGTCGTGCTTGTCAGGCTATTCTGTATGCCTTCCTCCAGTACAACTTAATCTGAAAGTCCATACTAATAGTACACAGACGCCTACACAGCACCTCCACCGCCGCCGTAACAATCGGCGCAACGATCCTCGAAGACAGACAATTCGTCTCCGATTTCTTCGCCAAATCCAGCCAGCATCTCACCTCGACATACAAGATCACCACTTCGACCCTGGAAAAGGAGGGTATCAATTATGTCAAGGGAGGGTAAGCATCTCTTCTTCCCTTGATTATGGACAGCTGTTCACATATCATAACAGAAACGCAGGTTTCTTCATCTACATAGACCTCTCCCCGTACCTTGCCCTCCTCCCTGACATCATTAACGGTATCAACGGCATTTCAAAAGCAGAATCGACCTACGAATACGCCCTAGCGCAGAAATTCCTCGACGCAGGCATATTCCTGCATCCCGGGGAAGAACACGGTAAGAAGCCAGGATGGTTCCGGTTGGTGTTCTCTCACGAGGAGGAAGTTCTGGAGGAGGGGCTGAGGAGGTGAGTTATCTTTATTGAGGCTATATTGGGACGAGTGCTAATTGGTATAGGTTCGTTGGTGTTTTGAGGTCTTTGCGTCAGGAGGAGTAGGCTTGGCTGTACTAGTAATGTATATAGGTGTTAGTAATGCGTCATTATTTCGAGTAGTTAACCGACTCCCCGCCCAAGTCTCGGGGATCTCGGTTACTTATTACTTGAAGTTGTGTTCCCTCGTCACTATCCCCGCTCTCACCACTCTTCAAACTACATCATGTCCCTGAACAGCGAGTTCTGCTTACTTGTTCTGACAGTGAACCGCGCAGCTGACTACTGGTGTTCTACAGTCTATGGTAACTTTTGCCCTACTCTCCGAGCTTCTAGGTCAAGCCAACTCTTTCGGGAGGTTCTCCTCAGCGGAACGAATTACGGAGAACCGCCACCTGAATGTTAGGACGTGCAATAGTGAGAATTTTATCTATCACCGTTTGCCTCTATGTCGCGCTTTTCCCGTAAAACCACTCATTCATAACACATGCAAAGAAAACATAAAACATAAAACATCGCTAACACACGCAGGTGTACCTTTTCCGCCAATCCAACAAAGCAGCCCCTAGCCATGGCAATTAGTCAATGTACTTGGGAAGCGTCTTCAAGATGCCGTCTCGGGCAATATCCTCCATAGCCGTGGTGATCTCCTGCAGGAAGCGCTTGTCACCGCGCAGGTCGTCACCGAACAGGTTCTTGATGCTGAGCAGCTCAGCCGGGCTGGTGCCTCCTGCACGAGCCTTGGCCTGGAGCTCCTCGCGCATCGGGTCGTCGACCGCGAACGTGTTGCCGTTGTCATCGACACCGTTGAGGTAACGGAACCAAGCGGCCGCGACGAAGGACAGACGACGCAACGGGCCGTTAACCCACATCGCCTCGGCAATCGACGGCATGATGAACTGTGGGATCTTGCCGGAAGCATTGAGGCAGATGCGGGGCAGCTGGTCCATGATTGTGGGGTTGGTGAAGCGCTCGATGAGCGTGTTGCAGTACTCATCGATGTTGACGCCGGGGATCTCGGGCAAGAGTGGCTTCACCTCGTCCTGCATCATTTGCCACACGAATTTGTGGAAGAGCGGGTTCTCCATAACTTCGTGGACATATTTGAAGCCTGCCAGCTGACCTGGGTAGCCGATGGCCGAGTGGCTGCCGTTGAGCAGGCGCAGCTTGTGCTTCTCGAACTCCTCGACGGCGTGGACATCCTTGACAACCTGAACCCCGACCTTCTCGAATGGTGGGCGGCCGTCAGAGAATTGGTCCTCGATAACCCACTGCATGAAAGGTTCCGTGACGACTGGCCATGCGTCCTCAATGCCAAAGCTGTCTGCGAGTGCCGTCTTGTCGGCGGCCCCTGTCTGAGGTGTGATACGGTCAACCATGGCGTTGGGGAAGGCGCCTTGCTCGGCAATCCACTTGGCAATCTCGGGGTTGCGCAGACGCGCAAACGACTCGAGCATGTGCCGCGTGATGGAGCCGTTCTTCTGCATGTTATCGCACGACATGACAGTGAAAGGCTTGAGACCCTGCTGGTGGCGCCGTGCCAGAGCGGCGTAGAGGAAGCCGAAAGTGGTACGCGGAGCCTTCTCGTTGGCCGGGTCGAGGTCGAATTGAATGTCAGGGTGCTCACTCTGCAGCTCGTGCGAGTTCTCGTTGTAATAGTAACCGCTCTCGGTGATAGTGAGCGACACAATGTGGGTGTCTGGGTGGGCCATCTTGGTGATGACGGCCTCGCGGTCATCAGGTGCAAAGAGGAAAGAGTTGATGCTGCCAATAACGTGGGCAAGGCTTCCCTTGGCCGAACGCTCGATGACGGTGTAGAAGTGGTCCTGCGAACCCAAGGCATCGCGCATGGCGACATCGAAGGGCTGCAAGCCAACACCGGCAATCGCATAGTCAGTCACACCATGATTCTGCATCAATTGGTCGACATAGACAGCCAGGTGAGCTCTGTGGAAGCCGCCGACGCCGACGTGGACGATTCCCTCCTTGACAGCGCCACCGCGTTGGTAGGTTGGGACCTTGATTTGGGCCTCACTTGCCGCCGAGATTTGCGACAAGTTCTTGCTGTTGAGCTTGAAGGGTGCCATTATTATTATTATCGTGAGTAGAATGGATTGAAAGATGAAAGAAGGGATTGCTGTGATTGAATCGACGAGTGCAGCTTTTCTAGGTCACCGCCGGTTTCGACTGCTTACATCAGGTGGCGGGGTGAAAAACTGGAGCCCCGGTATAAAGACCCCCGGTTTTGGTGTCCTCCCCCCCCCACACAAATCTCGTTAGTATGATGAGAGAACCCTTGTGGAGTTTGCCTTTTCTGGCCGTCGGTGAGTGGCGGGTAAAAGAAAAAAAATACAAATAATAATATACTCGGTAGTTAAGTACTGGTATGTAGGAGGACATGAGCTATGAAAACAAGAACTTATTCAACACAAGGAAATATAGCAAGGGGGGTTAATCTTTAAACAGAGGAAAAAGTACAAGCAAAAGACCGAATAGAGTATACTAGATAGATTCTCTTTCTTCATATGCAGAGAAGCAAACCAAGTCAAAAACAATAGCAGAAAACAACTTTGGTATCCGGAATCCGACATTGCAAAACCCCCAACCAAAGTAACAACCAGCAAAATGAATTGAAAACACCAGAAATCGCAGCATCACAGATCAATCAAACTCCCACCCTGCTGTTGCTGTTGCGGAGGCTGTCCGCCCCACGGATTGTTAACAAAGCCTGTCTGCTGTGGCACGAACTGCTGCTGTTGCTGCTGTTGGCCAAAGAATGGGTTGTTTCCTGTCTGCGCGGCTTGCAATCGTGACATACCCTGACCCGCAGAGTTGATGAATGTACCTGGCGCGGTGTGCTGTGCGGGAATACGGAGGTCGCCGACGTTTCCGAAGGTGTCCTGACCTTCGCCCGAAGAAAGAAGGGCATTCAGACGAGCGTGGTGAGGGTTGTTCATCTGTGGAGGAGTGCTCTTGGGGGGTTGAGGAGCGGCCATAGGCGAGGGCTGGAAGTTGGTGATGGGGTTGGTGGCGCTGGCGGTGAATTGCGTGGTGGCGCGATCTTCTGAGAGAGTGTTGAGGCTTGGGGGCCCTTGTGTCAATGGCGAAGTGGGTCGGTACTGTGTACGAGCCGCGAAGGGGTTGTTGGAGCCGGTTGGCATGGGTTTTAGGGTATCAGCGGGTTGCGAGGTGGCCCAGGGGTTGTTGCTACCGGCCGAGGGGTAGCTCTCCTGCTGCTGTTGCTGTTGCTGCTGGAGCATCATTTGCTGCTGCTGCTGCTGCTGCTGTTGCGCCTGCTGTGAGTACACATCCATTCCATAGGGGTTGTTGGTGCTGAATGCGGTATGTTGCGGCTGAAGCGTCGCCTGCGGCTGCAAGAAGTTGCTTTGTTGACCGTAGGGGTTCTGGTCGAAAACACCGGGCCCGTATCCATTCATGCCGGTAGGTTGACTCTGGAAGCCGGTTGGTTGTGCATATTGGTTGTTCAGATAGCCAGTCGACAGCGGCTGTTGCTGATTGATCGGGTTACCGAACCAGTCCACTGCGTTCTGCTGCTGGTAGCCCTGGTTGTATCCGGTCGCCTGAGCGGGAGTAGCCTGCACAGGGGCATCATCGAAAAGCGACTGCGCATTGCTCTCTTCCAATTCGCGCTTGCGAAGTTCCTCCTCTTCCTTGCTGAGTCGGATCGCCCGGGCCAAGTCCTCGTCATCCTCTGCCGCTTCTATGGCCTTCGCGCGCCGTCTCCGTTCCTCCTCGGCCTCTGCCTTGCTTGCCTCGATAGCCAGACGATACTCGGTATCATCCTCATCATCGTTCTGTCGCCGACGCGGCCGTTCTGCCCGGCGCGGAGGTTCGTAGCCCATTTGTTGATAGTCGTCGAGTCCGCTGACGCGCGATTTCCAGAGTTTACGGTCGGAGCGTTCACTGCGCAGTCTGTCTTCGTCCATGACAAGAGAAGTAAGTTCCTTTGCGGCGACGCGAACTGCATAAGTTAGCATTACAAGAAATAAAGTCGCAGAATGAGACTCACCATTCTGTCCAACGTCCCTCCCCTCCTCATCAACATATTGAAACTCGCGCAGAGTCTTGATGATATACACATTCTTCCTCGCCCACGTAACAGACAACTCGGAACCCTCGTGCAGACAGTAATCGAGAACCTTTAGCGATTTCAGGACGTGGCGCCAATTCTTGCCCTTGTCGTTCAACCGCTTATCCAACATATCCATGATTTCGTAGAAATCTGTAGGACTGAACGACTGTCAGCTTGAAGCCTTGAATCGCATCAAGTACGGGAAAACCTACCTGCCAAACGTCATGGCGGCGATTTCAGCCATGTCGGTGCCCGTCGGGCCCCAGGGGTCATTACTTGTGGCTGCATTGGTCAGTACTTTCTAAGAACGTCCTTCTTTCTGGCATAAACGTACCATTTCGAACCTTGACCTGCACGCCCGAATAACCCTTGGTAACGTTCTTGACGCTTCGCACGACTTTAGACATAGTGGTGGTGAGATGCTGTACCAGGCAGCGAGAATACGACTCAGATGAAACCGATCCGTAACCTCCTCAAATTATAGGATTAATATGGCGCGAATTCGATATGATAGGAGTAAGAGTGAGAGTAGAGCCAGAACTGTTGTCCGGAGTGAAGAGGAGAGTGAAGGGTAGATGGTAGTAGAGGCAAAGAAGCGCCGGCGAACGGTCGTTATCGCGCGGCGTTGGGCGAGTGGCTGGTGCCGCGTTCGGAGAGGAACTGGAATGAGTGGCGGAGGACAAGGGATTCGGAATCCGGAGTCAGGGATGTACAGAATAGGATATTAAAGTGAATTATTGTACAGAATAGTATAGTGGTATCTGTACCCCGTAGTGTAGAGGTAGAGGTGGTAGTAGTGGTAGTAGTGAGAACGGAAAAGGGATGGATAAAGAAATGGAGGCTCAGCGGAAAATGACTATGACGACGCAGTGCAGAGCAGTATTTTCAATAGTAGTAGTACTCTTCTCAGTACTTTCCCGTGAAACTAGCGGTCTTGGTTATAAATATCGCAATTGCACTGCGAGATATAGCTATGTACTGTACTCTTCTAAGTAAAAAAGATGCCATACCGTTGAATCGTGGCGAAGGCCGCGTAACCTAGAATAAACTGACTGTCAGAAAGGAAAGGGTCCTCTTCTACGTCACCGCTTTGACACTGCACCGCCACAGTTGTACAGTAACATACTGTAGTATTCTGTATTTATTCATATCCATCATTTCACATATCCAGACGTAGCAGGAGTAACTAGAAAACATACCCAACATGCAAAAGATACCAAAACAAGAGAGATAGGACTATGCCTCCCGCTCCAAGCTCAAATACTTCGCCTCCGCCCCCTTGATGCACTGGATATTAGCTCCCAGCTTGTTCAACGTCTCCACGTACTCGTCGTACGGGTCAGAGTCGAACACAATACCACCTCCTGCCTGGAGATACGCGATGCCGTCCTTCAGCATCATCGTCCGCAGCGCAATGCACGTGTCCATCGCACCAGGCAATTCCTTCGAACCGTCTGTGCTGGACATGTTGAATCCAAAGTATCCCACAGCTCCCGCGTAGACTCCACGCTTCTCGCCTTCCAGCTCTGCAATCAGCTGCATCGCGCGCACCTTGGGAGCTCCGGACACGGTTCCTGCCGGGAAGATGGAGCGGAAGGCGTCGAAGCGTGTCTTCTCAGGTCGTAGTACACCCGACACCTGCGACACCAGATGCTGCACGTGAGAGAACTTCTCGACAACCATCAGACGGTCCACCTGTGTGCTCATTGGATCGCACACCCGGTTGACATCGTTGCGCGCCAGGTCGACCAGCATGACGTGCTCGGCACGGTCCTTCAGACTTCCGCGCAACTCGTCCGCCAGCGCCTCATCTTCCTCGACAGTCTTGCCGCGCTTCACTGTGCCTGCAATTGGGTGCGAGATGATGCGACCCTTCTCCTCCTTGGCCAACAGTTCCGGACTGGCTCCCACGAGCTGGAATGCCTCGCAGTCGATGTAGAACAGGTACGGCGAAGGGTTGACAGTGCGAAGATGGCGAAAAAGGTTGAAAGGATGGAGAGAAGTAGGACGTGACAACCGCTGCGACGGTACCGTCTGAAAGATGTCACCCTTGCCGATATGCTCCTTAAGCTTCGTCACATGGCTCTCGTAGCCCTCACGACCAATGTTAGACGTATATTCCTGGTTCGGAATAATCGGACCCTGCGGAGGCAGAGGGTATTCGGGCTGAAGCAGGATATCAATAGTACGCTGAATGGTTTCTGCACCCTTGCAGTATTCGGCTTCCAGCTCAGCATCGGAGTTCGGGATCGAGATAAAGGTGATAACCTTGACAACCTGGAAGAAGTGATCAAAGGCGACGATGGTGTTGTACATCATAAAGAACGATTCCGGAATACCCAACACATCCTTAAGCGGCCGCTCCGTCTTGGGCTCAAAGTACTTCACACAATCGTACCCCACGTAACCGATGGCTCCTCCGGTGAGAGGCGGCAAGACCAACCCAGGGACTGTCGCAACACGGTATTGGGAAAGTTCACTCTCCAGGGCTGGAAGAGGGTCGCATGCGGGGCCATGGCCAGGACCAGTCTTGAGGACTTTATGGGGGTCTGGTAGACATTGCGACTTCGGTCAGATTCTGCACCCAAACCAAGATTCGATAGAGAAAAAGAACGTACCTGCACCAACAAAACTGTATCTCCCGATGGTCTCCGTAGTCGCAGCACTCTCGTAAAGGAACGACAATTTCGATCTATCGCGCAATCCATCGTCAGTCTTTTTTTCTTCCAGTATCTACCTCACACCCCACCACGGTGATTATCCTCGCAACCCACTTCTCTGAGATTTTCAAGTATGCCAACGTAGGAGTCAAAAGGTCTGCAGGGATCGAAGCCGTCAGGGGGAGCAGGTTTGGGGGAAATGCTGTGTTCCTCGTGCGAGAGATCACATCGGCAGCGGTCTCTAGAGTGGGCACAATCGCCTGACTCATTAATATCGATTTCTCGAAGTCACTGCGAGACAGATCAGAAGGCAAGTTACTTACAGGAGGCACCATTTTGCCGGTCTGTTAAGAGTAGTCTCTGCAGTAGAAGGATGGAGAGGGAGGCGAATAGAGGAAGAACAGGAAGAGCGAAGACAGAAGAGAGGCAAGAAAGCCAGCGGAAGGGAATTGCAAGAAAAGAAGTTAACGAAAGAAAGCCAAGGCCCGTCCGTCGTACAGGAATTGGCCAGACAACTGGTTGCAATGAGCTGGTCCAACAAAGTTCATATACAGAGAATGCATGCAGTGAATTAAGCAGTCAGCTGAAGCTACAGTGCCCACTTGGGTTTAGCGTCATCCTCTTTGGGAAAGACAGTGAAATGCCAAGTCTGTCTTGATGCCGGAGTCTTCAAATATACTGCCTAAAACCTCAGGCTATGATTTTACTCAGAAACAGAAGGCGGTGTCCCTGTCACCCCTGTACCTTACCCGGCCGGAGACGATGATGACACCGCGAATCGCTGACAACCAAGTCATTGTCCACCTGTCCAACATCCTTATCGACGTACATACATAGCATACATGCATGCATACGACTACATTTGATATGGATCCACCTTCTGCTCTCACCCGTCATTCTCAAAACCACGATAACGATCCACTTTCTCTCTCTTTTGCAGATTCCGGCATAGATATGGAGCTAGAGATGGAGCTTCAGCTTCCCCAGACTCAAACGCAAACCCAGACCTCCGAAGCACCAACAGGACCTGATACAGAAGTCGACGGCGGGGAAACAAGAACAGATAGTCTCCACCTTGCAGCGCGACTAGCGAAACTTGCGATAAATGCGAGGAAGGGCGATAATGGGGCTAAATCGCGATCGTTCTCGAAAAGCGATACAGCGATTCTCCACCGCTGTTTGAATACTATCGAAAACACACTATCGCTACCTAACGATGACGACAATGACCCTCGTCCAACTCTCACGCAGGAAATCACCAAACATCGACCTCAGAGTCTTAATCTTACTCCGCATTACCCATCGCCTCCGTCAACAGTAGCAGAACCATCGCCATCGGCGGCATCGCATACGACAGAACCGAGATCAGAGCCACACCCGTCCGGATCGCAACTCACCGCTATTTTGGAGGAAGTCACTGCGCTTGGTAATGAATTGCATATGAGGCGTCGCGAGGCTTTTTATATCTATGAGCTGTTTACTCAGAAATGTCAGGGATTGGAGCGGAGGGTTTCTGGGTTGGAGGGCGAGGTTCGCGAGTTGTAAGTGGTCCCAAAATTGTATGAATAAGTCATGTTCAAGCTAACTGTATTGCTACTGCAGGAACGCAGACATCTTGGAAAACTCGATAGAACGCGAAGGACTCCGGGGAACGGTTTACGGTCTGGAAAACTGGGTGGACGGATGGCAGCGTGATCACGAGTTGGCAATAATCCAAGCACGAGAAGCACGGAAGGGATGGACGAAACGCAAACCCGCCCGGAGAGAAGATGACGCTGATGCCTTGTTCGATGGCATAACCGCGTGGATGCGTGGGTGGAAAGATGTCGAGGAGGGCTTTCAAGCCCGGGAACGTGAGCGCGAACAGCGACGGGATGAAAGACGGAAGCAGCAGCCATTGGACGTTATTCCTAATAATCACCTTCCATTATCTAGTGCAGGCGAGGACAGCTGAATATTAATATCGATAAAAAGAACAATCAAAACCCTTGAAAGTTATAAGCACAATGTTGATATCCTCAGCCAGCTGTGTCAACTCCACCCGATGAGCAAACAACGCCAACCGTAGGTGTCCATCGTAAAACCAACCAGTGATTCACAAAAAAAAAAAAAAAACAGACATAAGATATTCTGACATTCGATAAATGGTATAATGGGACCAGAAATCAGTGTGATCGATCAGCAAAATATTCCATATTAGCAAAATATAAAGACATCTCCCAAACCGCATGATTCGCCGAGATCGCCTGCCTTCCTTGCCAACCCGCGCCGTTTTGTGTTGTCTACCCAAAGCCAATAACCCTTAATTCGAAGTGCAAAACGTAAAATGACGAGAAAGAATTCAAAGCAGCTCTGTACTCCGGTGGGATCCGATAGTCGCCAAATCGGGATAAGGCCTGAATGACCCTAAGATAACTGATGTCTTTAAGATTGTGACACATCCAAAGTTGCTAAGTCCGTTTCAAGGTTGCAGAACTGTCATCGAGTCCCGTCTTGTACGTATGTTCATCAGTTCCGGACATGCTAAAGCCAAATGACAATATGCTTCGCTTTCGATAATAGATGTAAATGGTTAAGCCGTTTTCAGCGTTGTAAATTCACAATAGCCATCTGATAGATGATCACAATGATTAGTTATACAAGCACACTTTTCACGATTGGTGGGGTTGCAACAAACCTGATGACCAACACCAAAGGCAAGCTTTTTCCCATTAGTATCCCAGGAAAGAGACCGATCAGGCAGCGAATCAGCCGTTCCATTGTGCCCATTGATAGCTTGGTCCGGACCTTGTTTGGCGTCTTCTGAACCTGGAAGCGTCCACGTGGCCATAGCAGAGCCACCACGCTCAGCATTCCAAATATACAATCTGTCCTTACTGGCGGCCGCCAAGGCATAACCATCCGGTGAAAAGCATCCGACAAGGGCGGGAATGGACGGACCGAGGAATAGACGGTGAATGCATTCGAAACGCTTCGACTCCGGGTCAATATGCCAAATCTTGACGGTGTCGTCGGCCGATGAAGACGCAAGGACAAATGGAGATTGTCGAGAATCAGCACGAAGCTCAAGAGCTGTGATGTCACCCTGGTGTGCGTCGTCTAGGCGCATATCATGCGTGGGAACCCAGAACGAAGCGGTAGATGAGGACGCAGCTACTGCCATGGACGAGGAAGGCCCGGCACTAGCGCAGCGAATAAATGTCCATGTGGTGTCAGATGCACCAGACGAGAACGTCCGGGTGATGTGAATACTTGAGTCGACCTGACATTGGTAGACCGAACCATCGCTGCATGCATAGGCTTGATTCGGCCCAATCCAGCTCAGGTCATAGATAGACCCATCAATCACCTGGGGCGCAGGGAACATATCCGGCCGTAATGAATCGTCCCAGAGAGCCAGCTCGGAGACCCGACTGTCCGATGCAACAACAACCAGATGCGAGCCACTTTCTGCCCAATGCAATCCTGTAATCATGCGGGGTACCTCGGGCAAAAGGTCGACTGCATGGCCATGCACATCGTACATGGTAATTGAGCCGCGCATGTCATTGTAGGTTGCGACGGCCAATTTCTGGCCAGTTGGGTCCCATGCCACGGCGGAGACGCAAGTGTCCTCCCGGGAGCCATCAACCAACTTTTCAGGCACTGGCTGTGATGAGGAGGACAGTTTCCACAGACTACAAAAGGTATCACCGGCTGCCACGACAACGGTGGGATCTTGTGGGCGCCACAAAGTTCGTGTCACGTGATCTTTACCAGCCACATCCAGTAGGGCGGTGCCGGGGCTGAGGTCAGCGGCCTTGGCGGGGCTGATCTGGACGCCAACGCTGTGGCCGGTCGCCAAGGTAGGCGGTGGGGGCGGCGGTGGCGGCGCGGTTGGTTCCTGGCCTTGCGATTCCGACCGAGTCATGCTTACATCCCCGTCATTGTCGATGGTTGCATCGGCAACAGGGGATTCATTCTGATCCCTGTGGATTCCGTTGGTGTCGATTTCCATAGAACTCCCATCGCCGTTTGTAGCAGCAATAGCGACGACATCCGAGCGATCTCCCTTGCGTGACTTTTTGCCAGCCTCGGTTGTCAGGTGACCGTTGATCGCAGCGTCTCGCGCCACTTTGCTGGTTGGCGAGACAAGCGCCGCGTGGTCCGCACCAACAGCGGCGGCTTCAACCGGGCCAGCTGGAGTGCGCAGCGATTCCGATTCGAGTGGTTGTGGTCCGAAGAAATAACTGGATGGGGTAAAAGGGACCAAATTCCCTTTCTGTGACGGATCCTGTTGATTAGAAGTCGCAAATAAAAAAAAGAAACGAACAAATCATACCTTGTCGAGAGACTTTTCGAGCTCATGATACTGTAGACCTTTTTGAACCAAGGACACCAGCGCATGGGTTCTGATGTAGGGAGCAAATGGTAAACTCTGCGGATCATGGTTCCATGCACGCTGTAGCATTACAGCAGCATCACCAAGACCTGGAATAGCTTGTTAGACAGGGATAGGGAGTCATAATTAGAAAAGTGATCACCAACCCGACTCCTGGAGATACCTGTGGAAAAGCTCAATTAGCGATCCAAAAAAGTAAAAATTCATTGGTCAATGCATCCACGTTGGATATTACTATGGTGATTGTAATACGTACCTCCATATTAAATAATTGACATGATGCGAGGTTAGATCGGGGTGCGACATTGTTACATGTGTGAGAGGGAGCTATGGCGCAGGAACCGCTCGCATGCCAAAACAGGCCTTTTTCGATTGGTGAGGGGATGGAAAACGGGGAACGGAGAGGGGAGTGGAGAGAGATGGAGAAGAAGATTGAGGATAAGGTAGAGAATAAAATAGAGAAAAGAGAAAAGAGTGGAGAGAAAAAGAGAATCAAAAGGTGAAAGATTGAAAGAATGGGAAAGAGAGGGAGGGATAGAGACAGGCTCTGCGAGAATACTCTGAAGATGCGTTGAAATCGGGAGACGTTGGCCTGGTCGTTGCTTTTTCTCGCGGACAGAAAGACCGGGGAAGGACGCAGCCAAGCGGTTGACAGATATGGTCGCAGCGAAGGGGTGGAAAGTGGTTGAAGTAGTTGAAGATGATCCGTTAGTGGTGGTTTACAGGTCCCGGTAACCGCAGGACAATCTAAGGACCGTCAAGTGGTGATGATGGTGGTCGTGTCTTTTGAACGATGTCGCAGGGGGGAAGTAAAGAAGAGATCTGATCGTGTATATAAGAGTGAAAGGTAAAGAGGGACAGAGAACGAGAAGCAGTTGTAGAAGAGAAAAAAAGGTGTAAAGGAAAAGACAAGAGGCAAGGAAGAGAGGAAAGTTGAAATTCAAGAGAGGAAATGAAATGGGAAATGGGTCAATGGGGAATGATCACGACCGCGGGTAGTCGAGACCACCGCAACAACAGAGAATCAGTCTCTGTTTCTGTAACTGAAGGACAGAAAGTATACAGAGTAGTCGAAAGAATAATAAGATACAAGTACTGCAAGTGCAACGGAGAATGGAGAAGTCGGATCTGGAGGAAGAAAAGAAACGAACGGAAGTCAAAAATGGTCGAGATCCACCCAAGGGACTCTCCCATATCCACTTCCACTTCCAGCTCCGGGGGTATTATTCTGCAGATACACTAATATAGAGAGCTCTATCCTGTATTCTTTCTTATCTCTTTCCCCTCATCTCTGTTTGGTTGTTGTTATTGCTATTAAATACCCATTTGCCTCTCCTATTTTTATGTTGTGTCAACGGCGCACAGTCCCCGGGGAAGATCCTCTACCGGAGAGGCTGATGGTTATCCTGACCTAGCCTTATGTAAGTTGGCATTAATATTCAGTGCTACAAATATAGCTTGTATATAGAAAGACATATCTGTGATTAAGGGTCTGCTTGGTAATTTCAGATCCCATCCAGCCATGCAGTACCGGCAGCTTACAGTGAACAGATCGACAACGCGTGGATCATGAGTCCGTTCATTGTTGTCTGGAATTCTGCATGTCGACAACCGAGCAGCATAAGGATTTTAGACATCATTACAAAAATGACCAGAAATAACTGTACTTTGTGAAGAAAACAATGACCAAGAGAAGAGGGAATAAATGACCTATATCATTTTTTGTATTGGTAGAGAGTAGTGCTCGTGTGTCTCTCCCTGTCAAGAATCCCTCGATTCTGCAATAATCCCCGAGACACCACTACAGAGTACTACTGAAGAACTAAGCACTGTTCAGTGGGTTTATATATATATATATATTTTAAATATTTTCCCATACATTCTAATAATTAACCTCTGTATCGTTGTATATGATATATATATATATAGTTAGAAGTTATGTAGGCGTGGGCTTCTATAAGTAATGTAATAATACCACCACCGCAGTCCCTCCAACATTCCCCTTTCAACCCATCTTGACTTCTTTCTCCCACTTCCAACCACCAGTTGGGCTCTCAACCTCAGCCCGCGGCCTGCGCTTCGTTCAGCAGCCGCAAGTGCTTTTCTCTTGTTTTTTCTTTTCTTTCTTTCTTTCTTTCTTTTTGCTTCTCCGGTACTATATCTTTTTTATCATTTTCTTTTCAAAATGGCCCGAGTCAACATTCCTCCGGCAACCCGCATCTGTCTCGTCAGTCTCCTCACCCTCTCCCTGCTCTACAACATCGCTCGATGGCGCCAAATTAGTAGTATCAGTGCCACCACCGGCAAAACCCAGCCTACTACGCCCATCGTCGTTCCCTACCTGACTCTCGTTCCCTTGCGACTCTTCTACTATCCATGGACCCTCCTCACGGCCACCTTTGTCGAGCAAAACATCTTCACCGTCCTTCTGAACCTGGCCACCCTCTTCTACGGCGGCAAGTACCTTGAGCGTGCCTGGAGTTCTCGGGAATTTGCCAAATTCATTGCTACTATCGCCATCCTCCCCAATGTGGTCATCGTGCCCTTCTATCTGCTGTGGGCGACTATCAGGGGTAACCCCTCGATAGGGTACGTTGGATGTCCCCTCATCACATTCAAATACATACTAACACGTTCCTAATAAATAGCCTCACTCAAATCTGCGGTGGTATCTCGATCCAAGCCTCCTTCCTTGTCGCCTTCAAGCAGCTCGTTCCCGAACACACCGTTACTGTATTCAAGGGTCTGGTGCAGATGCGCGTCAAGCATTTCCCCGCTATCTTCCTGTTTCTCAACACCATCAGCGGCGTGGTGTTGGGAACTGAAACCGCAGCAATCCTCGCCTGGCTGGGTCTCTTGACTAGCTGGACATATCTCCGGTTTTTCAAGCGGCAGCCCGATCTCACCGGGACATCCACCAATGGCATGGGCATCAAGGGTGACGCAAGCGAAACCTTTGCCTTTGCCTGCCTTTTCCCCGATGTGATTCAGCCACCAATCGCCGCGATCTCTGATCAAATCTACAATCTGCTCATCTCTCTCAGGATCTGTACCCCGTTCTCGGAGGAGGCTATCGCTTCGGGTAACCAGCAGGTCCTTGCCAGAGGGGAGACCGGTCTCCCGACACTCCTCAGCAGCCATCGGGCCGGTCGAGGCACGGGTAAGCGCGAGGAGGCAGAACGGCGACGAGCCTTGGCTCTCCGGGCTTTGGATCAGCGTCTTCAGGCGGCAGCTGCAGGAAGAGCGCAGTCTCACTCGCCATCGTCGGCGGCATCTAGCCAACCTACTCGCGCTGCAACACCTACCGTTTCAGGACAGGGTATGCTAGGAGGTACCAACTACACGCCGGATAACGCTTAAAACATTTTTTTTTATAAAAAAAAAAAAAAAAAAGACCCCGAAATTTTTTTTGCATGGGATAGGAGTCTTGTGGATTTAAGGATGTTCAAAATTTGAAATAAAACAGTTACTTTTTGGAGATGAGAAGAGATGTGCTTGCTTAGTATGGTTTAAATATAGTCTACGATATACCCACACTGCTTTGTAACGGCCCATTCCATGCCGTGGCCAATCCATAAGAACGAGCTCTCCCAGAAATACATAAATCTAAAAACAAGATGCTATGATACATAATTGGCCATGAAGTCTTTTCCCTTTACACAATTCCCATAACGACAAGAAGACGAAATAACATAAAACAAACTCAGGTCTGCCTCAACCTTTCAACCTCCCCCCTAGCCTCCTGCAACATCCTCTCCTGATCCCTCTTCGTCTGCCGAATCTTCGCATTCCGCTCTTGATCCTTAACAGACTGAACCGCCATCTGCTCCAACTTCTTAACCTCCTCCTCCTCCTTCGCACTAGCCTGCACTTCCTTTGCCCCTGTCATAACGCGCACCTTATCCCAAATCCTCTTCCAATCCAAATCCCTCAAATCCACAACAGCCGTCTTCTCACTCTCTCCTGCTGCAGGCGCATACTTATCATTAATATCCTTCGCAGCGTTCAGCGTGGCAGCGTTACTCGCATGTTCCGCAAAGTAGATCGTCAGCGCGGCCGGGCCGTCTTGCTCCTCGGTTTGCTTGACTGTCATCGGGATGGAGGGGTTGTGGTATTTCAGGCGAGGGAGGCATTGGCGCCAGAAATGGCGTGCGCCTTGGTGGCCGTTGTAGATTTTCTGGGCGTAGGTTAGGTGCAGGCGGGTGATGGGGGGGAATTCTTTTGTGGACGTTGCGGGGGTTGGGAGGATTGCGGCACCGGTGCCGACGGTGACATCGAGGATCTGTTCTTAGTATTAGTGTATGTTCGAGGTGCTGTGTATGTGCATGTGTTTCGCAGCCTGGAATCGGAGATTTGGATGGATAACGAGGTAGTCAATGAGGCATATGAGGACGGAATGGGATGGTATTTACTCTCTATAAGATTCACTCCGGTTAACGATTGTCCTCAATGCCATATCAATACTTGTACAGGAATTCAATTCATAACATACTGATCTCAGCTTCCGCATCCGCTTGAAAAGGTTCACCATGATTGCGGCTCAGGGCGCACGGCTCTCTTCAAAACCAATCGATATAAGGAATTTATTAAATGTGTGAAAGACAGACTATCGTGTTGAAATCCAGCCAGGATATCGATGCGAGACCGGGTCTTGTGGTGCTGGCTCGCGGATCTGGACGTCGATTTTTGGTTGTTCGGCGGAAGCCAATTGAATAATATAGCACGTGACCTGAGTTCGATCCGATGAGGATTTACTGGCATTCTACAAGGTATATGGCTGTATTTTCTATCTTGATAAGGCTTCGTGTGTCTATTTTTATATTGTGTTACTTTGAATGTAAAAGAGTCATGTTTGCTAGTATAGTAATTCAACTTTGCAGATGTCACGTGCCGTGAAATGCCGTTTTCGCTTTGGATAAGACCCCGCGGGAGATAGATTTTCGATTCTCTCGCAATCCACTTCGCCTTCACGGCTCCCCTTTTTTTTCCAAACAAACGAATTGCATTTGAGCCATGGCAGCCGCCGCGGCATCTGCAGCTGCGCTCGATCCGGGCAACAGCAGCAAGAACACTTTGAAGCTCGAAAATGTTCGACCGCTTGCCCCTCCCCCTCGTCTCGAAGAAAGGATATGTGACTAATTTGCTGTTTTGTTGACAGACCCAACGGAGAGACGCCCTCATTGAACTCGAGAAGAAGTACCAGGCACAATGGAAGAACGATAAGGTCTTCGAGGTCAACGCCCCCTCCCTCTCTGAGGTCCCCGCGGGCTCGATGACCGCGGCCGAGCTCCGTGAGAAGTACCCCAAGTTCTTCGGAACCATGGCCTACCCCTACATGAACGGTACGCTGCACGCCGGCCACAGTTTCACTGCCAGTAAGGTCGAGTTCATGACCGGTTTTGCCCGTATGGAGGGCAAGCGGGCCCTCTTTCCCCTCGGTTTCCACTGCACCGGTATGCCCATCAAGGCCTGTGCGGATAAGCTGCGCGACGAGGTCCAGAAGTTTGGACAGAATTTCGAGGGCTATAAGGAGGAGAGTGAGCAGGTGGAGGAGACTGCTGCCCCCACGCAGGAGGTTAAGGCTGAGCAGGAGAAGTTCTCCGGGAAGAAGAGCAAGGCCGCCGCCAAGACTGTGAAGATGAAATACCAGTTCCAGATTATGTTGGCAATCGGTCTTCCGATTGAGGAAATCCACAAGTTCGCTGATGCGGACCACTGGCTTCAGCACTTCCCCCCGCTGGCTATTCGGGATCTTGACAGTTTGGGTGCGCGCATTGACTGGCGGAGACAATTCGTCACTACTGACGCGAACCCTTATTACGACGCTTTTGTGCGCTGGCAGATGAATCGCCTTCACGAGCTGGGCAAGATTATGTACGGTAGCCGTTACACCATTTACTCTCCCAAAGACGGCCAGCCCTGCATGGACCACGACCGGACTGAGGGTGAGGGTATCGGCCCTCAGGAATATACTGCCATGAAGCTGCGGGTTAAGGAGTGGGCACCGGAAGTTGCTGAGCTTGTCAAGGGCAAGATCGAGGACGACGCCAAGGTTTACTTCGTCCCCGCTACCCTGCGCCCTGAGACCATGTACGGTCAGACTTGCTGCTTTGTCGGCCCTAAGATCAACTACGGTCTGTACAAGGTCAGCGAGAAGGAATACTTCGTTGTGACCAAGCGGGCTGCCTGGAACATGGCTTTCCAGGGTCACTTCGTCGACAGTGAGAACTTCCTCAAGTCTCAGGACCAGCTGCCGCTCGTTGTCGAAGCTCCTGGATCTGCCTTCGTTGGTACCCTGGTTAACGCCCCTCTTTCGCTCCATACTGAGGGTGTGCGCATCCTCCCCATGGATAGTGTCTCCGCTTCCAAGGGTACTGGTGTTGTCACTTCGGTTCCCTCGGACAGCCCTGACGACTATGCTACCCTGATGGACCTAGCCAAGAAGCCCGAATTCTACGGAATCAAGAAGGAGTGGGCGGAGCTCGAGATCCACCCTCTTATTGATACCCCCAACTACGGTAACCTGACTGCTCCTACTCTGGTGAAGCAGCTCAAGATCAACTCGCCCAAGGATGTCAACCAGCTCGCCAAGGCCAAGGAGCTGGCTTACGGTGAGGCATTTTACAAGGGTACCATGCTGGTCGGTGAGTACAAGGGCGAGCCTGTCAGCAGCGTCAAGGACAAGATCCGCCAGTCCCTCTACAAGAGCGGTGATGCTATCCCCTTCGCCGACCCTATGGGCAAGGTCACCAGCCGCAGTGGTGACGACTGTGTCGTTGCCTACCTCGGCCAATGGTTCCTGAACTACGGCGAGAATGATGCTCAGTGGCAGCAAGACACTCTTAACCACGTTGTCAACACTCTCAACACCTACTCTAACGAGACCAAGAACGGTTTTGAAAAGAACCTTTCTTGGCTCAACCGCTGGGCATGTGCCAGAACCTACGGTCTGGGCTCCAAGCTCCCCTGGGACCCTCAGTTCCTTGTTGAGAGTTTGAGTGACAGTACTGTCTACATGGCATACTACACCATCGCACACTTGCTGCACGGTGACCGCTACGGATCTCAGCCTGGTCTCTTGGACCTGAAGCCCGAGCAGATGACTGACGAGGTCTGGGACTACATCTTCACCAGACGCGAGCTCAACGACGAGCTCGTCTCCAAGAGTGGAATCAGCAACGAGTCTCTGCAGGCCATGCGTAGAGAATTCGAATACTTCTACCCTCTTGACGTCAGAATCTCGGGCAAGGACCTGATTCAGAACCACTTGACCTTCTTCCTCTACATCCACCTTGCCCTTTTCCCCTCGGAGTACTGGCCACGTGGTGTCCGTGCCAACGGCCACTTGCTCCTGAACGGCGACAAGATGAGTAAGAGTACCGGCAATTTCCTTACCTTGCGGGATGCTGTTGACAAGTTCGGTGCTGATGCTACTCGTATTGCATTCGCTGATGCTGGTGACGGTATCGAAGATGCTAACTTCGAGGAGACTGTTGCCAACAGCAACATCCTGAGATTATACACTCTCAAGGACTGGATTGAGGAGACTGCTAAAGACCAGTCCTTGCGTACTGGTCCTGCTGACACCTTCTTCGACAAGGTGTTTGACAACGAGCTTAACAGCCTTGTCCGTGAGACCAGACAGCACTACTCTGAGTAAGTTGCGACAGTTCAGCTTTTACACCCACACTTTACTAACTCATGTTCAGCACCAACTTCAAGCTCGCCCTGAAGAGCGGTCTTTATGACCTGACTCACGCCCGTGACACCTACCGTGAAGCAGCCACCAATGCCGGTATCGGATTGCACCGTGATATGGTCTTCCGCTACTTCGAGCTCCAGGCTCTCCTGCTCTCCCCTATCGCCCCCCACTGGGCCGAACACATCTGGCTCGGGATCCTCAAGAAGCCTGAATCCATACATTTCGCCCGCTTCCCTGAAGCCCCCGAGCCCTCTCCCGAGCTCACAGCTGCCACCAATTATGTCCGCAGCACCTCCTCGAATATCACTTCCTCGGAGGCCACTCTTGCCAAGAAGCTCTCCAAGGGCAAGGGCTCGAGCTTCGACCCCCGCAAGCCTAAAAAGATCACCATTTTCGCCGCGAAGAAGTACCCCGACTGGCAGGAGAAGTACATCGACCTTGTTCGTGAAGCCTTCGACGCCGTCAGCATCTCGATCAACGACAAGGAACTCAACGCTAAGGTCGGCAAGCTAGGCGAGATGAAGAAGGCCATGCCATTCGTGCAGACGCTCAAGAAGCGTCTGGTCACGAGCCGCGAGCAGCCTGATGCCGTCTTTGAGCGGAAGCTGCCGTTTGACGAGTTCGCTGTTCTGACTGAGATGATTGGCAACTTGCAGCGAATTACTGGTGCCAAGGAGATTGAGATTGTCGCTGTTGATGAGGGTGGTAAGAGTGGCGAGGTTGTTGGTACTGGTGAGAAGAGGGAGGGGATTTCAGCTGAGAACGCGGTGCCTGGGCAGCCGACCTTCCAGTTTGTTAATATTGCCGAATGATTTTTCTCTCTTATTGTTTGACAGTTAATGTTAGAAAAGTGAACTATTATGATTTATGTTCAATGAAGATTACATTAGTCTAAAGGGTTTCTCGGCCACGTGATACGGGTTATTTACTGTAATTGAGCCCTAGAATAATTACCTTTACTGTGAAATACACTAGTGATGTAGTTACTCACCCTGGCTCGCGCCCTCCCACAACATTTGACTCATATTGTCCAACCGAGTTTTAAGAAGCCCAGGTTATCAGCAGTCACTCAACTCAGTCCTACACTTTCCTATAAAACTTAAAACAGCCATGTCCGTTCCATCCGCCGATCCGCAGAACGAGTTCAAGGTGTTCACAGCATAGTAACTACAAAGACTCCCCATTTTTGCAACCTCTTTAGTCCATGATTAACAGCACCTTCATCTTTCACCGGAAGGGGTTCCTACAACTAGCACACAGGAATAACAACCGCTCCCAGGCGCCACAAGATGTCGTTGATGAGTTTGACCCTCACGCTTTGTGTTGTGTTTTATTCATTGCTGAAGATAATACACATACGAGGAATATTTTGGGTCGGAAGGCGATCAAAGCATCATCAAGAATGACAGTTCACATTGATCCTCGATCCATGACTGGGAAATATACAATATAGTCATCCAAGATAACACAAAATACGTAAGGCGAGGCTCTGCAGCTTGCTGCTGAAGTCGAATCATCACTCATCAACCGTTTCCGGGATGAGAGATCCAAAAGCCAAGACGGCAGATACATGCCCGAGAAAATCACCACATGGGTTCAGGGAACTCGTGAACTTGCTAGTGCGTATTGGAGCAGACGAGGATACCGGGAAGTCGGCGCAAGGCATATCGGCAGAGGGTGGTTGGGGTGCAGCACAACTATTTGATCTTATTACTAGAAAGAAGAAATTAGCCCTGTATTTTATGGCTTACGAAAAGTGGTGAGATGGTAAATCTGGACAAAAGCAAGAAAGACTGGCGTGCTATTAAATCATCTGTTATTGTACATCCCAAGGCTTTCACAGCAAACATTACAACAGTTATATACTTGCAGAATTACAGCCAAGTGATACCCCTATCCTCTCCACAACTCGGCACCGTAGGCGTCTCCCACCTTGGGTTAACACTCTCATCCCCAATTCTCACAACCGGCTTCAACAACTCCATCTTCCCCCACGCACTCTTCTCAGAGCCCACCATAAACGACTCCTTTGTCCCAGGCGTCAGATGCTCCGGGAACACCCTCTTCCACCCATCCATAACCACGTCTAGTACCTCGGTAACATACTGCGAAGGTTCCATAGTTCCCCATTTGAACGTCTCAACGTTCTTAGTCACAACTTCAGGACTGTACAGGCCGATTTCAGGCCTGAGGGCGATTTCATCAGCAGCAACAAGCGAGCTAAGCACGTGGTAGGAGCCGCCGGTGCGCGCGCGATCACGGATAGCAAGCATGGCGCCCAGCGCACCGAGCAGACCGGTTGTCATGTCAGAAATTGGCAAGGGCGGCAGCACGCTGGTCCCATCCGTGTGTCCCAGAGAACGGCCAGTGACATACGAAGATCCCGATGCGGCGTCACCAATCTGCTGCCATCCAGGGCGTTCGTGATAGATGCCGTCAGGCCCGAAAGCGTTTTCTTCGACGTAGACGATGCCCTTGCCGCGAGCGCCGGCGAGAGAGAGCAGATCGTTGAGACCGAAGCCCTTGCGGGCGATGGTATTGGGACGGAAACCCTGCACGAAGACGTCGGCGTCTTGGAGGAGGTCGTGGAGACGCTGCTTATCCTCGGGGCTGTTAAGGTTGAGTTCGATGGTGCGTTTCCCTGTGTTCAGAGAGAGCTGCAGCACGTTCAGATCACGGAGCTTGCTGTATCCGACGCGGATTACGTCCGCGCCAAAGGCTGCGAGTGTGTTTCCAATGACGGGACCGGCGATGATGCGGACGAGTTCCACGACCTTGACACCGGCAAGTGGGCGACGGTCACTTGATCTGATACGGGGGGGTAGTGGTGTAGGAGGTGTCGGGATAGCATGCGACTGACGCTTGTAGTTAACGAGCGGGTGTTCAGCGAGCCGCTTGCCCATTTCTGTCTTGCGCCAGCCATCAGGCGTGTAGCATATTTCACCGCAGAAGCCGTTCCGCACATTGTGCATCTCCAGCTCGTCAGCGGTCCATTTCTCAACATGCGAAGCGATGTACTCGTATGCCTCCTGTGGGGTCTTGGCTGGATAGTCCGGATCCATGCCCATCGAGCGCAGGACAGGTGGTGCATCCAGCGACCCATGAAGCTGGTACCACACACCAGGCGTAGCAGTCTTATAAATCGCAGTGGTGCGCAGGTTCATGAAATTACCCATCCATCCATGCTCAAGATCCTTTTTAAACAAAGCACCCAACTTTTTCGCCTTGAATAAGTCATGTACATCTGTCCCGTTGATGTACGGCGTAAATATACTCCCCATCCAGATTGCTGCGTGGTCCGTGTTCACAGACACCTGTGCCTGCTCACGAGATTGCTCTTGCCCGTCACGGTCTTCGACAATCTCATTCGCAACGACACCACACATCGCGTGCAGCGCAGCTGCTACCACGGGTGCTTTGATGGGCCCTGGGATTGAGGGCTCTGGACGGCCGTTGAAGGTGACATTGTCCCAGTGCCGCTGATTTTGGGTGAAGCCAGGGGTGGTTTTGGCTAGGTATTCGAAGACGCGACGGGTGTCTTGGGGGACGGGGATGGGCTCTTTGTCGATATACGAGCCCGGGCCGTAGATTTCGTCACCGGGAATTACTGTATGGGATGCCATTTGTATTGTCTCTGATGTATAAAAAAAATATAAAATCTGATTGTATCAAAAGAAAAATATCTGGCTGCTTTGGATAATAAGTAACCCTACTTTTATATACACGGAACGGACAAAAACATCTATATCCGCTGCGGTCCGCGGGCCGAATAGTAAAGATTATGGCGTGAGACTACAGGTAATCTAGATGTTTCGACCTCCATAATTGTATCATAGCTCGAGTCAGGATATTTAGGGCCGGGCTTCGGGATTACTTCGGCAGTCACTGTTGTTAGATATACGTATTCCAACAGCCAAAGAAAAATAATTCTACGGAGTATAGGTAGGGAATGCTAAATTGCCACTTAAAGATTTTATTATGCTCAGCAGTAAAAGTTCATCAGTATGGCCATGTTAATCGCTGCCCGCTAGCGGAGCAAGTGCACGGCAACGGCATGCCGAGGATTTCGGATTGTGGGTCTGAATTTGTGTATCGTAAAATTACACAATCATACATGATTTCTTCCGAGGAAGTAGAAGTACTACCGCTTTAGGAAGTCAGTATTGCATCGCCTTCGGGTTCAGGCCCGGAGAGGACGGCATGGCATTAGCTTGTTCTAGTACCTTGGTGATTGCCTTAACATAGGGGTTAATCACATTAATGTAATTCCCGAGCCACCCATCCATCTACCATCTACTTTATTGGCATATTTATCAACCACAACGCAGTAATATTGACTATATTATCTCTCTGGACAGGCATTAGATCTATGCCCTATATTTCTGCATTTTCCACATGTCGGTAATCTGCGCCTTGGTGGTTCTGGCTGCGATTGAACTGGCGGAACTGCCTGGTTTAGAACTGGTCCAACTGCCTGATTTGGCTGCTCAACCTGCTGAAATACCTCCTGAGCCTCTCCCACTGATACACCCCCCTCATGAG